CGTTTCTAAAGGACTCTGAGTGGTGTCCGCCAAGATCAGGGTAGGAAATGAACCTTATAACTACACGCCTGTAACCCGTTTCTGTTTTGCTAGAAAAAAAAAGTGTTTTAACTTGCAAATATCAAAGAAGAGTCAAAGTGCGGCATTTCTATCGGGTATTTTATTGTGTGAAAAAAGCCTAACTACGACGTATTTGCCTGTCGCTAAACCGAGACAAATCCCATTAAGTATGCGTAGTGGGAAGCCTTTGTTTATATTCCACACTGAGAGCAACGTAAAACAAGGTCACCATGTCAGGAAACGGTATTTAGTGTCTTCTTTATTTTTCACTCTTCGGTTTAAAAAGAGTTATTTTTAATCAGTTTGGCCTGTCCATAAACATCTATAAATGTAAAGAGACTGGACTTGGAATGTCATTGATGATTAAGTTGAACCCGCGAACAGGTTATTCATCGATCCCTCAAGTGACATTCAGCTATTTCTCGATTTTCATGCAAAATGTAAAAGAATTATCGACATCAGGACAGTTATGTAATTTCACATAACCAAATTATGTTTCAAACCTCGGCTAACCTTTTCTTCAAAGGCAATTATCCAATAACTGAAACAAAATCACTCATATTGAGTCACTTAAAATAGTCGCTGAATGCTAATCAATGCAAATTGCCAAGTAGAATAGTTTACCACAAAAGGAGAAATCAAACAAGCAAAACTAGATGCGTGATGTAACTCTTGATCCATTTGCAATGCCGGTTTTGCGATAGCGGAAGGTACTTTTCAGTACATTTGTAGCATTTCAAAGCTTCACGACGGCACTGCATTACAGGTTTTCGTTGCTCCATAAAATTCTGGTCCGAGTTGTCGTGTTTAATTTTAAAGTAGGGTCAATTATTCAGACGGCCGCTTAGTTACGCTTAAGATCCTAGTTCTAAATTCTAACATTTGTTATCTGATTAAGTCGCCACGTTCACATGTAATATCAGTACCGTAACCAGTCCAGATATACATAACATGTTTGCTATTTGAGAGGTTAAGTTACACTATGAGGCTGTGAATGGAATAAGGAAGTTAGGTTCCAGCGTCTACTCACTTACTTGAAAAAGTCCAGAAACACTCAGCGCTCAGACGAATCTTTCCGTTACAACTTCTTCCGTGTAAAATGTTGTACGATAAGTTTTCCTAGTAATCCACACGCGCAAGCCATATCATGTTTACGTAGGTTTTGTAAATTGTCGAGCTGTTTGTATAAAAAACTTAATAACTCTTTTGAAAAACAATGACAACGTGCGTCTAGTTGGAAGCGTTTAATACAGATTTGATGATCGGGAAACCTCAAGGGAGAATGTATTGTTCCTAAGCATTTTGCGTGGCGCTTGCAAACAAGGTTTAATTTAGATCAGTGTGGCAAAAATTCCCTACTTTAAACACCTTTATTAAAATTTTTGAAAAATAAACAAATGGAATCTCGTTGATATTAAAATTACCAATAAAACAACCCTGGTGGACGATCAAATAATCATATAACCTTCGAATGATTCGTAAACTATTGTTGTCAAAAGTTATTGGAGACTTATGCTAAACAAATCATCAATTACAATTGACGTTTCCATCCCACACAGTGACATACAAAATAGAAGTAATACAAAATTCCGCCGTGGAAGATTATTAAAACTCGCCAAAGAATAACTATACTTGCGTCCTTTATTTCTACTCCAGACACTTTCATAATGATTCCTCGAATTACTCCAAGTTTCACCAAACGCAAAATTTAATTAAAAAGAGCTCAGTAATCCTATAAAAAAGACTTAAGACTTTCCATTATAAGCATGACCTTCCTTTCTATGCTGCCAGTAAAAGAAAACAGTATAAATGAGGCAATAAATACATCCTTTCAAGTATGACTTAGATGGCTCCCTAGCGAGTTTACTTTTCAGGAGCTTCACGCTAACACGATAACAACAGGGTGAGTTCAAAGTACATAGATTGAATTCAATACAATCCTATAACGTCCGAGTCGAAATTGCTAAAGAGAAGGATAGGCACCATATCTTAGAAGATAAAAGGCATATTAAGACTGGTTCTCCTTTCGTGGCAGATTTACCTTACTTACAGCCGGTCGCTGCTGCTAATGGATTTCGAGACGTTATAAGGGTGTTCAAGAGCTGATAAGGATCTCTTAATCTGGAAACTCTATAGAATTCTGTACTAAAATCATAGCTTTCCTTGAGCGGTGACCTGTGAAAGAAATCTACAATATTTCTCAAACTAACATTGCTACTTATTCACACCCAGCCACAGCACAAACGTAATAAGAGTCTACTTGGTCAATAAAATTTACTTATCCTGAATTTTATGGACCACTGAGTGGAAAATTTCTCGATGTCTTGATAATAGCGTAGACACATAATTATGTCAGCTTAGGTTTAAGAACTTAAATATTCAAATATAAGGATAGCTTTTGCTACACAAATTGCACGACAACGCAGTGACTTCGGCTTTCGTTAAGGAACGATCATATATTTGTAGAGTTACATCTGAAAGGTTTACGATTTTTCTTTCGTTTTCTACAGTTCTACGGCAATCTCGGGAAAATAATATAGCCCTTTGCTTGTATTTGAGACGTTAAAGAAGAGGTAAGAGATATATACTTCATTTCCCTTCAGTGCTCGATAAAAAATATTTCATTTTCACATTTATAATAACATACATTATTTAATATGCAAATTTTGATCTGACTATCGACAACACTTTGAAATAACCAAACTATCTTTGCAATAATATTTATTCGGAAAATACACACAGCAGCCACATAGAGATGTTCAATTGTGTTTCCAAAAACACAGGATTACCAGTCATTGCCAGTGGCAAAGATAGATACAAGTACTCCAGGCTACCTCTGTTATAAAAGAGCTTATTTAGATTTTATCTCAGCTTTAATGAATCACTTTCATTTGGAACTACAACACGAATTTAAGACAACTGCCGGGTTTCAAAACGGTATTTATTTATTCAAAAAAAGATAAGTCTCATTTTCCAGTGTGTGTGTTCAGCACTAGATCACAGATGACGTCAAAATTTCGTAAGAACAAAATAGCGGCACGCTAGGCGCTGCTGGGTGTGTCAATGGTATTCTTGCCATATTTTGTCGTCGTTTGTGGCCTGTTACTGAACAGATACACGGCAACATGGTATCATTTGTTTTTTTTTATGACAAAAAAGCAAAGTTTTTCGTGGTGACAGCATTTACATATCCGTCCTACAATATAACATAGGTAAGAACCAATCAAACAGCTTATTGTATAAGTAAACATGTATGTATAATATATAAGAAGAAAAACGATTAAGTTCTTAAACTTGAAGTTCAGCTAAGGAAATGCTCCGACCTGGGCCAAAAAAAACAAATATACGTCTGCAATACACACTTTTAATAATAATGACAATCAAAAAATGATGCTAATGAAATGATAATAATACTAATAATTACCAAAGGGGTTGGACGCTGAAAATAAAAACGACGTCAACAACACTTAAATTATACAGTGAACGATCTCATGGTAAAATAAATTAAATAGGGATATCCATAGAACTATTCAATGAAAACACAGACAAATCAACTCAGGTTAGTAATATTCAGTATCTGTTTTGATCTCCATGCTCATAATTTGCATGGATGCAAAAATGAAAAAATAATGAACAATATGAAGAGAAAGTTCAAAACCATATGAAAACATAAAACTGACAGTACTCAAAATTTACAACAGAGTTAGGTCGTCCCTATTTCAAAAGCTGGGCAACCAAACTGATTTATTTTGTTGCTCTGATGAATCATTCGTTGCCGATTTGGAATTCCCACGTATTAAGTGCACCGCACAAAATTTAACCAAAGTTAATCTTCTTTGCGCGTTGTTTAGGTTCTCGTTTTCTCTTTTCCTCGTTTGGCGCATAATATAATGACCCGCTCAATTTAACTTTCTTTTATGCGGGGAGCTTTGCGTGTTTCAATAGACACCACAGTTTGAAATTGTAAAAGACGAGACTTGAATTCTTTTCTGATAATTGGAGACATGGCAAATAAAAACTGACATAATCTGAGAACAATTAAGGTAAACATTGCTACTTTTATTTACACAACGGCTTAGGATAGAGTCACATAGCGCTCAAGTACGCCTTCGGTTTCCTCAGAAGTGTGAGTTTACGATCGTCTATTACAGTTTCGTGTCTTACAATGTATTCTAAAATTTACAAATGTATAAAACACAGGAAAAGCCCATTTTAACTTCGGAAAATTAATCACAATAACCTTCTTACTTTCGGATGTGAAATCAAGACAAAAACCGCCCAGTAAGTCAGATGCTGTTTGTGATTAACTTATTTCTATTTTTGGTTGGTGGTCAACTTTTCTCGACTCGGACAATTAGCCTTTAACAAAAATTGGTTGAGATTCATCCAAGGTACTCTTTAACCATTAAATGTTTTTATACAAAACAAAGGTAAATATTTTTAAAGTCGTATTTTAACGAAGCAACCCATCTATGCATCTTAAGAGTGCCATTAACTTCTTAGATGCTATCACACTTCTTAGATTGCTATTGGCTAGAATTATAGGAAAAAGGAAAGAAACATACACTGCAAGGAAATAAATGCTGCTTTGCAACGAATTTTGGAATATCATTTTTCTTGATCTTACGGAAACAAGTTTGTGATAAGCGAATCGACATTGTATGCTCTTTGGATGGATTTTTCGTTTGATGTTTTTTTTCCTTGGTAAATAATGTGCTGATCCAATATGGAGGCAGGTGATGCTCGAGCCAGATCGATTCTAAAAGTCACGAAAGCAAACTTTCTTTCTTATTGATAGAAATTCAGCACCTTTCTTTTGTATGATTTATATCTAAGTAAATACTGAAATACTCTTTATAGGTTTTATTTTTCATTTCATATTCCTAATGGTCCTTATTATCAAAAATTGTCTGAGAACTGTATGTATAAAATTTACTCACCGTTTAACATTTACCTCTTTCTGTTCGTTTGAATCTCTGAATCTCTGATTCTAAAACAAATGAGATTCTTAGACTTGCAGAATTAAGTGATCTATTCTTGCAATGAAATTGGAAATTTTGAAATCAACCATCGTGCGGTCCAAACACCCCACACGTTGCAATACACGGTATCAGATTCAACGCTCCAATTTCCAAAAATAAAGTTGAAAATGACACGAAACGTCCTTTGGCGTAGGAATAATGATTCGAGAAAACAGACAAAAGCAATCTCATCATTAAATTCTAAAAGTCGTCTTCTAATGGCCAATGGCCAATGGCATCTATCCGTATGGAAATTTCATATGGAGGTGGATAGACAAGTTGATTGATTGCGGAAATTCGTTTCTTAGCCTTATTTAAAATATAAATGCAAAAATGCTAATGAATCTTTAGTATTGGTCTTAAAATTACAGCAGAAAAATTACCTCAACTTGATAATTGATGTGGTACTTGTAATGGGATAATAACAAATAAAGGTTTATTCAAACATTGTTTTGTTTTCTTTTTCACCAATAAGTTCGGGAGCTGATTACTTAGGTTAGGCAATTTTTATTTGCATCTTTTAATTGATAACCAGGTTCGCAAATACAATGCTTCAAAATCAATCTTTTGTAATACAGCGAAATTTCCATGGTGTTGCAAAGTTCAGTGCAACCACGAAATAGACCGAAATAGCCAGCGAAATAGGTGAAACGAAATTAATTCTAGCCCACAAGCGTAAACAGAGTAAACAAAGACAATGCAGTTGTTTTTCAAAGGGACTTAGACTTAACCAGATCTTATGCACGAGAAATGGGTGTTATTTTTCAAATGCGAAGAATTCTTAGTGTAAGGAGTAAACATTTATCACTCTACTGTTGGAAATTTTCAGCGAAAGTGAAGGTTAAATATTTGTCAGTGAATCATACGGAATATATTTCTGGTTCGTGTCAGTGTATTTATAATATATAAGATGGCTTTTTTAAGACATAACAAACGCTTGGACTCATCGAGTGATTGGTTTTTGGCGCGAAACTAACCAGTCGCTACAAAGGCATCAGGCGCCAACCACAGCGCGCATGACTGATACAGTTCACTCAACAAATGGATATATCAGCAGCACAAATAGAAATTGAAAAACCAATTTTTAATACGCAGTGGCTTGAATGATTTTTCTTAATGTATTAGACGAAGACTGAAAAACACGTAAGTTTTAAAGCATCAATATAATGAGTTAGTGATCATTACTAGTTTGCATGTCTGAAAGTTCACGATGCATGATACCACAAATTGCTTGATATTTACTTGACATCTCTATCAGAAACCAGCATCTACTTTGCATTTTCAGACACAATTAGCTGCTTGAACAGAGTTTTAAAGTTGGAGTTTAGCCAGACTATAGAATTATTTGATCCATAATTTTGGCAACCAGTAGGTGAGTAACTTGACAAGCTCTATAATTTTAAGGACCATTGTCATTAAGTAAGAGAAAGTACATGCACCTGTTTTGAAAAGTACAGAAAATTCAGCGATCGACATCACACTCGATATCAATTGAATACACAGTAGAAAATTCATTAAAAATTTACACTTAAAGATGTAACTTGAAAAGACTGAAATATGGTTCCACCTTTGAAATCTTATTGCGAAGTGCAATTAAGGCAAACATGCAGGATTTAAAAGGAAGTTCCTCTTTAAAAAAATAAAAAGACTTAGGAAGTAATGTGAAATCAAAACAACTTAAGACAGGCATCAGAAAGAGATGATTATATTCCCTCGCAGATTATCATGGGCAGGTACTGTGGCGCCGAAATGTCGCATGCTGCGTGCCTACATTGTGAAACAAATGATGACACTCTTTATTAAAGCCAAGTCTCTTTCTTTTCTGTGTTTTTTATGGATCTCGACTTCGTCTCGGTTCATAAATTTTGTATTTATGAGGTACTGATCTCTGATTATAACTGAACGATTTCGATGTCTTTCCAGAATTCTGACAATAAAAGAAGTTCTAAAAGATTTCAAAGCGTTTGAAAACGTCGTAAAGCAGCTCTGTTAACCACATCCTTAACTCGTGCCTCAATTTATTAAGACGATTTTTTTCACCTTTAACCAAAAATCTCCCACAGAGAAACCGGTCTGACTTGGTTAGCTGAGAAAGTCAATTAACACGAGTAACAGTTATTACCTCAAACAAAGCGCACTGATAAAGAGCTTCAAGAGTCAACAAACTGAAAAGTCTCTCGATCGCAGCATGTGGATTGATCCATAAGAAACTGGGAACCTTAGGAAGAAAATTAAAATCTTGGTGTTTAACTCATAATTAGAAGTCTGGGGAAGTTGAAGCATTCGAATTCAAAGTGTCTAGCCGCACGTTGAGATTAACTTTTGAAACTGAGTCACATCCGCTCACCATATGACGGTTGGGTTCTTTGCTTCTATCGAAGTAACTCGGTTTGAAAAGGCTCTTAATGAAGATGTCGTGACCAGCGTGTGGTTTCAAAGCATCTGGTCACCGTAGGAAGAGAGACACTTAATCAGTGATGATCTACCTTGCATCATAACCCCATTGAAAGTAAAATTGAAAGAAAACAGACAGATGTTCTGTACGATTATATGTATGACGATTTCCTGAAGATTTCCCACGCTCGCAGAAGTTAGCTCAAAGGAAAATTCCACGGTCCGTCCAAACATTTTCCCCTCCTTTGTCTAACTGACCGCATTGACTAATTGGTTGATATTCTGCAATCAGCATTTCCTCGTCATTTGATTGGATCATTTAAAGTTTGGAGCTGTGTTAAATTGTGAACAGCCTTATAGAAAAAAATTGGATACTGCAATGCCAACATTGTTTGCTGTTAACTGTAATTTCTTTACTTTCAATAGTAACTCAGCGAAAGAATTGAACCGTTAGTCGTAAAATGGCCACAATTTAAATTGTCAGCCGCAAAAGCCATCACCTATTGAGATCCTCTTATAATGCTGATGATTGTCCTCTGTATACAAAACGATTCAAATCAATGTGTCTCACTTCCCGCCTCATGCTCGCGCTAAATTTTACAGATTGATAATTCAAAGACCTTAGTAACTGAAGGAAGGAAACTGGTCGAAGTTATATCACTGATCTACGTGAGTTTGAAATTTCGTTTTCATTAAGAGTCAGTATTATCATAATTCTGATACGGAATAAATATGCGCCTCCCCTGTGACAAAGTAGTAAATCGAAGAGACCTTTAGTGAAACTGACAAACAACATGTAACCGATATCAATAATGGTAGAAGAAGCCTTTAATACCTGTGACTGTTATTCAGATGTAGCTTTTAAGGATGTCTATTACCGATGTTTGTATTTTACTATCGATATAGCCTCGATTGCCTAAGAGCAAACGTTCATGTAAGACATACTTTTTCTCCAAAAGGCTCCTATTTATGTACCTAAAAATTAGGTTTCTCACACTTCGTAAATATTGGCTGCCATGGTAATGGTTTGATTAGTCTACATGAAAGTAAACAGGCGACATATTTCTGAAGTACCAGTGGAGGTGTGGCTATGTTTGAGGAGCCTGGCACTAAAAGTTTGAATTTGTCCCCAAAAAAATAACGAACATTATTTTTGTCCCAGAATATGCGACATTGTGATATTCCTTTGCAAAATTCGTTTAAAACTAAATTCTTGATTTTAGTTATTGAGATTAACTGCACTTCAGAGCAACCACCAAAATTCAAGTGTACCTGTTTATTTTCAAAACAGCTTTTTTTTTTAACCCTCAACCGTCAGAGGTACCTTCCAGATACCTCCCCACTGAGTCGCCCATTAATTCCTTTGCTTAAGACTTGGCGGCAGTGCATGTCTAGACGCAAAAAAAGGATTAATCAGTTCTTTCTGTATCACTCATTTTTTTTTTTTAATTCTTGCTCTCAGAATGACTGATATAAATTTATTTGAATAACAAATTCCGCAGGCCTGATCAATTCATATGCATCTGCTATCAGTTTTATGGGTCTGAAGTTTCAAAATGGAACAAAATTACACTTGTTGATCATAAGGGTCCTTCCATATTTACCAGCAACTAAGTCATTTATTTTCTAGAGACATATAAAGTTCCTTGTCCATAATATCAATTGCGCAACTCACTATTGGAAGCCGTGGTTGTGCCAAATTATTGGAAAACAGCTGGTAAACCCTATAATAAGCCAGCCAACTAAAACAACTTTGACTTAAGTCCCATCAGAACAATAAAACAAAAATATATTTTCTTTTTACAAGTTTGGAGGTAATCTAATCCCCTTAATGGTTGAAGGAGGCTTAGTAGAATTAGAGTTCATACGAAAATGATAACCAAAGAAAAGAGCTTGAACAAAGGACGCCAGTTCGTTTTATTTAAGGTCCACACAAGGTTATACACAAATAAAATGGGACACTTTTAATGAAAAAACCGAAACGTTGGTTTGAAAGGTTCACTTGGCTATCATCTCGTGGCTTACCTTAAAGCTAACTGTGCTTCTATTATTATTTTTCCATATGTGCAGTACCCCCGTGTGAACTAAAGATTTATGAACGAAACTAATTACCTTGCAAACACCTTTTTTTTCATTGAAGAGGATCGCACGGGCCTTGAGAAAGTTTGAACTAGAATGCCTTATCGATTACTTTATTCTATTCAAAAACTAAACTCACGTACGTCATTTTTTCCTAGGTGTTTTAACGTTTTTTCCCTTTGTTCGAGTTTTTTGTCAAGCCAGAGAAATATTCAGTCTGAAAAGTATTTCATCTCTTACATGGTAATCACCAGTTTAATATCGGGTTCTTTCAAAAAACAATCGATATCAATTTCACGACATAAAGATGTACAAGTGTTACTTCATAGCTCAAAAATTCAAAGGAAGTAAAACGATGAATTGTCGATATTGAATTTGCACTAAGTAAGCGTGGGCTGTTTCTGAGCGGACAAAAAGAAAAACATTACTCAAATCCCAATTATTCCTCCCTCGAGACCACAGATTGTAATAAGGAGTTTGTAATAATAAGGGCTTTGCACATTTTCCTTTAATTCTTTTCAACACCTTTCACTTAAAATAGTTTACATTACTGAAGATGAAAAACAGTCGTCGTTATCGTAGAAAAACTTACATTTCTGAAGTCGTATAAAGACCATGCTTTGCTCCAGAGACAGCGTACCGCTAGCTAAAAAAAGACTACCTACCTAACACTCTTCGCCTCTTTCTGCTTTCCACGTTCCGGCTGATTGAAATCATGGTCGGTATTCAAATTAACCAAACTAAGAAGGCATTGTGAATTTTGTCAATATCGTCAAACATGCCTTGTTAAATATTAATTTCTGTCTACATAACAGGTGACTGAAACCTTGCAGGAGAACGCCTCCAGGAAGAAAATGGCGGGCATCTTGTCTTTCGCATGTATCATCACTTTGGCGATATACGCAGGTATTCATTTTTAGTCTCTTTCCATGAAACTTTGTCGCTCAAAGTCGCTTTATCTTGCCCAGTGTCTGTACACTCCGTGAATACTGGCCTAACCAGCGCCAGGGAATTGGGAGAACAGTGTTTTGGCATTAGCAAGCAAGAATTATGAGCATGCGAACTACATATCGTCAATCACCGTTCTTGAGTCCAAACCCAAATCAAAACAACGTAAAGCCGTTCGTCAGAAAAGAATTGAGTCCAAAATGCCGCAATTGCATACTTTATCTTACCGTATACTAGCATTCAACTTTGGTCAAAATGTAATATTAGTTTGTACTGCTTTCAAATCCGGTCTTTATCCTAAAGGATAAAGTGGGATGAACAATTATGCACGCTCGCTTGAGCAGCATGGATCTAAAATTCCAACCTCGACAATATTTGGTCGAAAAATTTAGAATATTCATGCAGTACATTGGAAAGTGAACACAATTTCGACTCAAATCTCCGTTATGCTTGATTTTCACGACTTCGTTAGTGTATTTATTACGATGCACAAGCGCTAGTCAACACCAATGTCAGTCTTTAAGTCTTGGTGAATTAACCCAGTACTGCGGTTTTTTACGCGGAAAAAATATTTAAAGTTCTTTGTCAATAGGATTTGAAATTTATGTACTTTTTGAAGGATAAATTTTTATCATCTTAGCGGCATAATCTTGTGGTATACAACATTGCGGGGTTCCAAACCTGATTTACATGCCGAGTTTTGATAACAACAGATACCTCTAATTCCAGATGTTTCCCCGTTTCACAGATTCCGGTAAAGAAACAAATTCAAAGCCGTCTATCGTTAACTGCGTTCAGAGAGAACACCTAACTAACAAAAAAATTTCAAAATTCTTCCAGCTTTGGTTTCCTTCTAAATCATTTCAGTTCAATTTGTAGTGTTTGTTTACTTCGTCTCTCGCGGTTCATGGTTGTCTTTTGGCGTACTTCATGAACCATATGTCAATCATCTGATATCGAAGGAATAAATAACAGTATCGTCGGATCAATAAATAAAATTCCATGTCATTGGCTTAGAACCCTCTAGTGGCGTTTTGAATCCTTTCCCAAAAGCTAAGGAGTGCACTTCATCCGCTCGCGTATATTAAACTCGTAGACAACAGGTGTGATTTTTCCGATTCCCTGGTGCTTCGTTGCTTTCCGCACACTCTTTTTTCTGGGAAGGCACACTCAGGGCTGTATTCACGGCACAAACATGACACTGGAAGCTGTTCGCATCTCGCATCTGTTCATTGCTATAATTTGGCTTGGTATACAAGGCTACGGCGATGGAATAAATACCGACCGCAAAAGTTTAGATGGTAATAACGCGACTACAACAAAGTCCAGTGAACTACAAAAGGATTTGGTGGCAAACACAACCAAGGAAGATGGTTACAATGGCACATTGGGTACGACACTCTGGTTATTAGCATCTTTCATTTTTTACTTTTGAATTAAGTACCATTTACCATTACCTGACTACTTAGCAGACTGAACACTCGGAACACTTTTGACAAAAATCTTTGGCCAGCTTAAATGAATTATACAATTTGAGACGAAAATCTAGAGTATATTTACCTTTTTCACTTTACGAAAGCACGCGCGTGTCGCAAAACACTTAATGAATGTTTCATAAACGTGTCAGCTTCTCATGAAAAAAAAAATGCATGAGTTATACACAAGACTTTAGACTGATAACATCAAGTTCGTACAAAACACAAAGTACATTTACCGTAATCTAAAAGCCGCATTACAGGTTGAAACTGATTTGCCTAAAAGGAAAAGGAATTATTTGCGGAATTCAATCTAAACTCTTATCTCGAACAACAACTTACAATAACGGAATCGCTTAAGCTGCTATTCAAAACAACAAAGCGGCGTTTAAACCTTTCGATTTTTGAAATTACTCAAATAATAGCCCGCAGAAGCTTTTTAGTAAATTGACGAAACAGAATTCAATTGATTTCCCGAGGCAATTAATAGTCCTCAGACTACTGAAAGGATACATAAATTATCCCGAGCCACAGAGAATAATGAAACATCTCTTTGCTATATCATTTATTTGCCCTTAAAGCTATGTTTTCGTTATTCATTCTTTGAGAACTCATAAAAAAAAATCAAATTTTTACAATAACGCATTTTTCCCGTACTAGAAAGATATACCTTCTTCAGCGATTTTCCCTTTTAATTTTATTTGAAAATTTGATAATGTTGTTTAGAACATGACCTCGAACTGGATCGATTGGGTTTTAAAAAGTAAAAGATGCAGTTTCTTTTCTTTCTCGGACAAATTACATTACAATTCACCAATTTCAGTAAAATGGCATTTTCCATGCTACTTCCTGTTTTCGAATCTATGGAGAATACTCAGTGCAGAGGGTTCCTCAATATTTGCGGTTGCTGTATCAGTTGGTTGAAAGAAAACATTCATTTACTTGGATAAATATCACAAACTCGTTTGGATGGGATTTTCAATAATCCAGATTCACTCAGGAAGCCTGCGTAGTAGTATTCTCTGTTTCCTTTACACCTGAGTCGTGCTAAGGCAGAGGGCGGAGTGAAGAAAAAAAAATTACGTCGGGGATAAGAATAGCAATAATATATCATTTACGAGACATCTTAAGCGTAGGCTTCGAAAAGGGGGTAGGTGATTGGTTCTTAATTTAAAAATGGTATGCTAATCTTACAATATCTGACACCGCGAAACCCCTTTTTAACTCGTAAAATGGCTGGAGGCCATTTAAAAATTGTTGTTATGACCCAAAATTCACTCCCTCTATCCACTAATCCATTACTCCGTCATTCCTTCCTTCACTTCCTGTTAACTTTTTGGTAAGACCGCTGACTAGCGCATAAGACTTTTGTATGTTTAGTTCCTGCGTGAGACTCAACAGATCGCTAAGAATTGGTCAAGATTTTAATAGTCTGTATAGAAACAACGCATATTTAATTGACAGCCGAGATCTAAGATCTATTCGGTTATTTTACTGATGGATAACAAACAGGCTTAAATTAGACTGTGTGCATGAGGTACTTGGTTTTACAAAGAGCGACGATTATTTACAAAGTGCGACAAAAACTGGTGCCCATTTTGTAATGTAAAGATAGTATTGATTTCAAGTTTAGCCATCTAAGAATGCGTAGGCAATGCTTCACGATCTGCTTTTAGTGACTTTGGCACCTTTCTTAGAAATTATGTTCATATATGTAAATTGGTTATGGTCAGCTGCTTGAAAAATTTCCAGCGAACTAGATATCATTTTCGGAATTCCGTCCATTAGAAATTTTTCTCAGGGAAACTTCGTTTGTTTTTCAATTTTAATTGGCATTGAATGCTGTAAGACTGTTGAAGTGAAATGGTTATATCGCATGTTTTTTTGCCCTACTATGTTTCGACTTAAATGTACTTCGGAAATGTCTTCTACGTGCGCTAATGTCTACCTCTAGGCCACATGCTTCATGATAAGTGAGCGACAAAACATGTTTCTTGTGGGGCATATACGAGCCTGTGTTTTTTTAGCAAGTTGTGACTGTTCGAATCTGTTTAAATAAGTCGCTTTCTTAGAATATGTTTACCAAATATTTGCGGTTTGGCGTTTATCGGTAGAGAAATCGCCTTAAGTACATTGAAAACCCTTAGGGTCGAGGAGAAAAGAAATGCCTTCATCCATGTAAAATTGTGTAAAGTACAATGAAAGTCATATTGAGTTGCGAGAAACATGTCTACGTAAATCATGTAAACCGAGTAAAGACTCTAACATACCTTTTCTCCTATTAATTTCTGGGGTTCATACAAAAGCAGCCAAGAGTCATTTTTGAGTCATCGGTACAAATATATCCAGAAAGACAAGACACGGTCAAAATCGTGGACACCCTTAAGCTCTCAGTAAATAATACTTTCCGAAAAAGTCTATAAAACGCATCTTAAGTGCCTAGCCAACCTCCCCATCATATATTTTATATCCTGTTTTTGACAAAAAAAATTATATCTTTTCGACAAATATCATGGTGACAAAGAGTTTTCACCAGCCCTAATTGCAGCAGGTAATTATTGATTGGATGGTGTTAAATTTTCACGGGCGGCAAAATGATGTAATTGCCTGCCACCTTGTTAGGATTAGAATACAAACGCTTGAACCATGTTTTCGCACATCAAAGTCGCAAGAATGAGAGACGCGAAGAACAAAGAAGTCATATTACTGATTCTCTACTTAAGCCGTCATTAATCGCGGATTGTCATTGGTTTATTCTTATCCTTATACTAATGATTCTCATAATCTTTTTTCCACAAGACCATAAACGACGAGGTCGTAAGTGGAGTAGTAAAGGGATTTTATTTGAGAGAGAGCATCTTTCCTTGCTTGTGATTAACCTGAATTCAACTGCAATACAATTACTAATGATTACCATGTCTGACACACTCAAAAGAAGCGGTGTTAGAATCAGTAATGTTAATCATGCACCATACCTTTCAGGCAGTTTTTTTCTTCTCCTCTTGCGGTCCAACATACTCATTTAGATCAATCTGTCCTGGTGTTGAACCCCAATAGCTCTGAAAGAAAGATGATACACGTATCATAGAACGCGAGAAAACCACCGTGCGGCTGTAACAACTCGTTTCTTTTTTAGGATGAGGGAATACGTTATATTTAGAAAAGAGATCGAAATTAGCGTTAACTGGTTCGTTTGAAACCACAAAGGTATCAACACTTCATAAATTCTTTACGAGAATCTCTGGCACCGCTGAGAGTTGCGTAAGGAAGAACAGCAGTGTCCAAGAAATATAAAAACATAGATCATTGTTTCCCGGGCAGACTTTCCTAAGAGATCTCTTGAACGACGCGTCCATGGCGTCATTATTTTATTATTCGTGCGATCACTTCTATAGGATGTTTATACCATGACGTCACTCGTGTAGCTTTTCCATTTATTTGCATCAATATTCTGAGTCTAATTAAGGTTGATCTGGCGTGGTAAAATTAATTATCAGTCAGTCTAAATTTCAAATGGATTTTCGACTCGAGGAAAACAATTTTACTGGTCTTAGGATTTAAGTTTAAACTTTTTGGAGACGTAATACATTGGCCTTTGAGTGTAATTTGCCGCATTTCTTCGTCCCAGTCGAGATGTATAGCGATCACTTGACGATTCTCCTCGGCTTTCTTTTAATTACCTCCACAACAATTGTAGGTAGGTTAGGGTATTCAACTATTTCATAATCCTACAACGTATTACATTCTTCTTTGTTCTGGCGAAAGTAGTGACTCATTTAAAACATAACAGATATTCATCAGTGCTCCGAGAGCAAATGTGTGCTGTTATTAAAGTAATATTATAATTTTAACCACAAGATCAGTGTTCACAAAATATTCGCTAAATTTATTCAAGAAATACTCTTTTTTTCATTTAACCATTACCTCCTGCTGTTTTCATGTAGTGAAACTGAGTTACAAATTCTAATTCTACACTGTAGTTGAAAGTAAGTTCCCGGTTTAAAATGAAAAACCAACAATTTGTGAAGGTCTTAATTTTCACCTGAAATAAGAAAGGCTGTAACTTCCCTCTTAGTATCTGTTTGTTTGTTCGAGTTTCTCAGCCATCCAGCTACGATGCTTTCGACAGTCCTTTCTAGAACATTCGATTTACTTAATCCAGAGAGTATGAAAATTGGTCTTCGCGTTGTTTTCGTTCAGGGTGGTTACCTACACAACTTTCAGTGGCATGAGGTCGCATTTTAATTGATAACTTTTTTATGCTAAGTAATTTTTTCCCCGCAACTAATTGAAGACTGAAAATTTTTTTTAAAAATCCGCTGGATTATCTTTCCAATTTAACTAGAAGCTTTCCAACACGTTTATGTTTAAGTTAAAACATAGCGATTTATTCTACCATGAAACGGGCCTTAAATACTGGCAGAACTAAATCATCAACGTCTTATCAAGAAACCAGGCGACAGCCTCTTTTTTTTTTTCAATAATTTCACTCCATTTCAATCGATTAGAGTGAAAATGCAAATGAAAAAGGAATGCATTTTCATTTTAAGATTAAACGCTATCTAGATTTATAGAGTGGGAGACTGGATTAAATAAAGTAAAATAAGCCCAAAGGACTTTGAAATAAGCAAGCCAGCACTTGATACACTCCTACACAACTTTTGTACACATGTTCCTTTCGAGAAGAGTTCATTGAGAGATGTATAAAGCTGATAGTCTAGCCACATGCTTACTCCTATTAAAAAAAAAAAAAAAAAAAATATATATATATATATATATATATATATATATATGTATATATATATGCAACATTTTAGGGGTTCTCGATGATCAGAAAAGAAAGCAATGTTGGTCAGTGCTCTCGACAAGAGTTCATGCGTGACACGAGTTGACGTGACGTGACATGATAATGACATGATTTGAAAATGACGTAACGCAACTCGCACTAACCAATAACTTTTAACTTATTTTCGGTATAGATGCAATCAAGAAAAGTGACGACGACGAACTTAGGCTGGTCAAAGACCTTTTTGAGAATTACAGCCAGGAAGTCAGACCAGTAAAAAACAAGAACGCTGCTATCAAAGTTATCTTTGGTATTGCCTACACTCAGCTCGTCGAACTGGTAAGTAATGTTAAGTGGTTTACCTTATCTCCTCAATAAGCGCCAACGCTCTAACAAGCGCCCTACCACGCACTAATAAGCGCCTACTCCCTTGGCCAAATTGTCAAACAGGCGCCTCTCTCGAATAAGTGCCTAGCCTCCTTCCTCGCTTTCTTAAAAGACCATGCTCAACCAGTATGCTTTGTGCGCCGATGTTGTTATTATTCGGGGAACGCTGTACTGTTTTTAACAAACCAACGGAACTTCCATAGCTTTTGCCAATATTTTCACGACAAAAAAAAGAGGTGTTATCAACTAGAGCACAACTAAACCGCTAGTTTGGAAGAGGTATTTTGACGACGTTTTCTGTCTGTAGAGCACAACCAAATACACCATGGAAGAACTTGTAAGGTGAGCGCAAACAGCCACTACGATACAATCAAATACACAGCTGAAATATCCGACTCAGAAATTATATTCTTGGACACAAAAGAGTACAAAGGCGAGAGATTTGACAGGGAATCGACTCTTAACATGCAAACGCATTACAAAAAGACAGAGATCTTCCAATACATTAATTCTTATTTCTCATCTACCAGGTGTACAAATTCGACAAGCTCTATGCTTGACAAAAACTTAGTTTCAAACTACGCTAAAAGAATGAAGGACTGAGAGAAATATATCTCTGAATTTAATTTAATCGAGAGAGAAAGGTCACTCAAAGGCTTATCTTGCGATATCAAATGTTGAAGGTAACGAGCTATCGGGCACACCACGCTCGGCGGAAAGCACCACTGAAGACTCTCGAACTGTCTTTTCTTCTTTATTTAATTACTCAGTTCTCTACGCACATCCAAGTTTACTTCATTCTGTGCAAAAGATACCTGTTTCTATTGCCGCTTTATTTATAAATCTCAAGCTTCTCCTACTGCAGAATTAGTACAGGAGGATAATAAGTGCCCTCCTTCCAAGTGTCCTCCTTCTTTAATGAACGCCCGGACGCTTATTCGAGGAAAAACGGTGCGCGTTTGCGAGTTTCAAAAGCAACCGTTTAACGACAGAATCTCACTTTAAAATTTGCGCGAAAAAGCGATATCGCACAAATTTCGACGCGATGATCGGTTTTTAAGTGAAATTTAACGCGGTATCCATGGTTCAGGTACTGAATTTTCTCAGAGTTGCGCAACTATCTGCAAATACAAAATCGCCTCACACGCGCTTTACAAACCATTTAAACTGAATCGACTGTATAAAACGGTAATAACACAAACTTGAGAGGAAACCGAGATGAAATTCACGAACCTCGTAAACCCCTAACCCTAACACTAAGCCAATAAGCTGTAAGTATACCATGGCAACCTTTTTCTGTATCCCACATACTTGCATCCAACTTAGAATTTTTCCAGAACCTCGTAAACCCCCTAACCCTAACACTAAGCCAATAAGCTGTAAGTATACCATGGCAACCTTTTTCTGTATCCCACATACTTGCATCCAACTTAGAATTTTTCCAGAACCTCGTAAACCCCCTAACCCTAACACTAAGCCAATAAGCTGTAAGTATACCATGGCAACCTTTTTCTGTATCCCACATACTTGCATCCAACTTAGAATTTTTAAGGAAAGGGAAATTTACTGCTACAGACCGGTATGTTGCCATAAGCTACTATGGAGGGTTATACATATATGCCTTTTGGGTAGTTATTACATTTCACCTGGTAGAACTTTGTGCTAATATTTTCTTTTGACTTTGTTTAATCACAGGATGAAAAGAATCAAGTCCTAGTGAGTAACGTTTGGATAAGACAAGTGAGTAATTTAATTCTAACGCTCTCTTCTTATTTAAACAAGGTTAATTCAATAAAATATTTAGTACCTTAACATTGTTCGCTCTGTGGAAGAGAAATTGAGCGCGGTACTTGCTTAAATACTCATTTTTAAAAGAGGCGTCTTGAAGAAAACGAAAAGTTGAGCAATGACCCTAATTTAAAATCCTTCCATGTCTAGCTTCCATCCAGCAAATCTCTTTTGATAAAAAAAATCCATCTAACGCTGACTAGTTACTTAAAAAATTTCTGACATTGCTCTTCTAAGGAAAAGTTTACTCGTTTTAATTCAGTATTTCTACTTTTTATGACCAACATTTCGCAGAAATGGAACAATCACTTGTTGCGCTGGAATGCCTCTCATTATGGTGGTATTAAGTCCATCAACGTAGATCCCAAAATGGTGTGGCTTCCAGATATTGTGCTCTATAACAAGTAAGTAGAATTCTGCTTAACCATACCATTATCATGTAATTTACACCTTGGTGAAATGTTTATCAGTTAAACATAGAGGTTTTTGAAAGTTCTGCGCCCCATGTAGACGACAGATGTTTGGCGACCAAAAACATTTTTGGTTATCAAAAATATCTGGACACCAAATATATGATAATGCTTGAATTGAGTACGCAAGACAAGACTACACACGAAGGTGAAAAAACTTGTCTGTAATTCAATGCCTTCCAGTTCTTTTTCCGTCTTGTATTTCTCTTAGCCCTGAGGCTAAAAGGGAAAAATAGCAATAGCAGCGAAAGTAGTTCGTTTTTGAAATTTCTAATTTTTTTCATACGTATTCTCCAGTGCAAATACAGGAATAACAAGCGGCAATATGGACCAGTTTAAAACGAAAGTGATTCTGTCCAGCGATGGTACTAACACCTGGTAAGTTGACAATAAGACTACGTTATGGGAATATGAGTATGGTAAATCTGAACCACGTCTACGCTTGCGTTTTCGTTTGAAAACGAATACTTTCCGACTCGTTTTGGCCTTCCATCCCATACTAAAACGCTCGAAAACAAAACGAATCGATTCAAGAACACTCTCAAAAGTGGAGACATCTGAAAACGCAGGCATATCGTTTTACTGTGGACGGTCGAAAATGGAGCCTTTTGAAGACGCACTAGTGTAGACGGATCTGAGAATTCATCTGAGTGTAAAGAGATGCTTAGGGTTATTTCATTTCAAACGATTTCATCGTTTGGACGTACGGTTTAAAAACAGGGAAAATCGTTTGAGGAATATTTCCGGTTATTCTTCAACTCAAGTAGGGGCATACTAGACCACGTGGTTTTTTTTTTTTTTGCTAGTTGGGAACGAGATAAAAAACCACGAAGGATAGCAGACTGTATTTAAAATAGACTCTTAGTTCAGCAATCGCTCATTAATCCTCCTCCACTCTAAATTACATATACTGCCAAGTAGGACTGGTTACTCTGGTTTCATCGCCCATTTCATGTAGTTTTTAGGTATTACCAAAGGAACAGTATCTGCGAGACAATGCAGAAGTCTTGTTACACATGAACCTTATGGACTATGTGGCCTGACTCAACAACGAGTTAACTGCAGCCCAGTAGTTGGAGAGTCCATCCGGGACATCAGCATATTTGAGATTAGAAACTTTACGAGAAGTCACCGAATTTCTCTCTGCCTCCGTCCCTGAAAATTTTTGTAACCACTCATGAATAGCGAAAAAAATAAGGCATAGAATAAAGAGGGTTAAAAAAAGTGACACCACATGTATGCTTTACGATTTCATATAATATAATATATAAATATATAAATTTTTAGAGCGCCATATCCTAAAAGCTCTATGGCGCTTTACAATTTTGAAAATAAATAAAAAGTTACAAAAAACGATAAAAAGCTTGTCTAAAAAGAAGGGTCTTGAGGCTCCTTTTGAATGTGTCTAGTGTGTCTACGACTCCTTTTGAATGTGTCTAATGTGTCTTATTTCATAAGGTATGCTCCAACAATCTTAAGGAGTCGTTGTGCCATTGACATCAAATTCTTTCCATTTGACGACCAAAAATGTGATCTCCACTTCGGTTCATGGACGTATGACGGACTCCGTGTTGATCTATTGAACGCGAGCAATTCTGTTGATCTCGTCTCTTACATGCCGAGTGGCGAGTTTGAAATGGTAGAAGCTCCCGTCAAGAGGACTATCGTCAAGTACAGGTAAGGTTGGCAAGTTTGTATTATGTGCAGAATAGAGAGATAAGAATGAAACGCTGGCCAATTATTCATAAAAACGTTAAAAGTAGCTGGTAAGTTATCCCAAACAGTCGTCACCAATAATACTCACTCGAGTCTCCCTTGATCTAGGCTTGGTATACAGGAGCCCGGCCGGGGATTTTCCATATACCCAAGGATGATATCCCCTGTAGTTCAATGGGTATTTGAATGATTTACTCAAGTCCACCTTTTTTATATTTTCATGCACTTAGCTGTTGCCCAGAGCCATATCCAAATGTGATATTCACACTACACATCCGAAGAAAGGTGCTTTTTTACTTTAACAATCTCATCGTTCCCTGTTTCCTCATAACCGCCTTTGCTCTCCTGACCTTCGTTTTACCACCCAACACCGGAGAGAGAGTTACACTCGTGATCACCACATTGCTAGCGATGACTGTCTTTATGCTGATGATTGCCGAGAACACCCCGACCACTTCAGACGTCACGCCTTTGATCGGCAAATTCTTCGTCGCCTCCATGGTGGAGATAGGACTAGCTCTGATTGCTACGTGTTTCGTTCTAAACATCTACGAAGCAACTGGACCGAGCTCTGAAGTGCCTCGCTGGGTGCGTGTCCTTCTAATCGATATCCTGGCACCCATTCTCCGAGTTACTCGACCCAAGGAGAAACCTCAGCGCAAATTTCACGGCCCGAGCAATCAGAATATTCACTCGTATAGCCCGATCATGCCCGAACACAATGGAAACAATATAGAAATGGATGGAAGTCCAAGGGATGTACTCGTCATCGCACCAAAGGTCGGCGAGAAGATCCTGACCTCACGAGACTTCATCAATTCTGTAAACGACAATAGTATCAGACACAGAGTGCCTTCCTCGCAGGAAAAGCTCCTGGAAGGCATCAACGTGCTCACCGAACGAGCCAAAGAACAGGAAAAAGAGGAGGAGATTAAAGAAGAATGGGAATCAGTGGCCAAAGTTATAGACCGCTTCTTTTTATTACTTTTTATTGCAACAGTGGCCATATCGACAGCGCTTATCTTTTTACAGCGGCCAAGTTACGCCACGATGTAAGTGAACGGGGCCCAAAAGTGTTTGAAAAGCTTTAAGTACCGCCCAGTTTTCCCCCCAGGCTGAGGAGGATTGGCTGCATGTCTTGAGCAGCCACATCGTAAGTGGCCTGTTTTCGAGGAAACCATACCATATTAATGGGACACTGCTCGATAAGGTTTGTTGTTTCGAGTAAAGAATTTAAATCCTTAAAAAAATTAAGGAAAGGCTGGAAGATACAGTTTTTGAAATAAATGTTTAAATAGACTTTGACGAACCATTTAGAATAAAGGAGATTTCTACGAAATAATCTAAAAGAGACTTCGAGGTTGTGGTTAGACGGCCGCGAAAGTGAGTTACTTTTGAATGGAACGCTTTGATAGACATTCCATTTTTTAGATGGTTCCCCGTGTAACTGAGAGAGGATATAATTATTTTAATCGTGAGCTGTTATTCAATTTTGTTTTCTTCTTTCTTTTTGCTAATTTCACGATATTGTTTTGCAGTTTACAACAAGTTATTTAGTAGTGCAAATTAAATCTTGTCGCAGCGCGCGAAAGGAGAAGGTTTAATATAACAACACAGTTTTTTAAACATACGAAAACATATGAGGCTTTTAATCTATTTTAATTGAATCAAAATGTAACTGACGATTTTCCTACCAAAATGCTGAACTTTAAGACTGTTTACAGTTTGTTTAAAATCTTTTGCCTTCCGCTAGCTTTTTGTATGTAGATTTTTAGATTTTCAATGTCATATAGTTGTTTTTCTTGCAGTTTTTCGATCCTCGTGTATCCAGAGCGGTTGTTTTCCTTTAAATGTAATTCATTGTATAAATAGAATTTGCAAGAATTCAGACGGAAATTAATTTGATAGGTAAAAATAAAAATTTCTCAATAGAAGTCTCGGTCACAGCTCTATAAATCTGCCATAAATACAAAAAGGATTTGAACCCCCTAAAAAATCAACTACAAAGATCACAGCAATGTGCACGTAAAATCGTTTTGCCTTACAGGAAATTAAAATTTTTATATCACTTGGACGCCACGCTCTACGATTGGACGAAAATCTTCCTTTTACCACATTTAGGATGCTGTGAGAACATCCGAAACGTTAATTAGCCGTGAGAGGGAGGGAAATGATCTATTAACTTTTGTCCTGTTAAACTTTCCTTGCAACATCTCGAATGGCTTCTTACGCCGTTTCACCGATAGAAAATAAGGTCTGCTGCATAAGACAAATTTTAATCATGCGCGTGTCGTAGGTCAGTTATCAAGCTTGAGCTCAAGTGGCCAAGTTCAATTCAGTTTACAGAATGGCAAAATTGCTTATAAACGTATTTCCTAAAGGAAGGCGGCTGGTCCGTTTTCGAGTGAGTACTGAGCTGTTGCTACTCAGGGCTAACGAGCGGGAAAGGAGATCTCTTTGTGTAGCATTATTGATTTAAACTTACTCGGATATAGATCAGAGTTTGAAAAGCTATGCATGCAATAACAAGTCCTCTTTCGGTTCTACACGACATTCTCTTAAGAAACTATCACTATTAATTGCTTCAGTTGTTTTTTTCCACATTTTTGAATCTTGATTTCGACTCTGCAATGTTTTAAATTTAATTGTTTATAGTGGTTTACTTTAATGACTTATTCTTAAATTCAGTAGAATTATTGAGTCTTTTAGTAAGCAAAAAGGAAACTACACGTATCTTTGCATCGAGTAGATCAAAAACTTACACCAGTTATAGGAAGTTTAGCAAGTTAGTCGGCTAACAGGTGAAGACTGTTGGACATGACTTTTTACCAATATTCATTTTACAGTGCATTTACTGAAACTGGAGCCACCTAGGCAATGAAAAAAAATCAGAATGCAGAACTGAAATAAAAAGTTCCAATATTTTCGGATGCAGCCAATCAAATATAAAGAACTAAACAGTGAAATTACAATTTGATTGTTCCCCGGTAATGGTCACTCTACTTCAATGACGGTTAAATGTCTAACTCTGACCGTTGTTTCTGAGATACATGCTTGGGGCTTTAAGAGTACGAATTGGAAGGATTGAATGCTGCCCTAAGTTACTTCTTGCTTGTTAGTTGATTTCTAGAGTAAATTAGCCAAAATTCGGGTAGAAGAGTGCTTTAATGCGTAAAGTCAGCAAAGTACATGAACGCTTTGATTCTGTAGGATGTTTTGTTTGGATGGCCCGGTTTCATGAAAGGCACGATGAGCAATTTTTTACTGCTTCCTCAAGAAAAGTTATATTCTAGTATTTAGGGAGAACGGTAAACTTACACACTGTTAGGACTATTTAATTTAAAGTAATTCTTGTAGTGATAGTCACATTATTTGTTTGCTGTTAGTCTTCATTTCTTTCCCAAACAGTCATAGACATGTGCGTGGTATGAAGTAGCTTAGAGGAGCTTGGTCAAAAAGATTCAATGAAACATTTCCCATTTTAGGGGTTACAGTTTGCTTTCCAATGTTCTTTCTCCCTTGGGTAACAGTATCTCAATGAAAAATTTCTCCTTCTCTCTACACGAGATAACAGTTAGCTTCGTTTGCAATCCTTCCCTTTACCTAGATAAAAGTTTCCTCCCAAATTCCTGAGTTCTAACACTTTCCTCTCCCTGGAGAAAAGTTTTTTCAATATTTTCATTCTCTTTGAGTCCCTTACCAATCAATCGTTCTCCCTCCTACAAAGATAAACGCGGTTAAATTCTTCATTTTCTCTGTAGTGCCGGTTTCCTCAGGCAATCCTTCCTTGTGACGGTCATTTTTACCGGATATCTCCCGTTTCGGTTCGTTTTTTATTTTCTAGGAGAACCTTTTCTTTTTTCTTTTCTTTACTGCATCCTTTCTCCCTAAACGCAAAAAATAGATACTGTAATGTGTTACGAAAACAATTAACTCCTTAACTCTCTAGAGATACTTCATGCCATCACAAGCATTGCCTATCTAGTAACAAAGTTTTTGGGTAATTCGTTAGAGTATACGCTGCAGAGCACTTACAGCTGTTCGAACAACCTGCCTAATTAAACTCATGTGACCAAGTTTTCCAAGTGTTTTTGTTTTCTTCTTCCTTTAATCGAAAAGCTCAGCGAGAGCATAGCTTACGAATTGAACTGAAACAAAAGTAAATACAGACTGAGAAAAAACTTATAATCATACGTTCACGGAGATTGTAATACATTGTTACAATAACGAATTATGCGTAAAGATGACACTTGAGAATTGGACGCACCTGCGATGTTTACCCAGTTCACACTAAAGAAAGGAAAAATGGCTGAAACGTGACAATTCTCACCTTTTTGTCACCTGCTTTCATTTCTTCTGGACTCGTCTGTTTTCTTTTCTTTTTTTTTCCAAATTTTAATTTATAGTAAGACTTGTGATAATACAGTTAATGGTTTGAACGGGTAGCAGGGTATGGGGCTAGGGGGTTGTGCGCATCGGATTGTGTGGTAAGACCAGATGAGTGAGATAGTCCTGAAGATTTAGGAACTGCTGTGGATGACAAGAACTGGCGTTTGCATAACTTGAGTGGAAGTCATTAATGAAGGAAGAAAGAGCCCGCACCAAGCAAAAGAGAACTCAAGTAGACATCTTAAAGCAATGGCAGCGATTTGGGACAATTTTACAGGATATGCTGAACATAAACAAGAAAGCTTATACGCAAAATACAAAGACTTGCAGAGTAAGACTTTATTACCGATATGATTAAAAATAAAATTCACTGAGGAGTCCGTCGCCTCTCGCCCTACTATTCTCCAGTTTTTCCCTCGTTACCAGGGCCTCTCCAGTAGGATTAGCACAATTCATTCGGTGCCTGAAAACAACAAATCACCCGCATTCACTCTTTGGCTAGGGTACTCCCGTTATTTGGATGAAAAACGGAAAAAAAAGTCTTAATTTATTATGCTTTGGTAGAGAAATAACAACGACCAAACAACGAACAAAGATTTGGTGATTAATAATGTATATTAAAAAATTACGCGCTTCTAGTGGCTGAAAATGAGTGCATTCTCATGTAACACGAATGTCAAGTTGTAACACAAGTGCAAATTACAAAGAGCGCGCGCACACTTTCAAAATTTCATCTGTCTTGACTCCCTGTGATCTTCTTTCGTGCACATTACTAACAAGTAATGACATGATTTCTCTTGCAATTTGGTGTAATTTTCAAAGATTGAAAATTGCAGTTGCCCGCCCCACGGGCTCGTGCAATTCTGTTGTCTTTGAAAAATTTCCTCGTGCTTACTAACACCAAATTGCACTCGAAATCATGTTATTACCTATACTAAGCAGGCGAGGCGACTCACTAACTAACCTGAACATTTTCAGAAAACTTACAAAGAGAGAAACGAATCCCTTTTAAGAACAGTTATCATTGATCCCTGCGACAAAGCTAAGTTCAACTTTCACTTTAATGGTTTAGCATTGCAGGAAATGTTCTCAAAAGTGTATTAAAACGTAGTTGCTGTTCTTACCAATGAAAATGCTGCTCACATGCGAGAGTATTAGGGAGCGCTTTTAGTCCAGTCCTAGACCTATGAAACAAGGGACATGCCTCTAAATATTAATAATATTAGTCTTTGTCGTTGTTTCTGCTGTCGCATGATTGTTTGTCTTTGTATTCTTTGTATTCGCTCTTTTCTCCTCTGTCTCTCAGGGCCGGTCACCATTTCTTGCATGAAGGGCGAGGGAGAGAGGGAGGGAGGGGAAAGAAGGGTTCGGATGATTTTGGTCTTGTCACGATCAAAGTCATCTAATCCCCCTTTAAGCCTCTTGTTATATTCTTATGATTCCTTCCTCATTGGCAGTTGATTGGCATTCAATTTTCTGTAATTCCGCCCTCTATACTCTGTTGGCAACGATTGATACCCCTCCACACCCCCTGAAAACCATGTGATCCACCCAAAATCCCCCCACAACCCCCGCCTCCCTCCTTCATGATAAATAATAACTGGTCTTTCTGTAACAAAATTATTTTTTAGGAAAATTCTTACCAGGTTGCGTTAATCATGGAGTAATGACTTGTAAACACTCTGTCGAGACACGAAGAACACATTAACAGCTGGGTGGCGTCCATCACCTCACAAGTTGATTTACAGCATTTAATCTGAAAATCAAATCATTTTGTTCATCAGAAACTGAAACACGCCAAGAAATTACAACACACTGGCTAGGGTAAAAAAACATCCTAACATTCCTAGTTTGTTTGTTTGTTTGGTTTTTCACTATTAACTCAAATATTAGTTATTAAAGCTTCAAACAATAAGATGGAATCGTAGTCACTATCACTATGACTATCACTGCACAATCAATAAAAATCGTAAAAAGGTCAATAACCGCAAAACTTCGTAACCTCCAACCTGTCTCTGAAGTTTGTAGGAGTAAAGTTTCGTATGGCTGGGATACTCCATTAGATGATCGATAAGATGTCCGCGGCCGTCGCATAAAATTAATCTGGAAAAGAAGATTTATATCTTAATAAAACACAGAAAATTCACCAAATTACCTGTCATTTTTTTCGTTTCGCTCTCTTTGTGTACCACGTTGTGAAAGGCTTATCACTGGTTTTGTAATGATCATACTTCACAGTGAATTGTTTATACACTAAAACAACAACTTACAGCAACAAAAACAAAAGAAAAAAATCACTCTCACAAAAAAAAAAAGAAAAGGAATCAAGTATATAATTCTCTTAAAAATAATCAGTGAAAAATCAACAATCATCACTTGCTGGAAATTCGTGTGACTTGGTACCAATAGCTATTCTTTTCACTTACCCACACTCAAAACAGTACGCCAGGTTTGACCTCACGCCACAGTCACTACACTTTGCATCTTTGGATTCGCGAAGCATGTGACATCTGTTCGCAGAGAAAGGGATAGGAAATTGTTTCAGGAACACTGATACATTGATTCTACATTCTCAGAAATTTGACTCCAAACCTTCACCCTCAACCTTCACTCCTCAAACACCAAGGCTCCTCCTAGCATGGTAATGGTCACTTCCCAAAAGCAGCACATTCAGCTTGCTCCATGTTCTCATATGTCATAAGTGGCTAAGCGAGCTCTTAAAATAACTAGATACCGCATTCCCTCGAATAGAGGCATCCCACTAGCTTATTATCGTAGAAATCACTAGACTAGAAAATGGTCTGGTTGTTCCTGGGAAGTTAACGGCATTTACCAAGAGCGCGGCAATAGGAGAAAAATTAAACGATTAGAAAGCTGATGGAGGTAGATTTAACTGGAAGCGCCTTGAAGGAACTATTCTCCTGTACTGATTCCGCTGTAGTACAAGCTTTTAAAAAATCAATTACGTGACAATAGTAACAGGTTTTCCTTGTGTTCCTACTACGTGAAAAACAGAGGGAGGAGAAGGAGAGGCGTTTTTTCGAGAGGAGCGCTTGTTTAACATTATGGCCAAAGGGGACTTATCTGAGCGTGGGCGCTTATCTGAGCGTGGGCGCTTATCTGAGCGTGGGCGCTTATCTGAGCGTGGGCGCTTATCTGAGCGTGGGCGTTTATCTGAGCGTGGGCGCTTATCTGAGCGTGGGTGCTTATCTGAGCGTGGGCGCTTATTCTAGGATTTAAAGTGCAATGCACAGTGTATATCAACCAAACTTTTGGTACTTTTTCTGGACATATTTTCCCTCTACAACCCTAGGACATGCAGTTGTTGTACAATTGCTGGTATGCTCTCACCTTTTGTAATACTCTTTCAATCGGCTGGAGTCATACGGCCCCTCTGAAGGTTTCTAAAAAATCAATAATGACACATCAAAGAGATTTTTTTCGAGAAAAAAATTATGCAGACGTTCTTAAAACCATTATTATTATAAATGAAATCAAACCTGCATGAATAATAATGTTACAAATATTAAACAAGAATGGCTTTTAACATACCTGTAGAGTATCACTGCAACTGTATAAAAATTCATTTTGCTGCCTTGCAAATCCTAAATGGACAATTGGTGAAGACATTTTTAATGCTCAATGTATGTTAATAAATTTTACCATAAAATAAACAAAGATCTACCCTATATTGTAAATACCTTTGAAACAAAATGGTTGGAGGCTTTAAAAGGAATGTACATATAATGCAAAGCATACAAACAAATTTTCACTCACCAACTGTTGAGCTGACAGTCTTCACTGTACAGTCTTGTGGGAGGTGACCAACCCGTCTGCATCTCCAACTGAAAACAATCAAAGCACCACATAGCTGATACACAGTAGCTCCTTGAAACTTAAAACAATTCTATAATCTTCAAGTTATCAAATTGAGTGGAATTTCATCACAGTGCCAAAAAAAAAAGACCCTATGAATATGGTTCTACTTTTGACATGGTGAAGCCATACATGTGAGGTTCAGCCTGGATCACCAACACCCCTGGGACTGCGCTTAATAGCCAGCATAATCAAGAGTCCGAATAATTGAAAATATGATTATAAATGGTTATAGATAGTGGGACCAGAGAAGCAAGTCCAGATAATAAAAAAATTCTGGATAATTGAGGTTTCAGTGTACTTAGTTTTGGTCTGTGGCTATAAAATACGTGTACTAATGAAGTGTCATTTTAGATTCAAGTTGACTTGCAAGAATGGTGAGCCATCTGCAAGATTTCTAATGAAGAGGTGAGGGACTTCAAAGGTACAATGTAAATGCATATGCATGTGCTTGCTTCAAGCTTATTTGAGGTGAATGCCATACCACTTGTAGGTTGATAAGGTACTGATTTGTTCTTTGTATTTAAGCTTTGTTTTATCCCACATCTCTGGCTTATTTTCTGTATAACTGGTTTGATTCAGCTGCCTTCTGAACAAAATAAGACACAAAAAAATTGTATCAAATTCAGATACCAAATAGTAAATTATGTAATTTTCTTATTACCACGAAATGGCAAAATATGTTTTTTGGTCTTGTTATAAGCATGGGACAAAAAAAAAGGCAGATTCCATAAGGGAAATTAAACCTCAAGGGAACTCTGATTTTTTCCTTTGTACCAGGAAATGGTTAAAAGAAAACTTTATCATTTTCATAAGCAAGACCAAAATTCACCATCTTTCTTATTCTAAACCTGCTTAGAAATGATTAGTTTCCATAATTGTCAATTGTATAGTGTGATTATCCTTCCAAGTGTAGTGTTAAACCACAATGTTATTGGTGACAGTGATTGTTGATTTGTTAAAAACCTGAATGGTTGAGTTGCCAACATCAGTGACAGTTACCTCAAAAAAAATCCCTTTGGAGGCTGCTTAGTCAGCTGGATAATCACACCACAGAAACAACAACCATTTGATTCCCAAGTTAAATGTTAATTGTTCACTATTTTCATCCTCTTTACACACCTTCCAGTTGATAGAATAAATATCAATACTAATAACAAATTCAAAGACACAACACACACATTTTAACAAATTCAAAGACACAACACACAAATTTAAAGAGTCTAACAATGAAAGACATAAATTAAACTACAATTTATGCAAGACATACTTTTCCTCCTTTGCTCTTGTGTATCTACTTGATCTTTCACTGTATGTTTCCAAGGAAGTTTTAGATTTTGAGCTCTTAAGATAACAAGAAAAAAATGACAAAATAAGTTCTTTATAAAAGAAAATAATACTCCAATTCATTTGCACAAATTTTTTTCAGAATTGTTTGTTAATTTGATAGATAATGATTTTTAAGAATCAAGTACTTTGATTTCCTTTTCGTTAGAATTCAGTCCAAAAAAGTCTGTTTCACCCTCATCGGAGTCATCACTCTCATTGGTTGTAGATGAAGAATATCCATCCATCTGTGCATTTTTAGAATCATTGTCACCATCATCTGAGGAGCCACAGTCTTTGTATGCTATACAACAAGAAAAAAAGGATTCTACTGTAATGCCAGGGTTTTCTGGTTGGGGGCATAACATGTGTGATTTGATTTAACAAATGACCCAGCAACATACAAAGTTACCCTCAGCTGGTTAGACCCAGAAGTAAGACGTTAAACAAAAGGTCTCCTTAGTTGTAAAATGTTATCACCAATGTTAAAAAAAGGTAAAAGCAGATGATTACCTCAAGTGCCTGACCTTTCACAGCCCATACCTGAGTTAAAGATCAGATACCTTTTCTTTTCAAGAGTTGAAAATTTGATCACAGAACTTTAGCCCTCTCATTTCAATTCCAAAAAATGAAAATAAATTTAAATTAAAGATTGTTCAATATGGGGAAATCAAAATATAGATCATAGAATTATGAGCAGATGAGAAAATTAATTGCTGATTGCTCAGAATTCATAAATTTCTTCTTTTCTTCTTAGATTTCAGCTGATGAATCCCATGGCATTCATTTTTCATATTAATAATGCATTTTCTAAAATGGCACCAACCAAAGGAGGTAACAAGAGATCTGCAAGTTAAAACCAAACATAACAGAAACTTTCATTTTTTGTAAGAGATTTTACCCAACAGTGCTGATGGAATGGTAAGTGGTTCATCTAAAGTCAAAGGAAGAGATCCTGAATTTGACTTTGACACAGAGGAATCAGGATGTTCTTCATCCCCTTCTCCATTGTTTTGCTTTCTTCTTTTCCTCCTTCTTCTTCTTGCTGGTGATTGCCTCTTCTTACCTGAGAGCCAAAAAAAAAATTTAAGAGTTGTCCTAAAAGCACAGGCAGATTCAGAGAGTCTTTTCTACTCCACATATTATTAAAAACTTTGTAGAAAGATCTATTAAATATAATACAACAAAATAAAAAAAATTGGTTTCACAGAACTTTTTTTGAGGAAACACATGAAGATAAAAATTTAAGGGTGATTTTAATTAAGACACTCATTTTGCTATCTAAAAGTCAGTAACTGCCTTTAACTTAGCAGCATTTCATATTTTCTGGACAGAAAGCAACAAATACCATCATCAAATATCTCTCCACTGTAGAAGAACTTAATACACTGTCTGCCTTGGACAAACAAATAGTACCTTCAATTTTGGAGCTTTTAGAGGCATTTGTAATAAGAGTTCCAAACACTGCACCTTCGTCAGATCCTACAATGAATTATAGGAACACTTTTAATAACTCAATGTATAAATTAAAGAATCCAGATGTTTCCTATAAAAATTTTATTTTAACAGACTACAGACATTAGAAACACATACTTAAATCATTTCACAGATACTGTGGAATTATATTTGATCATTCAAAGTTCAACTAGCACTTCGTTATTTTTTTTATATTTGTGTCACTTGCATCATACTTGCACCGCAGTTATTTTCATTCAACTTGAAATTATAATTGATAAAATTTTGACGAACAGCGAATCTAAAATTTGCATTTTTCATGCATAACCACTGATTCATTAATGCAAACTTCTAAATAAAAAAAATAATCAATCCAGCACCACTCAAAAGAATATCGAGAAAAAGAAAAAAATCATGCAATCATTAGAATATCACACAGCAATTGACAGAAAAGCTCCAAAGAAAAATGTGCAGTCAGACCATTTGAATCTCTCTGTAAAGAATTTTGCTCACACAGAACATTTACACGCCTTTATTGAATTGCCAAACCAAAATTATCTTCTTTGTTTGCAGTTTGGCACTTCTTTCAATGCACAAAACATTTTCTCCTTTGTGTATTTCAATATGTCTGCTCCAGCACTACCCCACTTCGGCATTTGCTATACCTCACACCCATAATTTTACCTGCCTGAGCAACGACATGTGATTGGTTTGAGAATTTCGGACAACTTTCGATTGGCCAATATTTTGACAATACCATCAATTTATAAACTTGAAATGTGCTAATAACACATGGTGCTCAAGTAAGCTAAAGGTCATTGTTGGGCTTGGCCTTAGTTGGCTTCAGAAAGGCGTTGTAGCTGATCAAAGCCTTGATCATTGAGCGTAACTTTTGCTGATTTCAAAGCATAAAGATGGCAACAGAAGTTAAATCACTGCCTGTGAATATTGAGATTGATCCAATTGAAATGAAAACTGAAGAGGTCAAGAATGTTCACTTTTTTTCACAGAATATACCCTTCTCATAATAGTGTAAATTACCTAACATGTATAGTTTTTCATAGGCAAAGCCTACATCTCACCTTGTTTCAAGAAATATAGAGGTCAATATATAGTGATATGTCATAGGTATACATGACAAAGAATTATTTGAACAGTAGTTTAAAACATTTGAGCAACTGCACTCCTGATTCAAGAAAAATTTGAGCAGCAGCTCAAATCATCTCTATCACCAAATAGAGGCTTCCCAAAAGGGTACATTGTCACCAAATATACATAATGACTTCCCATGGGAGGGGAATAGGGTTAAGGAGTCACATGGACATAGCTTAGTAGCTCTAGTCTAAACACTCACCAAATCTTTCAGAAACATTCTTTAGTTCATTCTTGTTTACTTGGCCTGTAGCAATTTTGTAAGCCTATAGAGGTTAAAAAGACAAGCTTATTAACGGAAGGTTACTGACAATAATCAGACCCTCTTCCAAACACAGGCTGGTATAAAAGAAATGTTATATTTATGTATTCTGATCATACAGGTGAGGGTGATCTTAAGAAAGACAGATGTTTTGACAACCTCAAGTCATCATCAGAGTTGACAAATTAATAAATAGATTACATGTCACTGTGCTGCATCTGTTTGGTAAAAGATTACTGATGACATCAAAATGTAGTAAAAACAAAACTATTGCACACAGGGTGCAGCTGAGAGTGTCACGAATGTTCTTACCACATCTTGACATCTGCTGTGCTCTATTACTGTACAGAGCCACAGCAACATGGAATTGATTTGTTTTATACATGTATGATAAGGAAAGAAAAATGTTGTCATTGTTGAGGTCACCTATGTATCTGCCTTCCAATAGATCAGCTTATCGTATCAGTTCACTATGACAATGACTTCTGCTAAGAGTATCACAATGATAGCCATACTGCCAACAACAATCTTTCTCAGGACTAACATCACCTGAGCGATTAGACTACATGGTGAAAATTCAATGAGTGAGAGGTTTAATTTCAAATTTATAATTATAAGTGAGTGGTGCAAAGGAATTTCTACTATTCCACATACCTGTAAATTTCCAAGAAATTTGTCAAGCTTGAAACCTTTGGCATCTGTATTGCACATATAAAAGAAAAAAACAGATTAGGTCGCTTTTTTGGAACATTCAGATTTCATGGAAAAATGTTCGTTGTAGACATTGGCAAAAAAGGAAGCTTACACTATTGAAAACGACAGAATATGATACAGTTCATATAATTACATATATTAAAAATTATTAGTAAATTTAGAGGTGTATTCGAGTGCAAATTCTCTCAAGACCCTCAACAAAGCAATGCCCTTAAAAAAGCGTCGTTTTGGAGTCAACTGTAACCCTCGTGGAAAACATTTCTGAAAATAGTTCGTCTGATTATGAATACTTTTATATACAAGTATAAGTGCTTGTTCTATGCGTCGATGTTCTAAACTTTTAATATTTGCCAATAACTCTTCGTAAGCGTCTTGTTCGAAAGTCCTCCTGCTATCTTAGGACCCTTACTATCATATTCGAAGTGAGGGAGAATGAAAGCTTTGTACAATTTAATCATCACATCTGAGGGTATAAATTTACGAATGCGACAACGTGAAACTTTTGTGTTCACTTACTTCTTTAATGTGTACGTTGGAGTGAATTGTCGATGACTAAAAGTAACGTTAATCCAGTTCATTACTGTCAATAGCAAAGGGCGTTGGACTATCTTAGGCTTTGTGCAACGTAACTTAAGGGAAAAGTGTTGTAGTCAATACTTTCTTACGCTCGTGCCGCACTCAATCTTGGTTTTTCTCTCTTAACAATAATCTGGTATTTTTTAGAGGAAGTAGAAAAATACTCACACATATATGCCGGTGTCTTGTTATTGAAAGAATTCATTTTCAGGAAGTTAACAAAAATTTTCAAGAAGAAATGTAGATATTCTGTATCAACCGTGCATAATCTTACAGGCGCAACAAACTGGAACGCATGATAGTTTATGAAATACTGCTGGCAAGAGTGCTTTGTATTGCTGTCCTTTATTATTAATCTCTAAAATGTCCTCCTCAGTCCTCCTCCCGTCAGTTCATTTCCTCTTCGGCTGTTTTCCTTCACTATTTTCCGTTCTCGTGCAGATCAGAAGGATATCCAAAGGTTGTTACATTAAACTGAGAACTGCACTCTCTACGTTTCGCTCTGAAAATGGATGACGAGGAAATAGACTTTAAGGTGGAAGCGGAGATGGTGATAGCTGACATAGGATTCGCAGTGGAAGAGATGAGCATCTCCAACAAATTACCCTCTTCCCGCGAATATGTTTACTTGAATATTTTGACTAAAGAGCACAGAAGTATTTGCGTCGAACTAAGTGTATTAGGATTTCGGGTGAGTACGTTCACCGTTTACCTGGTTTGCATTACCTGAAGTTGATATTGGAATTTGTGGTAATTGTAGTGAATAACTAAGATTAACCAAGTGCGACCAGCCGAGACGTTGGAATCACTCGCGATCGGGGAATAATGTAATCAGCGAACATACCGAAGCTTCCGTGGTGTTGCTAGGGATATTCTTAGGTCATGAAAGATGGTCACTGAGAAAGTAATCAGATGATCAAATTCAGCGGCGTTTAGGGTCGTTTTAACGACCTCTGGTTTATTTAGTTTTATTATTAATGACAATAACTTCAAAAGTTGTCATGTTTCTTCTTTATTTTGAAAAACAAAATTAAAACCGAGTCTCAAGAAACTGTAAAAAAATCAAACCACTTTATCGTTATAAAGTGATTTTCCACATTTGAAATCTAGCAGATAGTTCTTAAATTCAGGAGTGCGTTAAGTTTTTCATTTCGAACTGTCATACGTATTTCATCTTCTTCAGGCTGATAATGAAGTTAATTCCTTACGGTGTTGTAAAATAAACTATTAATGTCAATAGACTGAAAACAAGCGATGGACCCAGCTGAAAGAGCAAAAAAGGTTTCTTGATATAGGCAAAGAAAAGGTTATAATAACAATTAATGTTATCTAGGAATGCGTTCGTGAAAAAATAACTCCTGACTAACAAAAATTTGAAGAGAGCTTCCTCTCCTGGGAGGGTTCTACATGTATAATTTATTGAATTTTGTTTGAAACACAGCCCAAAATTTGCATGTTAAAAAAGAAAAGAAGAAAGTATCAATTGCAGTGTTGAAATTTTTTTTCCACAACTATGTTTATTCCCCAGAAAAAACTCATACCCCTTCCATGGGTGTTCCAGAAATTTTAGGGTTTTAGGCAGTATACATACTTAAGATCATTTCCACTGACCCTCCACAATTAAATCCAAGAGTTAAAACAGGTGCAATGTTTATAAAGTTTTAGTTAAATGACAATATGTTTTGAAGTTTATTTTTGGTAGTTTTATTCAGTTCAGTGACTATCTGAACAAATCATTGTATTGTTGGAGGTGAACAATCCTCGTCCAAATGCAAAGCCATCCAAACATTTTTGTTGTTCTCATCATTACAATAAGGAAAACCTTTTCTTACTTACATCATTTGAAAAACTTAAGAATGGATTTAATGCAAAATTTAAATCAATGGCAAAGCTTACCTGTGATGGATCTCCCTTTAATTTATAATCCCATAATAAAAAGTATTCAAACAAAAAAAATAGGAGTCTCATTTTCGGAGCAAATGCAGAGCAAGATATTATATTTTCTTATTTCATCTGTGCACACACAGTACAGTTGAAAGGTAAAGAGGAGAGGTTTATTTTTTACCATTTTCAGGAAAACATGATTTTAAGTCTCCCAGTTGACTGTGATAAACATGATTGTTATTAATCTCCAACCATCTGTTGTGAGCTCTTCTTTAACTCTTTTCATCCTAACATCAGTATGCATATTCTGAACAGACGCATGGCAACTTGGAATCTATTTGTTTTATATAATAAATAATTTTAAAAAAATTTTAATGATGACGTCATCTATACGTCTGTCCTCCATAATGTTCTAAATATATTTCTTAAGGCGCTAAGAAGGAGAATTTGTTTAACAGTCAAGAGATTCTTTAGTTGAGGATTAATTTGTGTTCTTTTCTTTTTATCCTTTATTCTTATGATCTTAATGAGTGATTCAGGGTTCATATTGTAAAGTGAAATTGATGCTTGTCACTCTTAGGGTTCATTGCTTCTTTTTGTCATACATTTCTGTTGTTTCTATTTCAATTTGCTTTATTGCAGATTGTTGGCGAAAAATTTGACGACAATCAAGAAAACAGTAATTCCAAATACTATGAAACAATCTATGCCTTGTTAGACTCCACAAGTCCAGGATATACAAAGTCATTTGGTGAAGCATTGGTCAGGAAGCTGTCATCACTACAAAGTCCTAATAGTGAAGATTTAGAAATACCTGATGAGTATGCTGATGAAGCTGCATGTTCATAATGACGTAACATTGAGACTACAGGAGTGTACAGTGTGTTTGTGAAACATTTTCTACTTCATAATTTTTAAAATTACTCTTTTTACCCTTTCAAAAGGCAACCTTCTTGAGCTAAAGAAATAGTTTAGTTCTTTGTCAGCTAGAAATTTCTAGAATTCATAAACATTAAAGATTACATACCCTTTTATGGTATGCAGTATGTTATATAAAGAGACTCACAATAGTTTACATACAAGAAATTGTTATTACTGTGGAACTCAGGAAAGCACAAACATTTTGATTCTGTAGTGCCAGTTGTACTACCAGAAAATTATTACTTAATAAATGTTGTTTGAGGTTTTGTATTCTCACTTCTAATTGGTTATTTGAAATGCAGTTAACATTTCATGAATATTTCTTTGTTTGTGGTATTCAGAGTTTCACAGTAAACCAGGGAACATCACTTGGAGAGCAGATAAACATTGCCACCTTCTACAAACATTGTAAATGATAACATTGGACTTTTTAATTAACCTTTGTAAACTTTTTATTGGCTCATAAATCTGTTGTAGAAAAGTAATTTAAAATCAAAATCATACCATATTTAATATATTGTGGCTTGTTATTTAGTAACTGGTAAGTGACAATTGTAAAGATCAAGCCTGTCTGAGATATAATTTAATAATATAATATTCCTGTTGGTGGTATGCGGATGATATGGATCACGACAAAGTAACAGTAAAGAACAATATATTTAAGCATTGTCATCTTTTCCTCATTTTTATATTCTTGAATATTTGATTATTTAAGTCTTTATTGTTCTTTCTTTTTTCTTAAAGATCTTTGTTTTGCTAAGTTATTAATTAGGTGAATTATAATTTATTACCAGTATAAGCAAGGTTTTAAATTTCAAATGTATGTTTGTTGAAAATTGAAGTGATGAGCATCAGTCCATAAATTTGTTCCAAATGGTATCTCTCATTTGGTCAATTTATTTGATGACTGTTGATTAGATTTTTTTATGACTTGTTTTGAAGTGGGAGTGATTAGTTTTGTTGTGAGAGACAGAGGCTTAGAATTGGAATCTTCAGACACATCACACATTGTAAACAAGGATAAGTGATATACATTTTAGCTTTATCTGGTAGCAAAAGAAAATTGGGGGACACAAAAACAATTACATGCTAAAGAAATTTAACTATCACCAAAATAATCATGCAGGGCCACATTACTGTATTCATCAGCATGAAAAGCTGCAATAAAGATACTTTGGTCCTCCAGTTGTTTTAACTTGCCAAAAATGCAGTTAAATGTCATTAAAACAGGGTGCTAGTCTTTATTTTTAGACTCTAGACTCTTCCAATGGATTAACCATTTCAAAGACCACTTTGTTGTGTGGTTAAGTACTTTTTTGTCTGTGAACAACCTTAGAAGGGCCCTAAAAGGACTTTGGTGAAGTGGCTGGGAGGGGCTCTCCTCCCCACTAATTCTCTCTTAAAGCTCTCTTTCTTTCTATTTTCCTTCACTCCATCATTGACCAGAGAGCCTGAGGATATTTTTAGTATTTTGAGCAAATCAGATGCTTCAATAGGAAATTATCTTCAGACATTTAATTTCCAGTTCAGTGTATTGAAGAATTGAACTTTTTTAAAACTGTGCACCTCTTGAGAATGAATTCTTCCTAAAGTCAGTCTAAACTGGAGACTTGATTAATACAGAGACTCTTAACTACCCTACCAAAACCTGAGGAAAACCTTCCACAACCCTTCCTTGCCTTAAAAAAGATTGCCAATCAATTAATTTCCATTTTAAAAAGAACCCACAGATGCAAAAGCTGTTGACTTCTTTTTTTAAATTCTCAAGTGGTACACTTACAAAGTTATTTGCTCTTTGATCTACATATCATAAAATCACATCTTGTGAATTTAAATTGTACATCAAATTTTAAATTATAACATAATTATTATTTGTGATTATAAATCATTAATTATAAATTATAACATGGCATATGTCATGTGCAGTACCGTACAAATTATTTTGTGCTAGCTACTGTTAAATAATTAAGCATTCTTGCTGACTTTTTAACTTTTCTATTCTCATAGACACTGGCAAGATTTCAACCAATAGATAGTTACCTTAAGTACAATTACAAAAAATCAAGAAATGTCTCTAAACTAAGGCTCACTACATGAGTTGAAACTTTTTTTGTACTTAAATATCTATCAACCACAACTTGGCATTTTGCACAATAAAATAATAGAAGAAAAAAACACCAAAATTATTTTGGAGAGCGAGAGAGCTGTTATGTTGGTTTAAAAGGTGACTTATTTAGGGAAATTCAGCTATCTGAACAGTTCTTGTATTAGAATAAAGTATTATTGTTACGTTTATGAGTTCTTAGAGAGATAAATTCACGCTTTTGTAGCAAAACTCAGTGACAGATGTTTCTGCTGGTTTCCGGCCGCCATGTTGGTGCCCATCTAGGTGGGCACCAGCATGGTGGCTCCATACAAATCTCTATAAATTTGGGAAAAACGTTTCTCCTCATATCTTCCGTAAGAAAAATTGCTGTGACCTGAATCTTGGCGAGAGTCTTAACATATCTAGCTTCTTTCTATTTCCAGATTCTAGACTAAATCGATTGAACGGTCATCTTTTCCTCATTTTTATATTCTTGAATATTTGATTATTTAAGTCTTTATTGTTCTTTTTTTTATTTTTTATTTTGATCTATTTTGAATGGCGTGACACTGAAAACCAGCAATATCAATTAGTTATAATTAATCTGTGCCACTCTAACTAATTAAAATTCAATCCTTAACTGAGAAAGGTCTTTAGAAAAAATTGATTGTCCTTTTATATTGCAGATGCATTACACACAAGGAACTTGTTATACTTCTGAGATTGAGGTTAAGTGTAGTTCCGTGACATAAGTGCTACAAAATACTATTTTTTAAGCCCTAAGTGAAGGGTCCTTCTCACTGGGGTAACACCAGGCCAAAGACCCCTGAAAGACACAAGATATACAACAGTTCATCAATTAACAGTATGAACTTATATAATTAAAAATGATAAAAAATTATATAACAAACAAGAAAACGTGTCAGGTATACTTATGGGCCCAGTTGCATGAAGGGTTAATAACGCAATCCCACAGATAAATCGCCATATATCTGGAGTGGATAATTGATAACAAAATGTATAGCGTTATCCACTGGATAGAGATTTATCCAGAGGATAGCATTATCTGACCTTCAAACAACTGGGGCCTGGTCAACAAGGGATAGTTTTCTATCATGTATTACATAACAATTATTATTACCACAGGATATGGTGTTCATTTTTGACAGTGAGAATGAAGGCCTCAGTTTGAAAATTCAGTGCTGACCAAGGAGTGACTGCCTCGCTTATTCCCCCGGTAGGGTATGCGTAGACCGTGACCTCCAGCTAATTCCCTGCCTACCAGGGAACCAAAATGGAGTGTACCTAAGCCTTTGTACCTCGCAAAACACCGTATTTCTGTCACGAAGAGTGAGCAACATGTCGTGATCTCGTCCCCAGTTTCCACGATCTACCCATGGAATGCCTTGGACCATGACCCCTCTTTTGGCGACCAATTACGGCTTGCATTTTATGAATTGGGCCTATGGAGAAGCCTTGTAACAAGAATATACTCTTGTTTACAGTTGAACACGGCTGTAAGAAAATCCGCTATCACAAACATTAAGTCATCCAATAATTTAGTTGTTACAAACCAAAGGTTGGTAAAGACGGATACTGTCTTCAATCAAGAGTGAAAAGAGTCAAGTGGACCTTCCTTTGCGCTTGAAGCAAGTAAGGTTACTGTAAATTAATTTTAAGCTTCTTGAAAACAAATCGCGAATATAGTGTTGTTGGTTTTCAAACGAAGAAATTACGCTCTTGAGGGTTTTGCTTTTCTATCATGTTTTCGCTTCGGGTCTTGCAAGGCTTAGTAGAAAATTCTTCGTTTTTTTTCTTGTCCTCTGGTCTTTGCGGTAAGCTTATATATAGTGTCACAATACGTGATTTCTTCGTTTACTTTAATTGATCGGTTTCATGCAAAACTAATACACTCGAAGACTAGAACTACCAGAGGAATTCGACGAGTTGTCAAAACTCTCTTTTTGAAAGTACTTTAAAAAAATATGAAAATAGTGTAGTAATTTTTGGAACGTCAAAATGAAAGTTTTACATAAACACAGGTAAAAACATTAAAAGCGAAATTTTCGGATCAAGAGCCGAGATAACTAATAGTCAACATTTTTCGAGATTGAAACATTGGTACATGTTGGACAATGGCGTTAAAAGCCTTAGCCATAATTTTTAGCTTTAGAGGTGAAAAACCGTGGTAATATGACGAAATTACACCAATTGTGTTAAACTGTGATAATTTTTATTGAAAAAGCAAAAGAATCAAAGTTTAGTTAACTTAGTTGAAGAGGTGAAAATCACTCGGAATGAACTGCGGAGTGAAAATTGACAGAAAAATTATCAAAATTTCGTTGGAGCCCGAGGTATAATAGATAAATTATTTGCAATCAAAACTCATTGTTGAAGTACTAAAAGTATTGAAAAAATGCAAATAAGAGCGAGCAACATGTCGCGATCTCGTCCCCAGTTTCCACGATCTACGCATGGAACGCCTTGGACCATGACCCCCCTTTTGGCGTCCAATTACGGCTTGCATTTTAGGAATTGGGCTTTTGCAGAAGCCCGAATAAAAAGACTAACAGTTTTGATATATAGGTCAGTGAATGTAGTTTGGAGATAGGATCTTCATAATTAGCGACCATGGATCGAACCCGGAAGCAATGTTTGGTACTTACGTATGCGAAATATTGTAACAAGAATATACTCTTGTTTACAGTTGAACACGGCTGTAAGAAAATCCGCTATCACAAACATTAAGTCATCCAATAATTTAGTTGTTACTAACCAAAGGTTGGTGAAGACGGATACTCTCTTCAATCAAGAGTGAAAAGAGTCAAGTGGACCTTCCTTTGCGCTTGAAGCAAGTAAGATTACTGTAATTGTTGGTTTTCAAACGAAGAAATACACTCTTGAGGGTTTTGCTTTTCTATTATGTTTTCGCTTCGGGTCTTGCAAGGCTTAGTAGAAAATTCTTCGTTTTTTTTTCTTGTCCTCTCGTTTTTGCGGTAAGCTTATATATAGTGTCACAATACGTGATTTCTTCGTTTACTTTAATTGATCGGTTTCATGCAAAACTAATATACTCGGACTAGAACTAATAGAGGAATTCGACGAGTTGTCAAAACTCTCTTTTTGAAAGTACTTAAAAAATATATGAAAATAGTGTATTAATTTTTGGAACGTCAAAATGAAAGTTTTACATAAACACAGGTAAAGAAATTAAAAGCGAAATTTTCGGATCAAGAGCCGAGATAACTAATAGTCAACATTTTTCGAGATTGAAACATTGGTACATGTTGGACAATGGCGTTAAAAGCCTTAGCCATAATCTTTTGCTTTAGGGGTGAAAAACCGTGGTAATGTGACGAAATTACACCAATTGTGTTAAACTGTGATAATTTTTATCGAAAAAGCAAAAGAATCAAAGTTCAGTTAACTTAGTTGAAGAGGTGAAAATCACTCGGAATGAACTGCGGAGTGAAAATTGACAGAAAAATTATCAAAATTTCGTTGGAGCCCGAGATATAATAGATAAATTATTTGCAATCAAAACTCATTGTTGAAGTACTAAAGTATTGAAAAAATGCAAATAACATTCAAACTCAAGACAACTTACCACTCAGGAAAAACTTCTGAAAAAATCACAAATACATGACAGTGAATCAAATTCAAACTTTATTAAAATTGCAAATTGTTTTGATATATTTTCATCTATTTTAGATATTGCCATTGGCAATCGATAAAGAAAGATATGTTAGTTTCAAAACGCGTAACTTGTGTACTTTTCTGTTATGTTTGTTCCGGTCTATTATTTCTTCATTGGTTAATGATTATTACTTAATAAGTTTTTTATTTCAATCAGTTTCATTTAAGCACATGTACCAGATATTGTATTTCATATTTCATCACTATAAGTTGCTGTTGACACCACCAATTTTGTCTGCTATTCATGTACGATCCGCTATTGGCAATTCATCTACAATCTTTAGGAGCTAGACCAAAGTAAGTTTTTCTTTATTTCACATTTAAGATATTTCCTTTTTTTTTTTTTTTGGATACGTACATTGATTTATTTCTTGCTTTCAGTTCACTTTATAATTGCCTCATTGTTAATTAGGCTAGTGTTACATTTCTCAGGGATATTTTCTTAGTTTAGTTTCTGCCGCATTTTCTTTTAGTTGGAACCACACAAATTCAGCTACAACGTTACCATCAATCATTGCTACGCTATCTTCAATCCTACTTCTCCCTCTTCATCTTTGATTTCACACCAATCTCCTTATTTTCGTTTGTAATTTTGATTATGTACTTTGTTTGATTAAACTGTGATTTATATTGTGCATTTGGATTGTCTTCTCTGCTACACTAGTAACCTTTGAAGGTTACAAGATATATTCAGTTTTATCAAACAAGTACTATTCTCCAAGACTAATCTTTGATTTTCTTGAGTCTCGATCAAATTTCCTCTATACCGCTAATATTCACAAGTGCACAAAGGACAAATTTAAAGGAAGACCTGACTGTATGTATATAAAATATCTGAAGCCATAAAGGAGCTCAGTAAATATTTAGCCTCTCATAATCATGACAGTAATGGTATTGTTGAAAGTGTTTATTTGAGAACTTGGCTCAGTGCCCAGTGATGTGTGCAACTTCCCTTCAGAGGTCCTTTCTGTCACAGATTTTGCCCAATATAGTTTGTTCTGAGACTGAAATAAATCAGGGTATAATTCACCCATGGGTATGGACAATTTGGAAGCTATTACTAACAGTGAAACTCAGAGAACCATTAAGACTCATTTCTGACTTGTCTATTATGTGCAAAAGAAAACCAATCAGATACAAGATAGCTAAAGTGCAGCCCATAATGTCACTCACTTTTATGGTTAGTGGCTTCTTCTTGTAGTTGGATCCCCCGTCTAACTGGTTGAAGAACAATAAACACCTGATGAACATTCCAGAAATAATTCTTATTGTTCAGTTTTCTGTCGAGTTGCACAGTAATATTAAACAGGGTTACTTGGACAATCAAAGTAGAATTGTATTCTGTAGAGATCAAACCGAAAGTGTTCATGAATGGAAGTGAATGGCTAATATATTTCTGATTCCCATGTTTACTAGTCTAAGAAAAAAACCGCATTGACTCTGTAATACATGTATATTGTTTTCCTAAATAATATGAAATTGTTTTAATTTTCCGAGTGGTTTTGATTATTTCCATTGTAATTTTTGTCCCTCAGAATATGAAGCCAAGTTCTATAATTGTGTTCTTGGTATTGGCAATGCTAACCAGTCAGGCATTTTCCTGGTGGAGCTCATCCAGAAGACGACGAGCTACAGTCCCCACAAGCTCTGGGTCAAGGTTTGTGGAAATATCAACCTTACCATAAACAGTGATGATGATGATGACAATAATAATATTTACTTATTTCTGCCATAATTATAAACAATGTTTTGGGATGTTGATGTTACATGTATGCCCAGTAGAATTTCCCCAAAATGTGAAAGGTGAATCTTTGAGTGTTAATCAAGTCAATTTTTATATGAAAATCTCCTAAATCTTACGTCAGAAGATTTCCCATTACTTAGTTTGTACTTGAATATTAATATAAATCCACAGCCCCCAGTGAACTCTTTGGTGGAGTTTAACAGGCCTGTCAAAAAGCTGGCATTTAGCACAACTCAAAATGACAAAATTAAACTCTAAAGGTGAATGACCAAATTTGCTTATGATAAGTTGGGAGAATTAAGTTATATTGAGTTATTATGGCATTTCTTGAACCAATATTTGGTGGGTTGCACTGCTTTCTAGTACTTTCCAGCTCTTGTACTCAACCATTATTTTTAGGTTAGAAACACCATAATTTTAGCTTTGAGCAACAATTACTCAAAAACAAGCTACCACTTTTTATAACTTGCCACAAAATAACTAACTAAAGCATAATAACATACAACTTTCTGTGCAGTCAAAAAAAAAAGAGAAATGGTAGGAGTAGATTCAAAGCCTCCTTAAATTTTCAAAAGTTCAAGTGGCTCTCAATCCACTCCTATTAACTGTGCAGAAAGTTGTATGTTATTATGCTAATGATTTCCCAGCAATAAAAAATGGGGAGTCCCTGAGCCCTTTGTTAAGTTATTGCCACTTAAAGCTGAGATAAGGGGTGTTTATAACCAATTAAAGTGTTTCTATGGTAACCTATTATGTCAAAAAAGTTTCATAACTTGTTCACCTTTGGTAATTGGGCATTTCTTTGATACCATTATAAAAGTTTACTTGCATAGGCTTGTTCATAATTATTGAAAAATAACAAAGTTATCATATGATAATCAGGAGTCCTTTAAGCAATTGTCATTCTGCTGCTTTATTTTATGATTTAGTCCTGCAGGGGGGCCGAGGGAAAACCCAAATGCTGTGGTGTGTACCTCATACAGAAGCAGTAATTACATCACATGTAAAAAGTAGGTGATCTGTAGTTATTAGTTACATGACTTGTATATCCAATGCTTGCATTACACATGTTGACAGTTATTACAAGTAACCCCATTGAATTTTAAAACTGCACATGTACAAGAGGCCAAAAAAATTAATTTCATTTCACAAGTAAACTTGCAACTTCTATTGGCAAGTTGTGATTATTAGGTTTCACTCAGGAATTCATTTGGAAGTTGGAATGACTGGTTTTGTGCAATCAAAATATACAGTATCTCACAGGAGATTTCTGCTCATGCAGTGGCTTTTATTTGAATAGACATGCATAAATGTATTGTTTATCACAGGTTATCTGTTGTGTGCACACAAAAAATATTGAGTGCACAATGGCCATATTTGCACGGTGTCACAATGTATTAATAGAAAATTGCCCAATTGTAACTGTAAGAGGATGTGACAGATGTCACAATTCGACACCTGTGTGAGTTATTTGTAACTGCACCATCAAAGCCAGTGAGAACAGAGAAAGTGAACACAATGCATGATGAGGTATACCAGGATGTAAGTCAAGGACTGATTATTTAAAAATTCAAAAGCTTTAAAAAGACAAAGTGTTAAAACATTGTTGTTTATGTTAACTGAACAATCTTCATCACCTCTTTCTTAAACAGGGGTGGACGTTCGGAGACCTGTACCACACAACCACCCACAGAGACAAGAGATGACCAAGAAGGAGGACCCACCCCTCGCGGAGAGTACCTTATTGGCGAAAGGTACACACACTCAATGGGAATTGACTGGTACAATCTGTACCCCAAGAAAGAGGACAACTCTGGTTACTATGGCTACACACAACGCACTCAAAAAGGGCGCAATACCATGGGCCTGCATCCTGGAACACGCAGCTTAGGCTGTGTTACAGTCAATAAAAGTTGCTGGCAGAAGATTCGCAGCATCATTGAGAGTGGGAGCATGCAGTACCGTGAATCGGGTTACAGTGGATTTTTGTACGTGAAATAAATGAGCAATCTGCTGGCTGTTAAATTAGGACAAGCAGTGTAAGCAAAAGGCATATCTAAGGTAGATGTAATGCATTAACTCTATTATGATTAGGTATTAAGTATAAGGTGTGGTGTTAAGGTTGTTTAGTACATACCTGGTTGTTGATGTTATTTTGACAGCAATTTTAGCTAAGATTTATCAGCATTTCCTCTACAATTTTGTCGTATGAGGGTAAGAAATATGCAATGTCCCAAAAAGATCTGTTGGGAAGGACTTCAGAGGGAAACCTTGTTGTGCTTTATGAGTCAGATGGCATGCAATCTGCTGTGATTGCAGCAAATTTAGATGAATCACAGACTGTGTAAATGTAGCAAAAATCGCTGTCAGTTTAAGGAAAGGATTCAAAATTGAAGCCTTTAAGGTAGTATGTAAACAGCTTTTTAGAAAATAATTGGCCTTGAAGTGTAAAAATGCATAAAAGAATAAACTATTAAAGCAAGAGCATTTTGAATCATGACCATGATTTCTTCTTACCTTCTTGCCTCTTCTCATCTTCAGTTCAGCAATAGATTACATCATGAATAACACTGGCTCAGGAGAGAAAGAGAACTGATTTGTGTGATGTGTTTAATTTGATCCTTTACTTTTCCATAAAAGCCATGGAAAACAGAAATAAATTTTTGCCCCTTTTCAAGAGGATTTTGCCTTTTCATGCAAGGAGGACCAAACAAAATCAGTGTAACAGTCATATACAATACAATACAATAGCTTTACTAACCACTCCTAAAATATCAAAAACAAATTACTTTTCATGAACCTGATCACCAGCTGAGAACCCACAAGCAAGACTGTTTATTATCATGTACCAAAATCTACCATGATCTCCTCTTGCAACACAATTACAGTTGGCACACCAAATATAGCACAACGTTTCACTTTTTTTTATATTCTTTATACTTTTCTCAGCATATTAACATGACTGTATTGCTAGGGGCTTAATCAGCCTCATCAACCCGAGTTGCAATAAAGTTACTTACTTACTTACTTATTAGCCAATATTAAGTTTCTTTGAAGACAAGCAATCTTATGATTAAGCAGAACAAACTCCATTGATTGGAACTGCCTTTGATACACAATCATTGTGCTAATATAACTTGTCAATTTTCCTTTTCTACTTATCACATCTCCTTTGTTGCTGGGCAACATTCTTTGACAAATGTGGTGTGTGTGCAGTTATAGGACTGTCCTCTTTCCACCAAACCCAGTGCCACAATAACTCCTTTTCACTGTTATAACGCAAAAGCACATGAGGATAAAACTGATTTTCGTTTAAATGTTGTTACTTCCAAAAGCGGAGTACACTCATTTAAATTAAGAATAACGTCTATTGTGTTATGCCTCGATCTTCAAAGCTTTTGAACCAAATCTTCTGTGTAAATCTTCTGTGTAAACAACAGGAAATTCTGGACCACAACTGTCTTGTGCTAAACTTGTTCTCTGGCTTCATCTCCAGTTCCTGTTTTGTAAGCTAAGAAATGGCGTCTGGGCTTTGAATTTCATTTTTGCCAATTCTCTGACTGAGGGCGCTAGTGCTGCAGTGTGCATCTCGAACATGGACCGTAAGAGTGAAAAATAAATCCAAAATGTATTTACTATTGGGTTGTTCCAAAAAAAATTCACACCCCTGCGACGGATAGGATTCTGGAAATTCTCGCGTGAGGGGGGGTGTCAAAGACTTTGGAAATCCAGGCGGGAGGGGGGGTTGAACTTGAAAAAGTCTTCTACAGGGGTCATTTCGACCGATAGTTCACGCGATTCGAACTTTTAGTTCGGTAACACTTCAGCCCTCTCAGACCCTGAAAATAGTAGAAATATTTTGTTCACATATTTCTCACCTGACATAAATGATAATCTAAGTTCCTTCGCAGGTCCTTTCATAGCAGAAAACGCGAACAACAATCTACTAAAGAACGAGCCATCGCAACGTTGTTGCAACGAGGAAGTTGAAACGCGGGACACATTTCTACTCGTACCCAGACCCGCGCGCCACCGTTGTGCTTCCGAGACCTCTGTAGCCGCAGTAGCTTCTGCTTTAACAGTTGCCTATTACTTACGGTCACAGTTTATTAAGATTTTACCTTTACGAGAAAAAAGTGAACATTTAACGACAAAGACGAGTTCATTTGCAAATATATGGTGCAACAATAAAAAAAAACAAATGTTCCCTTGAAAATTTGTGCAATTGTGTAATTTCACTTAGCCCCGTTGAAATCTCGCGCTGGCTCACAAAATCATTGTGTAAAATTATTTCTGACGTAACAAGGTTTGAGAAACGTAAACAGAACGATTTTTTTGCTAAATAAACTGTAGCCGCAGGCTGCTTTAACAAAATCACATTACGAGAAAAAAGTGAACATTTAACGACAAAGACGAGTTCATTTGCAAATATATGGTGCAACAAACATGTACATAGTGTAACAATAAAAAAAACAGTCCCTTATTTTTTACCACTATGTTCCCAATATCTTTGTGAGTACGAAATTACCTTGAAAATTTGTGCAATTTTGTACTTTAAAATTCATAAACTGGACATCTTTGCATCAAGTTCATAACCCCTGAACAAAAACGTTACACATTTACTAGCAAATAACTGTAGCTGACGCCAGCCCAGGGGCGGTGGTGGATCCGGCCCTATCACCCCCTAGCCAGAAAAATAGTGCGCGCTCGATTTCAGCCCGGAGGGTGATGTGCACCCCCCAAACGGTCACGTGCAGGGCGAGGACAGCGACGCGATGACACGGCCTCTACACCCCCGGCGAGGTCAGCGAAGCGACGATTCACCCTCCCAATTTAGGGGGGGGGGGTGAAATTTTACCACTTTGAGCCCACAAGGTAAAGCGGTGAGTTTGGCCGCCATGTTAATCACGTCACCATTTCTCGTACTTTTGTTCGCGGCTATCTTGAAAAGTGGGCTCGACCAGGCTAATTTGGAACACTATGTACTACTATGTGATCATTTAAAATCCAAGAGTGATGAGGTGATGAAAAATGTGATTAAAATCATTTTTAGTTTTGAATCAATGAGCTGTATTTTTCTAGATACTTCCTTGACAGTGGCAATAGGGTGTTGCATATAAATTAATTTCTTGCAGATTGTAGCTAAAACTAATCTCAATAAATAAATTAACAGTGTAGTTAAATTAGCTGATTCAGAAGCATTATTCTCTGAAACAGTGATGGTCATGCACTGGGAGGAGACATTTTTAAAGAAAATCAATAAATATCAGACAGATAAGTGAGCATGCATTAAGGCCTAGGTGCTACAGAGTGTTAAAAAAGGTGCAGGCAGGTTTAGGTATAGAATATCAAATTGTAATGCCAGCATTTAATGTGCAGTTTACAACTGAGATTCTCTAAAATATCAAGTAACAGAGGAAAAAATGTACCCTTCAAAAGTAATCTTCTGCAAGGTATATGATCTTTTGTGGGGCACCCAGACACTTTATAGGCGTGTTGGGGGAGGAAATACAGTAAATACAAAAAAAAAACATCCACTACATATTAGATATCAAGCACTCAAATTCCTGTTTGACAAGCTAAGCAGGTGAATCAAGAGAATATCTAAACTCTCTGCCCCAGTCAATTGATAAATTAAATTTATCTGAATTTTATTACACAGTTTCACCTATGAACTGATGTTGATTGAAAAGTCCATATTGTCTTTTATCAATAGATAGTCCAAGATAACAAGTTTTAGTTTTGATTGTTGAATATGTCAATGTACATGTCATATAGATACATTTCTTAATAAACACAAAACTTTCCTCGTCACTTGGTCATCAATTTTTGAAACGGGCAAACTATTTTTGTCGACCATTATCAGTCCAACAACTGCTCCTGTTTTGCATGAAGATCCATATTTACATGTTCGTGATCAACAGTGCTAAACAACAATCTCCATTCTATTTACCGTAAACGTCCATGTATAAGCCGCACTTTTTTTCACTATTGCGATACATCTGTGTTTGGTTTCAAAAATCAATATTCATCTTTAAGATGCCGAAATAAACGTGGTTTATATCCCCGAACGATTCATTTTCGAGTAAAAACCAAAATACAAGGAATCTCTCGTTGACTCCAAATTTGTCGACCAACATTTAAAGCTTGGCTACTAAGCACTTGTTTGGTTTTTTTTTTTCATTGCCGAAGGAATTTCAACTTTATGGCGTGTTTCGAAGTGATAATCTTGAAAAATCGGATTGAAAGAGCATTTTAAGTTAAAGATGGTGTAAATTCCAATGGAAAAGAAGGTACGGCAAATGAAATTTCGCTTTCTTTAGACTTGATAAATGTGAAAGATAGCCACAACTTCTACGTCGGTGTTTCGAACCTTGATTGTTTGTAGCAATACAACTCTACTGAAACTTCAAACTGTATTGTTTTTATTTTTTCCAAATTCTGCGCTTCCAAATTGGGGGTGCGGCTTATCTACGGATGCGGCTTATACATGGACGTTTACGGTATTTATATCTATCATGTGCAATTATGCAATATCACAAATTAAATTGGACATGCTTGAGAATTTTGGCGCACGCTGCTGCATGAACATTTAATCTTTAGTGGAAGTTGATGCAACTGGTATGAAAAAAAGGAAGTAAGTTCAAGCAAATGCGAAAGACAAAGAGTTATGGTGTGAAAACTAACTTGCAATTATGTCTGAATTTGGGAGCTGAGCCAAACTCTCTGTTCATGAAAGAATGAAGTCTCCAAAAGACGATGGGACTTCTTTGAATCATCCTACCGGTATTTAATACGTAGAGGCTCTTAACCACCCATCTCAAATCTGAAGAAAAGCCTTTCACAACCCTTCCTTACCTTCATAAAGATTGCCAATCAATTCATTTCCATTCTAAAAAGAACCCACAGATGCAAAAGCTGTTGACTTTTTTTTTAATTCTCAAGTGGTATGCTTACAAAATTATTTGCTCTTTGATCTACACATCATAAAATCACGTCATGTGAATTTAAATTGTACATCTTGATTTGTTTTAAATTATAACAATTATCATTTGTGATTATAAATAATTAATTATAAATTATAACATGACATATGTCATGTGCAGTACCATACAAATTATTTTGTGCTAGCTACTGTTAAATAATTAAGCATTCTTGCTGACCATTTAACCTTTTTATTCTCATAGACACTGGCAGGATTTTCAAACAATAGATAGTTAACTTAAGTACGATTACGAAAAAATCAAGAAAGTCTCTAAATTTAGGCTCACTACATGAGTTGAATCATTTTTTATACTTAAATATCTATCAACCACAACTTGGTCTTTTGCACAATAAAATAATGGAAGAAAAAAACACCAAAATTATTTTAGAGAGCTCAATATCAATTAGTTATAATTAATCTGTGCCACTCTAACTAATTAAAATTTAATCCTTAACTGAGAAAGGTCTTTAGAGAAAATTGATTGTCCTTTTATATTGCAGATGCATTACGATAATTTTTAGCTGTTGTGCTAGACTGAGACAACTCTATGTACTAGGCATTTTCATTTTCATTGCTATCAGACCTCACAAGGAACTTGTCATACGTCTGAGATTAAGGTTAAGTGTAGTTCCATGACATATGTGCTACAAAATACTATTTTTTAAGCCCTAAGTGAAGGGTCCTTCTCACTGGGGTAACACCAGGCCAAAGACCCCTGAAAGATATAAAATATACAACAGTTCATCAATTAACAGTAAGAACTTATATAATTAAAAATGATAAAAAATTCTACAACAAACAAGTTCAAAAGTTTTTTTTTTACATTTTAGTCACTATCTGAATTTAACTCAGGCAAAACTAGTTATGCATTTTAACTTTTGCAGGTGCTGTTTCATTCTAATATACCTACGTTTTCGTACAATGAAAACGTGTTCAGGTATACTTCTGGGCCCAGTTGCATGAAGGGTGAATAACGCAATCCCACAGATAAATCGCTATATAACTGGAGTGGATAATTGATAACAAAATGTATAGCACTATCCACTGGATAGAGATTTATCCAGTGGATAGCATTATCTGACCTTCAAACAACTGGGGCCTGGTCAGCAAGGGATAGTTTTCTATCATGTATTACGTAACAATTATTATTACCACAGGATATGGTGTTCATTTTTGACAGTGAGAATGAAGGCCTCAGTTTGAAAATTTATTGCAATATCAAAAGGACTTACTTGACTAATCCATTCCAGTAGACTTCTGGCAGTATGTCTTTTTTCATGTAGTACATTGAGTATCGCTCCTAATTAAAAACAAAAGAACCAAATTATGATCAAGCAATTACTTACAAGCAAGCAGCAACATAGTAATACCCAAAGCCCACAAACTTTATGTGACAGACACACAAGGCTAAAAAAAAAAATAGAAACTAAAAAGAAATTGAAAAAAAAAATCAAGCAAGTACCTGAATTTGAACATCTCAAAAGTTTATATTTTTTTGAAATTCTCGTTTGAGATGAACATTTTTATCAGTTCAACGTCAATAAACACATTTCAGTACTGATCATCATGGATTATACTCACTTTTCCCTGATCAAATGGAAATGTTTCCAGAGGCTCACCATTGAAGTCAAATTCAGCAAGGATAAGTTTACCATAGCTTGTGACAAGGGGACATGATGTGTAGCCATCATACTGGGGTGCAAGGGAAAGGATTAGTTAACATATGAGTTCATATTCATTGAATTACTGGTAATCACGTTCATTTTGTTGCTTGATTCATGGTTTATTGATGAACAACATGGTGTAATGTTGAAGGAAATACATACATCCTATTTGGCTAGACTAGGTTCATTATTTTCCACATCATAATTATAACAAACTGGTAAATGAGTAGGAATAATTAGTGACAAAATTTGCAATCCAAAATTTGCACATACTTACTTGCTTACTTAGTTTACTTACAATTTTTTTTTAATTGGCTAATGGTATCACTTTAATACCATTTTAACCCTCAACCAGATAAACAAAAAGAAGATTGAAAAAAAGAAAAAGAAAAAAAAAAGAAAATATGGTACCTGAGCTGGCATGGGTTTCCCATCCAACATTGCAAAAAGGTTTGCTTTAATAACACCAGACTGGCCAGCCACAGCGGCAGCCGTTTTGCCATTGGGGGAATTAGAGCAGTCACCAATAGCAAAGATGTTGTTATATTTTTTATGTCTCATGGTGACCTTATCCACATCAACAAAGCCAGCCTGATCAGAGATGGGACTTCCTAGAAGGCAATCTGGGGGTCCCATGGGAGGAGTGACATGAATGAAATTATACTGCAAAGAGAAGCCGAGCAAATAAATACTCACAATGAAAACAGTTCACAATTAAATGTTTAATAACACGCATACATGAAAGACTGACTCAAATCTGATTGGTAAAGATAAATGCAGTTTTCAGGTAATTCAAAGCAGAAGAGGGTTAATTCAGTGCAAAGAGGTAACAAACCAGACTGAACATTTCCTTGAACTGTTCAGCTGAACTTTGAACTATTTTGTGCCCAAAAGGTGTGAAAGTATCATTATATATTATTGTTTTGACCACCCGCGGTTGTTTTGACCGAATGCACAATGTCACTTAGAGGATTTGAATAAATTATGTTTGCACTTGATGCATGCATTTGCTTCTGCATAATTTTGATATGCTATCTTGATATTTTTTCATGCATACTATATGATTTTTCTTGTACAATTTGGAATAAATAAGCACTTGTAAATTGTTTCAATGACCACAAATTGCACTCACCCTACAGGCTCATGCAATTTTGTTAGTCTTTGAAAAAAATTACTTGTGCATATGTATTCCAAATTGCACTCAAAATCATGCGATTACCATAATACCTATTGTTGACTGAATGCAAGAACTAAGGTTGCAGCCCATCCCAAGAGGCCATTTATTTGTGTAACCTCTCCTAGAACCTGAGTTAATGACCCTTTACACCCTAACATCAGTATGCATATTCTCCATACTGCTCTTCGCTCATTTCCTAAGTTACTGCATGACAAGATGAATTTTATTAACAATCAAGAGCTTTGAATTGAAGCTCACAGCTTGAACTCTAACAGATATATAATTACTGACTTGTATGTTAAGTTAATAGCACTAACAAAAAGAAGTTCTAAAATGTAGTTAAACTCCATGCCATTCAAAATGGTAAATTATCCTAGGCTTAAAAATGGCCTTATGAATACACCTACCTGATAGGTTTCTAGCAACTTTTTTTCACTGTCTGCATCATCTGGAACTTCAAACACAGCTTCTTTTTTCTCTGGATTGATTGAAATCAAGTTTCGCTTGAAATTTAATTTTATGTCTCTCTTCTTCACAATTTTTGTCAAGGCATCTGCATACTTCTTCACACCAAAAATTTTCTCCAATGAGGTGTTGAACATAATGTTGGCTTTGTGACGAACATTGTTCTAAAAATTTTTAATGGAATATTTATTAATATTAACAAAGAGGGTCACAAGTCATGTGATCATTTAAAATCCAAGACTGATGAGGTGATGAAAAATGTGATTCAAATCATCTTTAGTTTTGAATCAGTGAGTTGTATTTTTCTAGATACTTCCTTGAAATTATCAGAGGAAAAAATGTACCTTTCGAAAGTAATCTTCTGCAAGGTACATGATCTTTTGTGGGGCACCCAGACACTTTATAGGTGTGTTGGGGACAGTGAAGATGGCATTTCCTCCCTCAAAGTTCTGTATCTCTTTCCATGTGTCTGTCACTGTGTTGGCAGAATAATTACAACCCACACCAGGGGTTCCTAAGGCTTCTTTTAGACCAGCAACCTATAAAGGAGAAAGTTATTGGAGTTAGCAGAAAACCTTACCTTAATCCTGGTTCTCACAGGAAACATAACAGTCAATATACAATTCACTTTCATTGACACCTGGATTAGTTAATTATTACATGAAGACACACTAACAACATATTCGGTCCTAACCTGTAAGCTTAAGATTCACAAAATTTTTAACCCCAACATCCACAAAACTATATGTAACATGATAACTATCTTTATCTTTAGATTTTCTCAACTGATCCCCTAACACTTTTTTATCATACACCATATGGCTTAAATAACTTGTTTGAAAGATCAAACCTTGCAGTTGCCCATTATGAAGAAATTCTGTCTTTCATCTAAAAATCTTTGAAGAGGGTTGCTAGTTTTTCAAAGGTGTTACTATCTTACTGAAATTACTAGCTTAAAAATAAAAAACCCTATTGGTTCCCCAAGAATAAAACTTGGGTTTTTAACACCACACTTACTGTACTGAAGAAGACACTGTCTATCACTAATTATTAGATAATAATTTGAAGCAATTATTGGTACATACCTTGTCAAATCTAAGCTGAAGACCTGCCGCAACAATCAGAAATTCATACTTAATCTGCAAAAAATAAGTTATCTTGTTAATTATTTTATGTATTATACTAAGAAAAAAAACCAGGGTAATTAAAATAAGGACCCATTCTTAACTCCCATTCTAAACAAGAACAAGGAATGATCTACACCCTTGAAAATAATAGCCAGAGCAAACCCCTTCCTATTAAGACAGAGAGCAATCACCATATCTTGTTAGCAAGGCCTATCAATATTTGTAATAATACATAATTATAGTGAAAGTAACCATTAACCTCATCTCCATTAGATGTTAGTACAAGATTTTGATCTGGATTGAATTCCACGACTCGAGTTTTATGCCATGTGCAGCCTCCAGGAATGAGGCTTTCAGTAGGCCGCATAGAGCTCTCAAGACGTTCAACTCCACCTCCAACCAATGTCCAAAGTGGCTGATAATAATGATTCTGAAAATAAAAAGTATAAAGCTTTACACATGAAATTCACATTTAGAAACTATATATCCTCAAATACAAAAATTTCAGCAAAAAGGAGGGGCACTTATTTGAAGGATGGTGCTTAATCAAGGGGAGTGCTTATTCAGTTAGCAGTCAGCAATAAGACAAAAATTAAAAGAACAGATAATGCACATAAAGAATTCTGCTGGCACATGGAGAACAGGGAGCAGGACAAAAATACAATGGGACAAAAAAGAAATTATTTTCTTGTGATGTGGGAATGGAAGCTTAAAAAGTTGTAAATACAGTGACGATAGAAACAGGTTTTCCTTGTACCCCTACTATTTGAGAAAGTAGGGGAGGAGGAGGGCACTTATCAGTTAGTGGACTGCTTGTTTGACACTATCACCTTTTGGGTAAAGTGCTTACTAGAGAAAAGGCACTTATTTGAGGAAATACAGAAAGTACAAAAAAAGCATCCACTACATATTAGATATCATGGACTCAAATTTCCACATGACAAGCTAGGCAGGTGAAACAAGAGAATATCTAAACTCTCCGCCCCAGTCAATTGATAAAATTAAATTTATCTGAATTTTATTACACAGTTTCACCTATTAACTGATGTTGATTGAAAAGTCCATGTTGTCTTTTATCAATGAATGGTCAAAGATAACAAGTCTGAATTTTTATTGTTATCACAGGTTCATGCATCATTGCTTACTCCTCTAAATTCATAGATTGGCATTATGTTAATGTATATGTCCTACAGATATGTTTCTCAACTCTTAACTAACAGATCAAATTTGTAATTAATAATGGTAATTGAACTGAGTGGAGTGCAATTTGGGCTGAAATCATACGTGTGATTTCAATATCAAACGAGCACACAGCGCTTTTTCAATTTGAAACCACGAGTATGATTTCAGACCAAAATTGCACGACATGAGGTTCAATTACCACTTTATTACATCCATTTTGAAATCGCCCAAATTCAGGACTTGGTCAGTTCAAATATTTCATTGATGCAATACTGAGCTCGTTTGAAATTAAATTCATTAATTTTTTTTTTTTTTTTTTGGGGGGGGGGGGGGGAATAAGAGTTTTGGAAACAAAAGTTGCAAAATTTCCCACATGATACTCTTTGTCTTTCATTTTCCTGCAATTTGATTGGTTACTTTAAACAAGCCTGGAAACCTGATTGGTTGTTTTGTTTCTTAGTGTGGCTTGCTCATTGGCTGGGAAAAAACAATTTAGCAATTTAAAGCAAAAAATGGTGCAATTTGTGATAAATTGCACCAATTAGAGCCAATCAGATTACAGGGACCACCAGTGATTTCAAAATGGATGTAATAATTGATTAAACTGATTGGTAGGCCTGCATTTCCTAGGGGCAGGATTTTAAGATGACCCCTGACCCAAATTGACGCTCCTGTTCAGCCCTTAAGATCCATAGTTATATGTTTGTAATCAACGGTGCTGAACGACAATCTCCGTTCTATTTATGTATATCTATTATGTCCAATTACGCAATATCACAAATTAAATTGGACATGCTTGAGAATTTTGGCGTGCACTGCTGCACGAACATTTAATCTTTAGTGGAAGATGATGTAACCTGCATGAAAAAAAGAAAATAAGTTCAAGCAAATGCCGAAGACAAAGAGTTATGGTGTGAAAACTACCTTGCGATTACGTCTGAATTTGGGAGCTGAGCCAAACTCTCTGTTCATGAAAAGAATAAAGTCTCCGAAAAACAGCTCAAAGACGATGGGACTTCTTTGATTCATCCTACCGGTACTTGCGACCACATTTGACGCCGTGCTCTGATTTCTAGCTTAGAATTAGTATCATAAATTTAAATGAAAATCCAACTCTCTCACCTCAGATGGTTCAATGATAGCAGTACATTTAGGAAACTTACGGTTGAGCGTAGAAGCCATAGCAAGGCCCCCCGCTCCTCCTCCGACCACAACAAATTGGTAACTATGTTGACCTTGACTTCGAAGCGAAGTATTGAAATTCCTCGAACCAAGTTTGTGTAAAACTCGACCAGAATGTCTGATTGAAAACATTTTCTTAGCCTGTAATAAGATGTCTGAACGTAACAATACAGTGATCTGAACGGACGTCAAAGGGGAAATGATTAGACGCATGTATTGTGCAAACCACTGGGGGTAGTGGTGAGTGTCGAGAATATTCCTAAGCCTCCCATCCCTAAAAGATATATTTTTCAAACTGCCGGGGTACTGATGAGCATTAGGGGAGACTCCTGAACTTCCCCTCCCCTCCCTTAGTAGGCCACTTCCTAGTTCTTGCGGTTCAGTGATCTGGTGCCAAAATTACGCCGCTAGGACGAGCCGCTTCATTGGAATACAGAATAAACTGTTGTGGTGGTGAATCACTTAACCGCGAGAACTCAGAAGTGGCGTTTTGTCTACTGTTTGTCTTTGTGTTTATACAGCTTTTTCTCACGCGTCGACACAAAGAAGGCGGTTTCCAGTATGGAGGTTGGTTACTTGGAGGCCTTCACCAAAATATGGGAACATGTTCATATGCAATGGAAAGATGGAGCTCCAAGAGTAACTTTCCTGACAGATTTTATCGAGGACATTTCCAGCTATAGCTATATATCCGCGAGGGACATAATTGTTTGTCTTTTCCTTGGTGTTGCTTTCACCATCTTGCGATATTTCTTAACAGCTGCAGCTTTCAAGGTGCGTTACACGAAATATTTACGTTCTTCAAATAACCTGAAGCCTTTTGTCATTTTCAAGATATCATTAGCCTTGTGTTTACATGGAGCTTTCGAACTTCCGTCTGATGATATTGGAGCTGAAATTGAACAGATATTAAACCATGTTTTCGCTTTGATGGGCAAGTAGCAATATAAGAATACTGATGATCATGGGAATATTCAATGCTCAAACCTAATTATTCTGAATTGTATCTCAGTGATAGAACAGGTTTCTAATTTAACACATCGGAATAGACTTTCTCTACAGTGAAAATTTTTTCAATATTACAAGAATCTTTGTTTGAACGATTCAAACCGTTTAGATTACCATCCCGTTGCGTTCTTCCTAAATATGGTCAACCTTGATTTTGATCTTCTGTTCATATCACGCAACACATTTCTAAATTAAGTTTTATCCAGTTCGATTACTTTCCTCTTCCCCATCATTTTTAAAAACATGATTTTTTTTCTCTCTTACCTCAGTGACCTGGTTTATATCGCATTTGTCGTATATTTATTGTGATCACAAGCTTGGCATAAGTAGCCGATAAGCAGCTTGTTGTCAATTCGATTCTTTAATTCGATAATCTTCTGATCCTAAGAGATCTTGAACGAATCTTAGTTGTTTGATATGTTTAATTTCTGATGTCATTTTCGCACTTTTTCACGTGTTATGAGGAAGAGCTTATACAAAACTGATGGGAAGAAAATGATTTTGAAAAAAATTGTTGTAAATTTGAATGAAGGGAATTAATTAATATTCAATTTAGCTAGTCTTCAAAACATTCAAATTGGTCAGTGTGAATTATTTTTCAATTTGTGGGATTCGAAGTTAATTTTGATATTTTAAGTCTTTTGAAGAACTTTTTTTATCCTTAATCTTTGGGAATGAAGATTTTTTTCAATAGTTTTGATTAATATTTAAAATTTGGTGAAGCTATGCATCATTAACATTATTCAATTCAAATCAAATCCTTAAATGTTTAGCATTTTGTCCAACCTTTGTTTCTTTAATAAGATTTTTAATTATATTTTGCTTTTCTAGCAGCAGGGCTGGGGTATCATTTAACATAGAGAGAGCTACTTACTACATGACTAATTTTTTTTTCATTAAAAAATATATTGATTCATATGTAAGAGAAAAAACATCATTGATAATTTTTTTCACTAATCCTTACTGGAATATGCTTATTTAAAAGGCATTAAATCACATCTGATCAAACCTGCATTTGTTGTGGAAGGAAGTTATATGATTAAAAGAAAGCTTCCAAGTACAAATTTTGTTTTTGCATCACAAATTAGAATTATTAAAAAAAAAAGAAAAAAGTGTTGTTGTTGTTGGACATAATTTAGTGTCTTTTTAACAACATTACAGAGAGTGAACATTAAACAACACAACAACTATTTTAAAAGCTTTGAGTTGAAAATTTTGCTAGGTGTGTAAATTTTCACCTCTGGCCAAATTATTGAGATATTTTGCATTTATACACTGTATATACTTATCATGTTGTGATGAAGACACTGGAAATGTCAAGCAGAAATTAAATGAACTTTAATTTTTAAGTCTTTGCCTTAGGCTTTAATACAATGGTTATTGGTTTAAAATGGAGAGTTATTGGAAAACCTTAGTGAAAACTTTTCTTAAGCTAAGGGGGCTCTGTTTGTTGATAAGCATGTGTATGTGTTATGATATCAAGTAGCTAAGTGATGGGACGTATCCTACTGGTATGTACTCACTCATCTAAACGAAGAGCCTGAGGTGTATTCCTAAAGTTTTACAGTATGGTTTAGTGGTCACTAAAAAGGTGTGAGTATTTGATCCAGCTTGAGAGTCTTGGAGTGCATCTTCATATAAACCTGGGCAGTCAACCAGGCTGGGTATGCAGTGTAAGTTCCAAAATGCATGTTTGCAAGACCTATCGAAAGAAATTTCAAAGGGAAGGTTTTTAAGCAAAGTTGGTGATAGTTTGATATTATTTTGTGTTAGCTCTAATGGTGAAAAAAAAAAGTAAGACAGATTTATAACACAAAGAAAAACACAGTCATTTACTAGGTCAATTAGAAAAAAACAAGTGTGCTTTTCATCAGCAAAATCTGAAATTTTATCAGGCTTAAAAATCATCACCCATGGTTATGAAGCTGTGATGTTTTGATTAGTTTGGACTTATATTTGATGAAATTAAAAAAACATAGCTTCAGTGTAAGCCCATTGAACTATTTTGTTGTTGTGGGTTTTTCTGATTAAAATCCTCTTTCAAAGTGAGGTGAATCATGATGATCACAATCTTTCCTATGATCAGTTTTCAATATTATTAAAGAAGATTAGATGGAGCTGCATTCATGTGCATGTAGACTGTCTTGGTATAAAATTATAGCCTAATTTTCACTTTGCTTGAGAATTTTATACCTAGCTAGGTCAGTTATGTTTAGAAAATTTCACTTTAATTTTCGTTTTATTTTTTCCAGCCATAGGTTTTTTCTACAGGTTGTATCTCTAGGTAATGTTGTACAGTGATCTTATTTCAATTAAATTAAGATAATAGGGGTATTCAGTTTTACTTTTTAATTAGTTTCTGTGGATTTCTTGGTATCCTTATCAAAATAAGGGTGTTGTGTCAGCTTTTCAGTGCCAAACCAAATCTGTGTCTGTGATATTGAATTTCAGCTTAGATAACATATTTATTAGCTGATCATTATGATGCATAAGTAAGTGAATGTGGTTTTCAGTGAGAAATGTCTAACTGGAGAACAAAGGCCTAAGGGTGAAAATAAATGGGGAATGTTCTCCTTGTGTTCATGTACTGTCAATCATTTCTGGCCAAAGAAATGTAGCCACAGATTGAATTCTCCAATCATGATGATCGAAAATATTTTAAAATTTTGTAAGCTATTGATAATGATGATGATGATGTGGTGACTGACAATTGGAAACTCAACAAAAAGAAATATATTTTTTTTATTACATTAATTTACTTGTAACTCTAAATTTTCCTTAATTTAGCAGCTATTGCTCTGAAGACACTACCTAACCAGCAAGTTGCAACTATTCTTTTTATGACTGTCAATTTAAATTGTTACCATGTACGCGGTAGTTGAAAACAAGCTAAATGAAAAGAAGACCAATGTTGTCATAATTCATAAATACTTTATTTTTCATTAAAAGATTTTTGTAAAAATAAAGTTAATGAGTATTATTTTGTCATTTTCCTGATATTTTTCTGTTTATAGAAGTACACATTTTTTTCTCAAATATGTACAGTATACATTATACACAACTGTGAAGCTCCTTTTTACCCAGCTGTCATTTCCTTTAAATAAATTAAATGTTTACTGATTGGATATGAATATTTCAATAATATTAATATTCTCAAAACCTACTGGTTGTTGTAAACAAATCAATCAACCCTTTAACTCCCAAGATCTTATAAGTAATTCTCTTTACTTCTCCCATACAGTTCTTGTGATGTTAGTTTGGAGAATTTGGTATTGGATCAACTTATGATTCCCTAACTGATATTTTTCTCTATTCTCATCACATGTCTGCTTGATATTGTATTGATATTATAAGGGGAAATTCTGTCTTGGTAACTCATGGGAGTTAAAGGGTTAAATGTGTTTATAATATTATGTTATTTTTCAAAACAGAAACATCACTCACAACTGTTCCAATTTTAAAATTGGCACAGATGTTTTAGCAGGAACATCTGTTTTCCTCAAGGACATTGTTATTATTTACACATTTAATTTAATAGCATGAAAATTTTCACTTTGTTTACCATTGTTAATTCTAAAAATTGAATTGCTAGTTACTAAATATTACTCTGTAATTTGTCTCAAAGCCTTATTTCAGATGGTGCCAACTGCGGGAGAGAGATGTGAAGAAATCGTCAGAAAGTGCCTTTAAGCTGTTATTTTATTCATTGGTGTTTGGTTACTGCTCCTATATTCTTTTCAATGGAAATTACAATTTTTACCATGACACCAGTAACTGCTGGAAAGGTTAGTTGATACAGTACCAAACGAAGAAGGTTGAATTGACTGTCAGTGATTAAATAACCCTTTACACCTTAAAATCAGTATGTATATTCTCCTTACTGTTCTCTAAACATTTCCTATGATTTTGAGAAGGAGAATTTGTTTAGCAGTGAAGACCTTCTTCAGTTGATGATGTTTAATTTCTTTTTCTTCCTTTAATTCTTATGTATTACAATACTTGTCTTGACAGAGTAGTTGTAATGTGTATAAGGGTTTAATATTGGAGAATTTTCATCCTGAACACCCTTGGAAGTCAAAGAACAGTCTAAAACTATTAATTTCATCATAGGTCATTCTTTAATTTATCAGGAGTGATGATTGTATTAAGCATGGATGCATAGCTGGCTATAAAAAAAATACATTTAATTTATCAGTAATGTCTCCCATTTGATTTATGTGTACCTTTATCTAGGTTGGTACAAGGGAATGCCTGTTCCTCAAGACATCTACATGTTATATGTGGTAGAAGCTGGATTCTATTTCCATTCTGTATACGCCACACTGTACATGGATCTGTGGCGAAGGGATTCTGTTCTCATGATTGCTCATCATATTGTAGCTAATTTACTCATTCTGTTCTCATTTGCAATGAGGTGAGGTTTTAACTTAAAATTGACCTTTGCTTATTAAAATGTGGCGGAAGTTACTATTAGATTTAATTTGGTAAGTCTATAAAATAAACCTAATTTTTTAAAGAACAGTTACTTCCAGTGGTAAATGTATTTAATATTTAGTTATTATGGCAATAGTTGCCTGTCTGTGTGTCTTAAGCTTTGTGAGAAATTGAAGGGTACATTGCTGGCCAGTCTAGAAAGTTTCCTTGTAATAAGGAGAAAACACATGATGTTACCTTTCAGGTACCACAGTATTGGCCTTCTGGTCTTATTTGTTCATGACCCAACTGATATTATACTTGAATTCACTAAACTGTGCGTTGCTTTCAAGTCACGTGGTGGAAAATACCATCTTCTACCAGATGTAATCAGTGTAGTTGGATTTCTGTCTTTTGCATTAGCTTGGTAAGCAAATTAAGGTAATTGAATAATTAAAAATCTTTTAACTTTACATCAAAGCCATGCTCTGAATGGAAAACCTACTAAGGGAATTTTCAAGTTGATCATATCATTTCTTGTAATTTCTTAGAGGAGCACATTCAACAGCTTTAAGTTCAGTATTTTGATAAATTGTGTCAGGTTGGAAAAATTTATCCATGCCTAGATCCTGTGTAGAGTGCTTTGGCATGAACTTTTTACCTCTCTGAAAACTCCATTTGGGTCTGTGCCAATTAACCTGCAATAGACTAGCTTAAGGATCCTATCCAGGACATGCAGCAATACTTATGATCACTTTGAGCTTAGTTCAAGACCAAGACAAGCTCCTTGATTTGTGGGCCACTTGGCTATAATCCTTAGATTTTTCATTCACTTAATTCAGAATGTTGTGTTTTAGGTTTTACTGCCGACTTTACATCTTCCCAATCAAGGTGCTCTACTCTTGTGGCTGCATCTCTTTGCTTTTCCTTCCTCAAGTCCCTCTGTACTTCTTCTTCAATACCATGATCTGGCTACTATTTTTGATGGACATTTGGTGGTTTCATTTCATTGTGTTGCTCATCATTCGTATCGCTGTTGGAAAAAGCAGTGGTGTGGAAGACACCAGAGAGATTCCCAAAGATTCTCTGAAAGGTGAAGAACATGGAGGAGTAGCAAATGGGAAAGTGTTACAGAATGGAGTGCTACATAACTGTGCAAGTCACATTGAGGCCACACATACAAAAGGTTTGTGCTGAGAATATTTTTGGGAAATAATTTTTTTTAACTCAGCAAATTTGCAGTAAGTTGTATGCTTTCCCACCTGGACTTATGATGCTGTGCTCCCTTGTGGTAAGAGAACATGTTGCTTAACAAATCCAAAAATGATTTATTTCAGAATTCAATCAAATGTGTTTGAGGTAAAAGTGGTGGAGAGGAGGGATCCTATAACCAAAACATGGTCTGCCTTTTTTTCCTGTTCATTTTAGAAAACATTGCATATTAAGTAAAATTTTTATAATGTGTAACATTATACAACAAAATCTTTTAAATGTGCTGAGATGGGACATTTCTTTCCCACCCAAGACATAACATTCTGTACCCACCTCAACTACAGGTCTACATCCCCTTGGAACTCTGATCCAAGCATGATACACAGCTAACTCAGTTGGTTACTTTGCTGGATTCTCAATCAAATAATCTGGGTTAGAGCCATGGCTGTGTCTTTGTGTTTTGGTTTTTGGGTGGGACACTTTCATTTTTATAGTACTTGTTCCCAATCTTTAAGTGCAGATCAGTACATACCAGCTGTAAGGGCAACATGAGGAAAATACCGGGAGGGAATGTGAGAACCTCCTGTTGAACGGCTTCCTGTAAAGGGGAGAGTAGCAGTATTCAGTATTTGTGCCACTGAAACTGGGACAAACTGTAGCAGTATGGGTCCCCTCAGTGGTAAGGTGACCTTACTTTTACCAATAGACTCAGCTAGGTAGGATCAATTGTCCTGAACTCTCCTTTCATGAATACAGACTAACATAACTTTTTTTATGACACGATTATTAAGGCACATGAAACACATCAAAAAGTAAAGAGTAACATTCTGTAGATTTTAGAATCACTACTTTCTCAACTAATGCTATTGGGAAAGGTTTTCTTCTCAAGCATGTCCTTTTCCTGAAAAAGAAAATACTGCACATACAGGGTGAAATGTATTAGATAAATTCAGTGTTATATAACTGTGATAGACCTGCATTCTGTATCCTTTATTTGCAGCTGGACAAAGGAAGTACAACAAAGAAGGAATCAAAAAAGGGGAACCAAACCAAAATTGTGACAAACAGAAAAACAATGAGGAGCCAGGCTTCCGCCGCAGGTAGCCATGCACCAAACCAGCTAATCCATAGAATGAATGCAGCCATGCACCATGCCAGCTAATCCATAGAATGAATGCAGCCATGCACCATGCCAGCTAATCCGTAGACTGGATAATATGACTGTGGAATAATTTTATGCTCAAGAGACTAAAAATGTCCCTTATTTATTTATTTATTTATTTATTTATTTATTTATTTATTTATTGGCATCATATTACTACAGGGGCCAAGAATATATGTTTTAGTAATAACATGTATTGATAATTTATTTATGAAGGAGAGAATCATCCTTTGGTTGGAGATAGACGTTGTTGCTTGCATAGCATTAGGCCTTATGGCCAATTTGGGGTTATGACATTTATTTAATAATGTATTTCCTTGCAGCTTCTTCAAAGTTACAAATATTCCTACCAGCACAAATTAAGTTACTTATGAGGAAGTAAATCACAGTTAAGTTATGAGTATATATTGTTGCTTGCAAACTGGTTTTATTGAAAATTTTAATGTTACATTTTTACTTACTTATGGCTTTTTCAAAGCCAAGAACATGAACTTTCAAGTTTTCATTTTACTGATAATTTATTCATAAAGGAGAAAATTGTACTTGAAATTTGTTTTGAACAGATATTGTCACATGGAAACCGGTTGGCAGAAGTTTGATTTTAAATTATAGGACAGAGTAAGCTATTTTCCTATTATTACCCACAGTGATCATGGCCTTTTCATGCTAGGAACTCTCTCTAGTATTTCAATACAAATTTAATTTATCTATGAAGAAAACTGTGGTTTAACTATACATAGACTTAGTTACTCACAGACAGTAGTAACTGGTTTAGTTTCACTTCTTAATCTTATCTACGTGTGCGGTGATTAGAGTCTTTTCAAACCAAGAATCTCCTTTCTAGTATTTTTGTATGTATGCAAAGAAAATCATTGGTTTAATTCCTAGGTTCAATGTACTCCTGTAAGAACTCAGGTTGGAAAACCTATTTTTGTTGGAGGAGGTCTTGGTCATTTGTGGTCTATATTTCATCAGATGCATGTAACTTTGGGCTTGTGGGGAGTAAATGAAAAAAGGAATTTAGCCAATTTGTTCAGGATTTAGTAGGTCTTAGTCGCTAACTGGAGATCGTCTTTTAATAGTTTATATTTTATCAAATGCATGTAACCTTATGTACACTCGTGGGGATCAAATAAAAACAACAAATTTAGCCAATTTGTTCAGGATTTGCTAACAACAGGGTTTCTTCTTTCGTTTATATGTCTGCTTTTGAAAACAATTAACGCGCAATGACGGAATCTCACTGGCAACTGAATCCGCCAAATACGATAAGTGTAGCATGCTTTTGTTGCTAACTAGCCTTCAACATCGTAAATAGCAATTATCTTCTGTCAATTATAAGAGGAACGGAGAGCCATTTTTCAACGGTTCGATGGGTTCTCGGCAAGACTTGCGTGTAACCCCTACTTCATTAGACATACATTTCTTGATAAAGGCATCTACGACACAGACAATACATTGCCGTTGCGACTGTAACTTTGTTTTAGAATCAGAAATCTTCTCGAGTCCCCCTCTCACTGTTTTTCGTTCGTTCTCCAGCTCCTTAGAACTAAGAACGTAAGTTCTGAAAGTAGACCGTGTGTGTAACAAACTAACAACTGCCGTGTTAAAAAAACAAAACAAAACAAAAGTCACTAAAGGTGCTTTAACCAAGATGTGTGAAAAAAAATTGCAGTTATCTTTACTACATGAAGAAACACAGTTCTCGAAAATACGCCGCCGTCGGGGGAGCAGGGCAGGACCGGGTTCCCCAGTATAGCCTCCTCTTTTAACGGTATATTCTTGCAGATCGAGTCGACGAATTTTAAAGTGAATCAGCAAAGTTCGCGTCTCTTTCCCAAAGGACTCCATAGTGACAACGTGTTTCTACATCGTGCTAAACGCAAATGTTTGATTGCTATGTTTTAATTACATTTAATTGCAATAAGATTGTCAAAGAAAAATGCTTAATGTAAAGGCCAGATAGGAATTAATTTGCATGCGAACGTGCGTCTTACAAATACCCCATTTACACCGCGGCTAAACATGACTTACAGCTGTTTTGCTAAACACGGTTTAATTTTTTTTCTTCATAGAAGCTGCATAAACCGATGTTTGTCGACTTCAAATGTAGCACATTGAAATTACAATTGAGCGATTACTTGTATCCTGTGGAAAATTCAGTTTTTCAGTTCTCTGATTCTGATTTTCATTCAGTTAAACCCGGTTTAAGTGAATGATGGGGTATAAGTATCTTGAATTAGCATGATTTAGGTTCGTCTCCCTTCCTATGTAAAACTTAGATTTTCCTTTGGCTTTTTCCTGGACAACCTTGTTGCAAGTACGTGTATGTATCAGACAAATTGCAAGTAACAGAAGTGCCATCTGGCACAAGGTCGAGATGAAAATTTCAGCCACACAACTTGCTTATTTAGACTAAATGGAGGACACCTCTTCTCTACTTGGAAGACACCAGCGACGACTGATCGAATGTCATTTGAACAAACCAACTTTGGTGATTTGTTGAGAGTCCCAAACCTAGGATGCCACTCATACAGAGCAATAACCTAACAACTGACACAAACATTGGAAACAAGCGCCTAACGGAAGGACTAATGACCAGCATCAGTTCGTCTTCATTGTATCACTCGGCGTCCACAGCAAAAGTTTGGGCGTTTCCTTTAGCACCTCGTTGTTTATACTGCAATTAAAATGCATCCCAACCGGGACATTCACACGCCTTACTCAAAGGAAAGCGGTCTACAATTCCGTAGGGAAATTCAGCACTGAAGCTGCACATTTCACGTGAAAAGTCACTACACATTCCAATAAAAAACACACAATGCCATTTTGTTAGAATAAGGCTGCCTTCGCTGCATACAAAATTAAGGTCCAAGAGGTGCTACTGTCTTCCGAATGATGCTACAGTGGGGCGAAAGTACACTTTTTTTCAACCAGCCACTTTAAAAATATATATAGCTAAACAGTTGTTGGTCCAGCGCAATTAATTTACCCGCGTATTTTGAAGTGTCTGTGAGCAGCGAATACGAAGAAACTGAGTAAGTGAAAAGGTCACCGTGGTAATTTCGAGGCTGTTAGGAAAAAAATCCGAAACAGAAAGCGGGTATAACAGATTTCTATATAAACTTACGGGTCCCGATGTATCGATGGTGAATTGTATATTAATAGTATTTTTATGTATTGATTACCAGTTTATACCAGCGTTTTTTTAATGATGAATTCGCTAATCAGTTTTTCAGTTAAAATATAGCATTTATCATTATTATTAAAACAGAATGCACATTTTATTGCGTGTCATAGGAAACCATTTTTCAGTTTCGTGTCAGATTTTGGTTATCTTAAATAATCTAAATAACGGCTGGGTGACCATAAATTACACCAAAGCATGAAGAAGCATAGTCTGTTCCAGACTCTCAGTCGGTGGAAAACGTCAAATGGTTGTTGTCAAGGAAACGGCTCCGTAAAAAAAGCGTGGTGGTGGGTGGAGTGAGGCATTAACACAATTCTTACATACATACATACATACATACATACTTTATTTGTCACGTAGGTCGATAAATGGCAGCTAAAAAGCTGATGTGGACCTACAAAACTAAAGAGTGTCTACAAAATTTAAATAATAACAATAACAAGTTGCGAAATTATGGTAAGTAAGAAAGGATGTAAGACCTAGTAAGATAATATACAGTTGATTTACAGTAGTAATAAAAAGTAATAAAATAAATAAAAGTAGTAAAATAGCTTTAATATATGTAATTTACAACGTCTTTATTTAGTCCCTGTAAACCATTAAATGTTATTTTATCTAAAATGTCGGATTTTGCTTTGAGAGCAGATTTGAAAGAAACAATGTTCGGTTTGCTCTTCAAGTACACGGGTAAGTTGTTCCATAGAACAGACGAATGGTTAGAAAAAGAAGATCGACGGAAGTCACTTTTAGGGCGTTGCACGAATAGCTTCAGATTGTCCCTTAGATTTCTCAACGGAGAGTGTTTAGTAAACAAAGAGCTTATAGCAGCCGGAGCTCTATTGTAAAATGCCTGATAGGATATAGTGGCAATCCTCTTTTTATAGAAATATGATAAGGACTTCCATTTTGTCGCTGCCAGAACTTCAGTATTGGGGGTAGATTCCTTTAGGTTAAAAATAAATCTCGCGGCTCCAACTCTTTTGACCATTTCCACTTACTGAGAGCCTAAAGGGAGCTACAGTTACTTTATCCGCCATTGAAAAGAATCGCATTCCATCATTTCTAACCTCCCAATCATCCACCTACCCCTATATTATATCACGTAGCTTTGTGAAAGAATTCTTGACTCCTTACGCCCCAACATCAGAATGCATATTCTCCATACTGTTCTGTACATATATTTTGAGGTGCTGACTGGGAGAATGTGTCTAACGATCATGAGCTTATTTGGTTGGTGATCATTTATTCTTGATTCTCGTGACCTTTACCGCATTCGTACGTGCATAGGCTGCACTCGTGAATAAGCCGCACCCCGACTTTTGACCATATTTTCTTGAAAAAAAAAATAATTTCACGTTTTCTCGAAAGGGCAAAAGGCCTGGCGAGTGCGTGCCGCATACCGCCAAGAAATATTTGTTCATATCACAAAATACATCACGATAAATAATCTGACATAGCATGCCATCGATCGAACAAACTTGCGAGATGCAAACAATAACGGCTAGTCATGTCTTCAAAACGGTCTTTAAGTTAAAAAAAAGGTAAAAGAAAAGCTACCTGGGTAATTTCTGCTAGATTTGTATTCCAAGTACACTAACATTTTGTTTTATTTCCTTAGTAATGATCGCGTGAAGTTGCGTACGTGATCGGGGACACGAGTAAACATAGCTTAGCGGCCTTGCCTCTTGATTAACATAGAAAGATTTAAGTTATACCGTTTGCACAAAATTTATTTGGAAAAAAAGTACGGTCTATACACGTGCGAATACGGTATGTGTGATTCAGGGATGGTGTTGTTAGGAGAAATTGGATAATAGTCATTCTTAGGGTTTAAAGGGTTATACCCACCAATATAACTTTAACAAGGCCTTCAACCAAGACCAATTAATGTGAAGTCCAGCATATTCTAACATACATTAACCAGACCATTGTGCTCTGCTTAAACATGTTTACTTTTAATCTGATTTTAATCTGTAGTAAATAAGGGAATAATACACACCTTCCTATTTCAAAATCCTGGCTCAAATACTCTCTAAAGGTAAATTAACATCTTCCATTTTTTTTACTGATCTTGACATGTACAGACGGTCTATCTGGGAGACGTTTCCCAATATAACTGTTTTAATAATTGTTTGGTTATGTGGCTCCCCTCATTTGAACCAATCTCAGATAACCAGTATTCCTTTGACCATTATCCTGATATTGCAGCACCATTAAATTAAAGTAATCATATGCCAAACTGAGTCTAACATCTTGTTACTGTGGATGGTCTGATGCCAATTTAGCTGTGAGTTGTCTCTCCAACTCTAACTGTCGTTCTTGTGCTTCAACTTTGTTACGCTCCTCTTTCTCCTTTTGTGATTTAAGTTTCGTCGCTCTCCTCTGAGAATGTAAATAAAAACAAAATTAATCATCCTTTGTTTAAATCTGCAATAAGTTGCATAATTTACCAGTTAAGGTCAGATTTTGTATGTAGAATGACAAATAACAGCTCACACATCTCTCTGCATTTCAAACCCCAAACATGACAGCATGACCAAATCACATCACAGGCAACTTGATGGCCTGTTCATTGCAACTACTGAATGGTTTCTTTCACATGCCCTGCTAAATGTAACCGTATAACACCTGTGGTGCAGAACACCAGTGATCAATGCTGTGTACTCCTCAACTAAGAGACTAACATTTCTTGACTTTCAAAAAGAGCCCATCATTCCTAAATCAGTTACTTTATAACCCCAAATGTTGGTTCATATTCATGCTGAACAGCTAGGTATTATCCAGAATTTACACTAGCCCCAAACTACAGTTCTATTCAAGACATTTCAAATTCTCAACAGCTTGAATTTCAGTCAAGAAAATTTAATATTAACCAATTTACTCCATGATTTTATTATCAGTTCTCCACACTCCTGGCAGGCTTTTATTGTTATACAATGTCATTTTGGTCTTAACCCAAACAATATACCCAAGTTGATCATTTTTCCCCTCCTCACTGCAATTCTGTGCTAAAGTGTATTGATTGTTTAATGTTTTTGCTCCATAACAAAAACAATTTTGTTATGATGTGTAATCCAGAAATCTATGTAGTACCAGTCCTTTAATTTCTGTAGTACCATTCACACTAATTATGAGCTTTTAGGAGAGAGAGGAGATAATTGCAGAATTGTAGAAAATTGAATGATAAATTAACATTGATAAAAGCCTCTTCATTACTAAGTCATTTCTTCAAAGTTCATCATTCTGGTACTTTAACCATAGCCTAGCCTCTAAACTGGTTATAACAACTGGTTAACTAGTTGGCAGGTTAACAATGTTTTGGTACAAGACAAGCAGAACCAAACTAATTATTTTATATACCACACTGAATGACCCTGCTATGTCAGCCAAACTTAATTTCTTAATCAGATGCACTTTAGAACCAAAAAAAAAACAAATCCTATTGTTAGTCTCAATATTTTGGTTCAAAAAGTATGTTGTGTCAAAATCTATTTTTCCACTTTTGTTTTCAATAAATATCCCCACCTTGATAAGGAAAGCACACACATGAGCAAGGTCATGGTGAAGGTCATCAGATTCCCAAAGGGAACCAAAATAACAGTTAACAAAACAATTTTAACATCGCAAGATTCAACAATCGAGAATAACAGAAAGGAGAAATCTCTTGTTGCAAAGTATAATTTCTGCAATATTCTCAGTTGCTTTGACTTGAATTTCTTTGACACAGTCTATTTGAATCAGATGAACTTTCGACAACTGCTAAACTTTTGTGAGAATCTTAGGAAGGGTATCAGTATTCCAATATTATCTCACCTGCAGTCTAACAACCCTGTCTTCTATAACATCCATATCATGTTGGATTTTGGTGAGCTTGGAATGATATGTTCGAACGTAAGAAAGCTGAAAAGCAAGATACATCAGTTGACATTGTTGATTGTTTGGTCTTAAAAAGAGTGAGAAATTCCTCTTCCTTCAATGAACTAAAATTTTGTCACAGATTCTTTTAGAACTCTAATCTTAGACCTGTCGATAAATAAGAAAGCTGAAAAGCAAGATATATCAGTTGAGATTGTTAGTTGTTTTGGTTTAAAAAGAGTGAGAAATCCCTCTTCCTTTAATGAACAAAAATTTTGTCACAGATTCTTTTAAAGCCCTAATCTGAGTCCTGTGGATAAGTCTCCTTCTCTCGCCACCATCTCACTGAATGATATATTGCTGTTGTTAGGAGGGTAACACATTCATTGTTGCCTTAAGTTATTGACCAAGTGACAAAATATTAATTTTACCATGACCAGAAGGTTTCTTGCTGCATGACATTCTGCAAACTTTGCATTTTCCTGTTGCATAGTTTCAATTAAAATTCCTTGATTTTGCCTGAGGTAAAGATAAAGAATTGCAAAAGTAAATAGCAAAAAGTAAATGATGATGGACTGGTAACAGTGAACAATTTATCACATATAACCTAGATATTGATCTAACTGTCAGTCAGCCAGAAGGTAAAAACATGCAAGGTTCTCCTTCAAACAGACATGAGACTGTATGACTCATTTTTTATTTTCTTCCTTTCTTTGCACTTGTGAAATATCTGCTCCACAATTGCCCAAAGTAGGAAGATTTTTTTTTTTATTGAAAAGGTCTCGTCATTTTTCCAGCTGTCAAGCATTAACCCACATCTACATATGCTTGAATTAGAATGCCAGACTCAACAAATACATGAAGGCTCCATACCTTGATCACAAAGGAAGTACATTTATAACCAACCTGAACTCAAGGTAAGCTCACAACACAAAAATAAACCATGAAAATATCCAGAAAAAAAATAGCCAGGGACTCATAGTAAACAATCCAATCTGGAATAGATTTAAAGAAAGCTATCCATTGTTTTGCTCTATTGTGTTCAACATCTTTAGTAATCTTGGGCCATTTGGGAATCAACAGTCCAATAAATTAAATCCTGATGGCTAAAAATCACTCCAGTGACTAACAAACCACTCAACTCTACCCAAATACCTCCCTACCCCAGTCCATCCTCCCCCCCCTCCCTCCGGAGTTCCCAACTAGAATTTTATTACCCATGTTTTTCCATGGCTGCTCAAAGGCCCTTGTGCGGTGTGATATGTTCTTTCATGTTAAAATTTTATTAGATCACAAGCTAATATGAATATAAATTTCGTATCGTGGCAAATTTTCAGATGAAAAAAATCAAGCATCGTCCTAACTTAACCTTACGTAAGTTCCCCAAGCCGCTCTTTCAGATTCTCCAAACCGGGAGCGAAAGCGTCCAGAAAACCATTAGTCAGAGCTTCTGTCAGATTGCTTTCACTCTGTAGATTTCTGTCTCCAGTTTCTGCATCTTCACCCGCACAATTATCACTCATTTCTCTGAAGGCAGTAAGCCGATATTTAGCTAACTAAAGATTACTCTACTTCCCGAACGAGAGTTAAATCGATAACATTCCGACAACTAAGCGATTAGGAATCGAGGCAATATCGACGGGTGCGAAAATGTCTTAATAAGGAGTGTTTACTATAACCCGCTGACCATCTACAATGGTGCGAAATTTCGAAATCGTGACATCGTGGATCGTGACTTGTCTTGAATATTTTGAGGAGCGATGGAGGACCGGCTTCTGCCCGGCGTTTGTGAAAACATTTGCTAGTTACACTCCTTTTTATGGCACTGATAATATTCTACTTCGTTAGATTTTCAGCGCCATGTCCGATGTGTCACCCTATGGTGAGCGTGTCGAATTGAGGAACCGACAGGGGTCATTTTCGGTCAGAAAAAACAGTTGGAAAGATTTACAGGTCGCCGTGAAACAAACAAAATCTCTGCAACAAAGTCTGGTAAATCGAGTGCCTCATTCATTTACATTCTGCGAGAATAAGCTATATTTTCTGGCCGTTCCTTTTGGAAGCCGTGAGAACACAATCCACTATGTCGATCTGCCTGGACAACACAGTTCTGCCAATGGTGAGAAAGAAAACGATTTTTCTCCTCTTCCGTGGAAACCTTTACTTGACTCATTTAAGATCAGCCGTTCGTTTTCGGGATATTCAAGGGAAGAACAGTTACTGCGGGAGAGGAAACGCCTTGGAGCATTTGGAATCACCGCTTACGATTTCGATGAGACATGTAGAAGGTTCATGTTTTCTGCGTCAAGTAGTTTGTATACTTGCACAGATTGGCGAGTTGACGAAGAGGTAAGCTTAGGTTGGCGTTGAGAGTTTAACGACTATATTTAATGATAAAGCGTTATGGTTGCATTGCGTGGTTTTCCTATACAAGGAGATCCATCGGAGATTTTAGTTTCCTTTTGTACAAGTAGCGTGATTACGAGGGTTTAGTTATATTACATAACTTAGACAAGCTAGGAACTGTTGAGTATTTGCGATCTACAATTTATTTTCAATTCAGTCGTGGTAAATGAACAGGAGTAAGCTTAGACTGTATTTCAAGTGTTGATGTGATCCGTAATTAATGCACGTGAGTGATTTCTTTAATCGTGTAAACTTGATGTTGTAATATTTACGCTGTCGATATACAGTCAGTGTTAAATCACGTTATTGTGTTTGTTTGAGCATTCATGGCCCAGCTAGTGGTATAGAATAAGACCGAATAATGTTCCATCACCCATCTGTCTCTTGTATTCTGTAAAACTTGTTCAGGCTTTTTGCTTTGTGGAAAACAAAGTCATCTTCATAAATTAATTTAATTGAATGCATGCTTGACCAAGATAATTGTAGAGTTGACCCTCTCTATTGGATCCTCTTCCGCAGGAGATCACGTTCTGTAGAAGATCACTTTTCTGATTCTAGTAAAATTACTGTTTGCCAGAATTTCTTTTTTTTTGAAAGAGTTTTTGTGATGGGAGAGGGACACCTCAGAAACAAAAAATAAATTTTACATCTGTGAGTTAAAGTTATGTTTTGAAATTGTACAGCAACCACATTTTGAGATTCAAGAGAGGGTTTCAACCTTTTGAAAATTGTCTTAAAATGTGCGAAAAGTGTAACCACCAGGGCTGTAGCCAGACTTCAGAACAAGATGAGGCAAGTTTTGAGCACCAAAGGCGTGAGCTGCCAGGGGGGTATGGGGGCATGCCCCCCCCCCCAGAATTATTTGAAATCTAGACAGTTTTTGAGTAGTTGGAGTAGATTACATAAGCATCTGACTCTCAAAATGTGGTTAGAAGGTATTAAACTTTTAAACCTTAACTCACAAGATCTGATTGTTACACATTTCCTTGTTAATTAGTTTGGAGAATTTGGTGTTAGACCAAGATAACAGCTTCTACCTGATAAGTTTTAAGTACCCTAATTTTTTGATTCAGCATCCGGGGTGCTTATTTACTTATGATATTTCAAGGGAGGGCACTTATTCGAAACAGGGTGCTGATCAAGGAAAGGGTGCTTATTTCTTTTTGGAAATAAAGCAGAATGTGCAAAACAAAGTGCTGAAGACTAAATTATTTGTTTGAAGGAACTTTACACTCATGGGGACATAATAATAGAGAGACAAGGATGGCTGTGTCTGTAATGAGGCTTTCAATAAGCAATTTAGGGAAGATGAACTATGGTTGATCTCAGTTTACATGCACTCAAAAAGTGCTATTACTGAAACAGAATAGGGAAGCTTATTGGAATAGAGAACCTATACACATGAGGGTGCTTACTCAATAGGGGCACCATTAGAATAGGGAAGCTTGTAAACAAAAACAAATTGGGGGGGAGAGGGAATGCTTTTTGGAATGAAGGTACTATATCAAATCATTGCCATATATTAGTTACCAGTGTGCTGGATAGTGTATGTAGTTTATTGGGAGAGGTTACATGATAATTATTTCTGGAAGTAAGAGGGTTAAGTGGTGGTGATAAAGATAGCGTGGTGTCTAGAGCAGAATCTTCATCTATATTTGCTAAATTTTCCATTATTTCCATTAAGTATACAGAAATCATCATAGGATCTAATGCACTTGTGGCACATTTTGAGAGTATTGCTCCTGAAAAATGTCATCAGTTTTTGTTAGTGACTGAATTTATTATATCCTCTCTTCTGTCAGGATGATAATAGACAACCAATAATTCCAGAGGAGTTGCATTCCCAGACCTCAGAGACAAAGATGGATGCTAAATTATGTCCATGTGATCCCAACTTGGTAGCTTTTATTCATCGTAATGATGTCTGGGTCAATAATATTGTCACAGAGGAAGAAAGGAGATTGACATACACAAATCAAGGTTCACCAAGTCCAATGGAGGAGCCTATATCAGCTGGTGTGGCTTCATTTATTGTTCAAGAGGAGTTTGATAGATATACTGGCTACTGGTGGCAGCCAAAATTTAGCACTGATGAAAGTAAGTACCAATCAAGAATATTTATGTTTGTTGCAGGGTCAAACAGTCATATCCAAGCATTGTAAGGGATGTCTATCAGTCGCATCAATCAGTGTCTACGTAGTGGTATAATTCAGCTACTTCGCATCCTCCGAAGTATTGATCAGAAGGGCATGGCATCAGTCTCTCTTTACATGGGCTCTTTAAATTTCTTTTTTTTTTTCCTGAGTATGTTCATGCCATTGGCCAAATATTCTCATGTTTAATTTTGTTATTAGGTGTCAAATTTACCTTTTTCTTTGTGATAATGAGAAGTTTAGTAATGTTGTGGTTTCCTACAGGGTTTTTGTCATGCAAACCAAGTTTAATAGCTTATCTATCTTGGGTATCTATAGCTCAGAAGTTAATCCCCTTGTTGAGACAGACAATCCCTGGGCAACTAGCTTTGTAATACAGAATGTCTGATGAACTGATTATCAGAGTGTATGACATACAAATGATTACCAAACAGACAACAAGAGGGGCTGGCTATTTCAATATCAGATTCACTCACTAGTAATTAAAAATTATCTTCAAGGAGGCTATGACTGAGAATGACTGACAATTGACTCACTGTCAGAGTGACCCATTGAGAAATGATTGCCCAACTGACCAAAATAACTGAATGGCTGTTGAAATAACTGATTGACAAAATAACTGCCCAACAGACCAAAAGAATTCAGTGAATGGTAAATATTCACTGATCAACAAATGACTCTCCAACAGATATTAACATGTAGGATGACAGACAAAGTTATTTTTAGTTTTATTTTTTGTAAACAAACTTCACAGATGGGTAATCAGATAAACTAACTGAATGTTTGATCAACTGACTTTTAATTAATGAAAGACTAAAAGATTGATTTATAGAGACAAATTGACAGATTAACTAAACTACCAAGAGTCTTTCAAATATTAAAGTTCCAAACCCTTTAACCCTCAAGAGTGACTACTGACCATTTTCTCCTGTCAGTATCACTCCTAAAACAAACATTGAGGTCATGAGAATAAAGAAAATGATCACCAGCTAAAGATGCTCTTGATTATTAGACAAATTCTCTTTGTCAGTACCACAGGAAATGTATAGAGAGTAGTGAGGAGAAAAATTAATGTTTAATGATGCAGTGTTCTCCCTTATTTTAAGCATGATAGGTAAAATAAATTTTCAAACCAGTAAAGCAATCCTTTTGCCTGTTGAATTTTCAAGAATTCCAAGCAATTTTAAATGGTAATAAGAAGTAATACAGGCGGTAAATGTTACCGGTTACTGCCTGAAAAGGAGAACACTGATGATAATAGGGTGTAGAGGGTTATATGTAAGTCTGATTTTAATATTGTTGCTCATCATACATGTCACAGCACAGTTCATCAGGATTGCCTCTCAGTCTTATTCTGTACCTCCAGTGCATTATTTCCTATAAGGCTTTCTTAATTTTGTAGTCTAATACTTCACATGTATCTAAGAGAACAGAAATACATGAAAGAGCAAACAGAAAACATGCATCAAATGAACACTAAATGTATAGGAGGTCATTCACATACATTTAGTTTGAATACTCATAATGTACAAGGAAGCTCAAAATTAATACCATTTGTTTTATTTCCATAGACCTAACAAGAACTTACAGGATTTTATTTGAAGAGGTAATGAAAAACCTGTAATATTTATATGTGATAACCAAGATTTGCACTTTGTTGTTGTTTTTTTTTTTGTGGCATATAATCTTTTTTATTAAACAAATTTTTTCTTCTTTTCACCAGGTCGATGAGAGCTCTGTAGAAATTCTTCACATTGTATCTGGTCCAGACAGTATGGTGCAAAATAGTCATGTAGATAGCTACAGATATCCTAGGGCAGGTATGAGAATTTTTTCCCTTGAACTATCCAATTTTGCTAAACTTTTCTTTTTACCAGGTTCTTATACAACGTACTTCTAATTAGAAAGCTGCAGCTAGACTCAAATTTACTCCTGCAGCCAGATTGGGATTAGGGCCAGTCTTGTTGTTTTGAGAGGTAAAGCATGTGTGTCCCTGATCTCAAGGCAGAAGGGAGGGGAGGTGGGTTACACTGGAGGGCTTATCTGTAATGGAGAGTACAAGCTGAAGGAGAGCTTTTGATTTTCCAGAGTGACCATTAGTATGAGGTGTGTTTTATAGGCAAAACTTATTCCCAATGGGTGGTGCAATCATCACAGAAAAATTTTTTTTTTCAATCATAAGTTTCTTATGCTTAAAAAAAAATATGGCTTTTTTTAACTAGGCTCTGCCAATGCTAAATCCAAACTTAAAATTGTCCAGTTCAGTATTGATACAAGTGGCAAGGTAAGGTGACAACTTACATAATATGGAATCATAATTTTGACCTTAATTTACTTGCTTGAGCATAACTTGAAACCCAAATTGTGCAACTTGTGCAGAAAATCGAGTTGGTTCTTACTTTCTTCAGAGAAAACTTGAAAATCAATGTGAACATTTTCAGAGCTCCTTTAACCCTTACACTCCTAAAAGTGACTAGCATCTAATTTCTCCTCACAATATCACACCTGAATCAAACATTAAGGTCATGAGAATAAAGGAAATGATCTCTAACTAGAGAAGCTCTTGATTTATAAAAACATTTTCCTTGTCAGAACCCTTGGAAATGTATAAAGAACAGTATAGAGAATATACATACTAATGTTAGGATGTAAAGGGTTATAAGTCTCTGTTTTTCCAATTGTTCTGAGAATACATGTAGGTATATTTTTCTAAATTTGTTACAAAAATTGCTTTTCTTAGTTACTGGTAGATTAAGTTAACAGGTAATTTCAAAAATGACAAGATGCATCTTACTGATTTAAAATTGTTCGTAAGTGCATGAGTATAACTTTATAGAATGTATTCTTGAGTTTTAAGAACAAGTAATAATATTTGTATTGGTACTTTGGTTTTTGTTCCTTCAGATCTGTGATCATGTGATTGAATATCAGATGAGAGTTCCACTTTCAGAAGCATTTCCTTTTATGGAATACCTAGTGAGGTGTGGTTGGTTACCAGATGGTGAAAGGTTAGGCTTGTATCTTGAGATGCTTATCCCCATTTCTTCTTTCTTTTTCTTTAATTAGTTAGGGTGAACACTCTACTGTATAATCAATATGAAAGATTTGAGGATTTTGTTTTATTTGTCTGACTTGCAGTGTGTACGCAGAAATACTTGATAGAAGTCAGCAGCACCTTGCTTTGGTTCAAATCCCTGTAGCATTCTTTGTTCCTGTTAACCATCCAGCAAATCAGTTGTTGACAATAACGGAAGGCAGCCCTATGGTTGAAGTGTTAGCAGAGGAGTCAAATGATATATGGATAAATGTAATTTAATCATTAACTTAACCATGATATTTCTTGTGATAAGCACCCTCTCCCAAATAAGCACCACTGTTCAAATAAGTGCCCTCTCCCAAATAAGCACCCACCCTCTTAAGCTGCAATATTTCCTGGAACCCCTCTCAAATTAAGGGCCCCAACTCATCCCACACTTTCTTAAACAGTAAGGATACAAGTATAGATTGTAACAGTTACTTTTTAAGCTTCAACTATGGCAGAATTGTTACAGGTCAAGTGCTTATCTGAGGGAATACAGTATTCAACTTACATGTTTGTGAGCCCCAGTCTTAGATCCAGCAGAAGGAAGAGACACAGTACTTGAAAGTGACTTCAATTGTCTCAAAAGAATCTAAGATATAATACAGTCTCTTAATTCAGCAAGTATTTCAATCTATTTTCTTTCAGGTTGCTGAGCTCACTCACTTTTTACGCATGAATGATTCAAGATTGCAGTTCATCTGGTCTAGTGAAATATCAGGGTTCCGTCACCTTTATTTAGCAACTGCAAACAGTAATCACACACTTACGCGAGCAAGGGCTGGTAGTTTTATTTCAGAGTGTTGTATCCATTATCCTCTTGTGACCCAGCGGCAATTAACAGATGGGGATTGGGAAGTCGATGGTAAAGAGGTAAGTAAATTAATGTAAAAAATATATAAATATAATAAATACAATATAAATATAAATATAAAAATGTTAATGCAAGTTTACCAATTTTCAGATTTGGGTGGATGAAAATCGCAAACTTATTTACTTCATGGGCACCAAAGACACACCCCTGGAACAGCATCTGTGAGTATCATACTTTATTACTAATATCTCTCAGTTAATATGTGCATTACGGTTGGTCAATTTAGCAGGCTGTGTTTCAATGTGTAACCCACTTAACTCAAAAAATTGTTCAAATTTAAATTTTTCCCAAACTCTGAAGTAAAACTTGTTACTCTTTCCTCACCTGTGCACCATTTTTTGTTTTTTTTTTTTTTGCTGTGCTTTCACTGCTTAGCTGGCAATCAAATTAATTTCAACTTTCTGCACTGTTCTCAGCCAATGAGCATGCTAAATTTTTGCATGTGTAATCCAATTTCACTTGATTTTATGCTTTAAATAGAGAAAAATAATTTTTTTCAGATATGTGGTTTCATATGCAGAGTCTTACTTCATGGAGCCACAGCGCCTAACCCAAAAAGGGTTTTCCCATGCAGTCTCTCTAAACGAGGTAAAGGAAACCAATTATGTGACTTGCTTTTTATAGCATTTTGCATCGTAGACAATTTTGACTACCATATGAAAATCAAAATTTCCATTTTTCTAGATCTTCCTCTTCAGTTCATTAAACATCATCACATCTACAAATTTAGAATAATAATTTATTAATTTAGTAAATGTTTAATTTCCTTTCAGAGTTTTACTAAATTTGTCACAGTTTATTCCTCTATACAACAAACACAAGCTGTGATGGTTTATCAAATGCATCATGATGAAGTAGAGATGAACAATGTCCCCCTCATCACAGTTGAACCAATTGCTGAATTGCTGAGGGCAAATGGTATGAATTGCTTGCTTAATTAGAACCATTGATCTCATGGGTGTAACTCCTTGCAGCCTGATGACATTGTCATGTGACATCTGTTTGTGGCACTAAGGTTAATTATATGAATAAGTGGCAGTTACAAAGCAAACTCATGCGAGATAATTATCAGCACAAGGGGATAACTTTGTATCCAAAGGCAGTCATATAATGTTCTGTTCATTGTATTCCAAATATTAGTCAGTTTTTAAACACATTTTAAGGTTTTCAATTGCCTAGATCACCTAGTATATAAATATACATGAAATTTTAGCTCCTGGAAACACTACCTCAGCCTTTTTACACACATTGCACAGTATACACATAAATTTTGATGATCATTAGTGATGTTTTAGAACCAGGAGATTAAGACAGATATGTTGTTTAAATGTAGATTATGAAAATTGATAATAGCTAAAAATGGATTAAGTTCATTATCCATTATATTTGATAGAGTTGATAACAGGGCACAGTATGTCAGTTTGCCAAGAGATTTTTTTTTCTCTAGTTATCCCAGATTACCAGCCACCAGAACTTTTCTCTTATGAAAGCAAGCATGGTAAGTTGAAAAGATAAACCTCATGAAGTACATGTACCATGTAATAGATGTTTCATGGGGAACATGATATGTTGCCAGTTTTGCTGGGTTTCAGGTTTTTGTGTGTGCATTATTGCATACTATAATTATTGGCATTGTTCTGTTTTTTATTTTTTTTCCTCTTTTTATGTATGTTTGTATGTATGTAGTGTGTCTGTACTTTTTATCATGGTAAAGCCTAAAATTATTTCTATCTTTAGAAACTACAAATTTTATTCTTTATAGAACATATTGTAAATTGCAGGCTACTGGATGGGTTGCTACAATTTTTGTAGTTTGTTTTACTTCAATGTACTCAGTCTGTGTATTTTGGGCTTATTCTTTGGGCTATGAAGCAAAGCTTGTGCGTAAAAATTAATGGTAATGCCTGAAGCCTTAAATTAGTCTCACATCTGGCTGTATACTATTGTAGGCACACCAAACAACTCAATAAAAACAAAACCAAATAAAAGTCTTGGAAGTGTATCAATTGTATCAGACTCTCATATCTATAGTTGAGTAATAGTTGTTTACATGTTCTCCCAGTCAGATTATCTCATTGTGACAAGCTTTGATTGTACATGAAATTTGTCTGTGGGTACAAAGGGTTGTTAAATAAAAAATTGCTAAAATAGGTCATTCTTATCAGGACATCAGGTGTATGGAATGATGTTCAAACCTCCCTCAATCCAACCTGGAGTCAAATATCCAACTGTTCTTTATTTGTATGGAGGACCTCATGTTCAGGTAAAGAAACCAAAATTTATCTCAACATTAAGTACAACTTGAAAGCCAAATAGTTATCTTTAGATTCTATTTTTTAATGTCTTACAGTAAATGAAGGGAACAAGCAGTGTCCCATGCATGGATATATTATTTTGTTAACAGTTTTAAGCTACATCTATTTTTGCTGTCTCCTTATAGTATTTCTTGTTGTTAATAGTCCATTTTACAGTTGTGTGCTTGGTTGCCAAGCCTTTGAACAGGAATAAGGCTAAGGGTGACCTTGTTATGATACAAACCTTGCTGCTTTTCAAATGCAAATTACTTTGTTATCATGCTAACTAGATACTGGTCTCTATCACAACAAGGTCACCTTCAGCCTCACTCCAAATCAAAGGCTTGGCAACTAAGTACATAACTGTAAAATGGCCCATTGTCTGTCTCAATGAGACATTAAATTTCAATTTTATCAAACAAGTAACATACTGGGACAGGAAACCTGTGCTACTTTATCAATGCTATGCCTGTTTATTATTTGGCAGCTGGTGACCAATGCTCACAAGGGTTATCGCTTTCTCCGACTGCACACCATAGCAAAACTGGGCTATGTTGTGGTAGTTATGGACTGCAGAGGTTCTGCACACAGAGGTCTTCAGTTTGAAGGACATATCAAGAGTCGCCTGGTATGTGTCAATTTACAGATTTATAGGATGTAGATTAAGTAAAGTTATGATTTTTTATTTATTCTTACCAGAATAAATTAATTGATCTGAGTTGATCTATCTTTTAACAACTCAGTAATAGAATGGAATAAATTACTAACAGTCATTTGATAATTACTCACCTGGCAGTCAATAAGCAATACTCACCCCTTCCCCCTCCCCCCCCCCCCCACCACCTTTCCACCAAAAAAAAAAGAAATTGTGTCAGTCCATGTTGTCTTGTAGGACAAGGAGGTCTTAATATTTCAATGTCTTTTTTCTTTTTTTTTTTTGGTGGTGGAAGGGGATAGGGGTGACTATACTATTATTGCTTATTGACTGAGTGATTGTCAAATAACTGTAACATTTAATTTAGAAATTTTGTCCATTTTGTCACTGAGTTCTTAGCAAATAAATCAACTACTCATACATGCATACAAGGGTACTCTTTAGGGAAATGTTCATTCAATATTGTATCTCTTTGTATCAAGTGGTAATGGCACATCTTTTGATCCATTGGCAATAAGAACTCATTAATCACTCAGACAATCATATATACTAAAATGTATCTACTGTTTAACTCAGCCACATTAAGAGAAAACTCCACCTTATTCACAGTTTAATCCCTTGAGTTCATAATTCAGTGAAACTTGCTGTTGAGAGATGTTCTCTTTTAATTACTGGATTCTACAACATTTTGAATAGTTTTTGATTTAAGGAGGCTGCAGATATATAAATTGTCTTTCTTTCAGGGTCAAGTAGAGATTGAAGATCAGGTTGAAGGGTTAGAGTATGTTGCTAAAGCAACTGAAATCGTCGACTTGTCCAGAATAGCCATCCACGGCTGGTCCTATGGTAACTATGGCAATGCATCTAAGCTGTAATTAGTACCCCCTAATAGTAATGGTTTAATTCCTGTCAAGGAGACAAGTTTATCTCCCAGCTTGCTCTAACTTACTATTAACAAACTCTTAGTAATGTGATGCAGATAGGCCAAACTGTGGAACATTGAGATGTTTTATTTTGGCTCAAATCACCCATCTCCTCTCTAAGTTACATAATGCAGATTTGATTTGGAAATGATTTTTTAATGAATCCCTTTAAAAGGGTCACAGATCGAAGTAGAACCATTAAGAAAAATGGGATTCATAGTAATTTTTATTCATTTGGTGATCATTAAAATCATGAATTTTCCTAAGATGGACCTGTAGATATTTTTCTGTATATGGGGAAATTCCTAGACAGGCAAGTTTAACTGGCTTCCTGTATTGTTTCAGTTCTGAACCAAATATTTTTGTTGTTATCCCATTTTTCCTTTAATTTTTATGATGTTACATGAATTGGAATTGTTTCATTTGTTTTCAACCATTCAGGAGGTTACTTGTCCTTGCTGGGCTTGTTACAGCGTCCAGATGTGTTTAAGGTAAGAGAAGTCAGAGTCCTTTGTGTCATTCATTGTCTGCCTCTGAAATAAAATTGTGATGACATGTATATTCAAAGTTACATTTTCTTGACATTTTGTGCCACAGGTTGCCATTGTTGGTGCCCCGGTGACCACATGGACAGCTTACGACACTGGTTACACGGAGAGATACATGAATACACCTGCAGAAAATCCCCTTGGATACAAAATGAGCTCTGTGCTAAATTATGCAAATCGATTCCCAGATGAGTAAGTGGTGATCTGTTTCTATTACTGTATTTGCCTTTTTCTCAGTTGTTTTCGATTGATAAAAATTTAATTTTAATTGTGTTTAACAACACTGGATGATTTTGTGAGTGATGGTAATTTCATAGTTGTCACCAAGGTTATGAACAGAATTTCCTTTATTCTTAAAAAGCATGATTTTCCTTCCATATGGGATATAGCACAGTGAACTTTTATCAAGTGAGCAACCATCCAATAAATGTTACAGCATTTCAGCTCTGCATTTACTCTTCTGTTATGCAACTTTTCTCAAACCAACTGCTTAAATATGAGGCTGATTGTAAATTATGTTATATAAATAATTATGTTTTTATGGGTGGAATATGACATGTTTATGGCAAAGACTGTCTTATTACATGTACATGAAAGAGTTTATGATAATCATAATATTACAGTAACTGTAATTAAAATTCATTATTTGGTTAAATTAAAACAAAGTTACCTGTACTTATAGTCATATTTCAATCAACAGAGAGAACAGACTGCTTCTTGTACATGGCTTAATTGATGAAAATGTTCACTTTTACCATTCAAGCTTGCTTATAACTGAACTGATAAAAGCCTGTAAGCCGTATCAGCTTCTGGTAAGAATGCATCCCTAATTTTGATAATATTTGAGATAGAACGTGTTCATGCTGGTCTAAAGTCCAGAGAGCCACAGAATTCAACCATTTCTCTATCCCGACTAGTCTCCTTCATAGCTGGTGTTTGGTCTTGTTCCACGCACTCTAGAGTGCATTGTGTGACACGACCAAATCGTGTTTGGGAAGGAGACTATCTTCAGACCTGCTTGGAAAGTAATTGAATTTGTCTAAGTGAAAAGTCAAAATCATGGAAAATAATTCAATGCAATTTTTATGTGGACAACTAATCAAGAAATACCTTGATTGAATGGGTGGTTACACTTTATTTTTAGACCATTATAATTGTTCTTTGAAAGCATCACCAACATTAGTTTTGGGAAAGAGTATTGCAAGTCATAATTTTAATGTGGGTCTAAAGACAGAGAGTACCAGACCATTATAAGGTACCTCTCTCGCTTGTTAGCCACCTTTTATATAAAGCCATGTTGATCAGTCTAAACACACTGATTGCCTCTTTCTATTCATGTATGAGTTTGAGTGGAGAGGAAACTGATTTTTCAGACCTTGTAGATTGAGCATTTGTTAAATGCCTTGTCGTTAATGTTCTTGACCAATATGGGCAGGTATTCTAAAACATCCTCGTACAAGAACAGTTAACTACTAACTAAGATGCAAAGTGCAAAGTGATGAGTGATGTTAACCATGAATTATGTTAACTCATTGCAGATCTATCCAAATGAGAGGCATGGCATTCGTCAGTCAGTTTCATCAGAACATTATGAGACTATGCTGCTCTCCTTTTTACAGAAGAATCTGTAGACAGTGGGTTGTGTAATTATATACTTTGACCCACTCTTAAGCTGTGTGCTGGTCATTTGTCAGCTGGGAAATATCCAGAACTAAAATATCAAGAAAAAATAAAAGAAAAAAGGAAAAAAGAAACAAAAAATAAGAAAAAAACTACTAGGCCAGTAAAGCTACTTGAACTCTCTGACTTGCAGGAGTGCCCTGAACATAAATTCTCCTCTCAATTTCTAAACATTTCAAGCAGACAGGTAATGAGAATAATTTAACTATCATAAGAGGATTTGTGATCATAAATTACCAGGTTCTCAGGATCAGCCAATAAAGAAGTTTGTGATTGGTTGTCAGGTAGGAGAATTAAAGGAACAGGTAGTTTTAATTTCTAGTTAGAGGAAGTGTTAGCAACATTGACTCTATTAGGTATTACTTTCAAAGTTTAGTCAGGATAGTAACATGCCCATATTAGCTGTTGTGGGGTCTGTTTAATACATGCTTTGCATTGGCTGGAACACAACAGCCATCAAATTGAGAATTACTATTAATGAAGAATATATTTGAAGCCTTGTTGCTTTCATGTTTGGGTTAAATATAAGTGTGGATTCTGACACAGTTTATCAGCTTTCAAATTGTTCTGTTACACTTTGGCTTGGTAGGAATCAATTTACAGTAACATGAATTTCTGGAGACAATGAACACTAGCAAGGGAGCATAGCTTAGAAGTCTTATCAGGTTCTGCTGTTTAAATAGGCATCACATTTCCTATTTCAAATTCTAGTTGTTTCAAGCTAAAAGCATAAATTAATGTATTAAAACTATTCAAGGCATGTTACACAGTGCTGATTGGAAAGTCATCTCTTGTAGATTTACAAAATAAGCTAACACCCTAATTTATCAGCATATTTTAGTCTAGCTAAGAACTTCAGTCATTTTTAATTTAAAATTAATATAATTTAAACAGCATTACCAACCCCACCTACATGTATTGGTGTATCAGGATGAGCCAGAATCTGATAAATTATGTTTAAAACCGTCCTCCTGATTATTATGATTATAACTATGGGGAATGTTACTGGCAATTATATCTGTTGAAATTTATTTAAAATTAACAATATAGAGAAATGCCCTTGAGATCTTTAACCAACATATGTCCCTCCTAAGGAGGTAAGTTAGAAATTATTTATTAACAAACACAACCCTTTATCTTATACAACAAACAAAAGAAGTAGCTGAAGCTACCTGCAGTTATGATTTACATTTTCTGAGCATTTGAGCCAAATTTTGAATCAGAGTAGTGGAGATGAGAGGACAAAAGATGATTGAGGGCAGGGATCAATGAAGAAAGTAGATTTTCATTCTCCTGGTTCATTTGTCTTTCAAGGTATGACCCTACTGGTTTGTTCTTTGTGTTCTGGTATTCTTGTCTTGCAAGTCCAAACAGTAGCTAATTGAGATATGACAGGAAAGATGAGCACATTTAGTGCTCACCCACAAAAAAAATAAATAAATAAAAAATACACACACCTGCCATGGAGATGGTATGTAACCACTATCTTTATCTGTTTTAGAATTTCCTAATTTCATGGTTTCTAGACACAATAGAAATCTACAAAATACAGATGAGCACTCTTCCAAATTTCACATCTTTGAAAGATATACATGACAGTGATGTTTCTGACCAACTGCTCCATTAACAGTACAAACATTAGGAAAAAGAAACATTCAATGACTACTAAAACATGTTTTTTTACCAATTTTAAATGGTCCTTCAATCACAACTGTCTGAAAAAAATGTTTGGTACACCACAAGGGTTTCTCAGTATGTACCTTAAATATGCATGTGCTCAGTAGGTAATGGGAGCCCAGATAGAACAGTTGATTGTTAGGTGCCATCTCTTGGACAAGGTTAGGTATAGAAAGGAATCATTTTCAAATGGCAGTTGCTGGCAAAAAAATACATTGCCACTTTAATATTCTGAATTGATATTAATTCACTGGTTATGAGTTCATTCATATTTCATCTAATTACCCTTAGTGTAGCAAACGTCTAAACATCAATTGTAAGCAGAAGATATTTGATTTCCTGATCATACTTATGACCTCTGCACCTGATTGCTACTTTAACCCATTAACTCCCACTAAGTGATTAACATACAACTTCTCCCCTTAATATTGAGACATTTCCTACAAATAGGTGATGACGATACTCAAACTTATCGGGTAAAACTTGTTATTTTGATCTAACACCAAGTTTAATTTTGCAGCTAATTAACTAGGAAATGTGTAGCAGCTAGGGAGAAGAATTGACAATTAGATCTTAGGATTTCAAGAGTTAAATATGGATGTAGAAGGTGCTTTTAGGAATGAAAGAACTATGGATTTAGTTTTTCATCTTATGTTATGGCTTAGTACATGCTTTTGTAACTTGTACATTTAAACACTATAAACTATTAAATAAAATTTTATTTTGCCATGGATATTTTCAGTGTTATTGCTAAGTGATCTCAACTTCCCAAAGATTGTATAACTTGTTAGTTTGTCAAGTGTGAGTACTTAATTTCTTGGCTTACTAACAACATTCCCTATTTGTCTCAAACAACTTACTTTCACTCAATTCTTCCCTTTTTTGTCTTACTTTCAAGTTATTCAACATATGGTATGTAAATAAAAAACAACTGACTGTTGTATCAGGCATTGCATTACTCTCTGTCAAATCGGACATGCTGGGGAATTTTAGTTAAATGAAAACTTGCTAAAATAATTCAAAGTTAGACTGCTGGAGAGGGCCTTGTTTTAAAAGAATTTTAACCTCTACTAAGGGACAAGACAAATGGACAAAAACACTGACCAATCAGTAGTTTGTAATATTTCCTTTCACATTGTATCTTTTTATTCCTTGTCAGCAGTGTCATGCAAAATTAATTCAACAAGTTACCCTCTACACTTTACTGAGAGTCAAAAACATTTCATTTTTAAAAAAATCTACTTTCCATTTTCAGTCAAGTGTCAAAAATAATCCAGGATCATTTATATGAATTAATCTATTGCAGATTGGTCTACAAAACTCCATGGTCTTAACCAAAAGATGCACATTGTCAACTAAATACAATAATTAAAACATGCTACTCTCACTTTCCACGTTTTTAAGCTGTGTGCTCGTTTCAACTTCAAGTTGGTTGGTTTCTAGTGATATAAAATGCTTAGCTCTGAATTACTGTCATGATATTTATGGGATTGGTTTAACCTGAGTGACTAGCATCTATCCTCTCCTTACATTATCATTCCTAAATCACACATTAAAGTCACAAGAGTAACGTAAATGATCACCAAGCAAAGAAGCTCTTGATTGTTATACAAATTCTCCTCGTCAGCACCTTATGAAATGTAAAGAGAACAGTAAGGAGAATATGTACTCTAATGTTTGGGTGTAAAAGGTTAAACACAATCAATCAAAAGGCCCACTGATCTTTATTGAATACTTGAATACAATCAAATTACCACTCATAAATCCTTGTATAGGCTATACAATAATTGATGTTTATGTAAGTCTGATACATGACACAAAGGAAAATCAGTGAAAAAATATATCGATTCATTGATTTTTTTTGACTTGTGAAATGGACCTTGTCAAATAGGAGGGACTGTTTGTAGCCTAATCTTTGTAAACTGTTATATTCATTCTATGCTTGCTCACATATTTCTCTCATTGAACTTATGATAAAGATCAAAATGTATTACCAGTCTTGCAGGTTTTAAGACTAGTACACAGTTTTAAAGGAAGTCCCCATGACAAATCGGGAACAACTTGTGGAACAGAATGTGGTATTGCATAAATCTACATCCCCCTGAGGGAAATCTTTCTTTAGAACAAGATACCTAAAATTGTTTGAATTAGCCTAATGATCACAGCAGTAACTTTCTCCAAAAGACTCTTCTGGATAGAGAAGTCAGTACACCCATTGTTCCTCCATCAACACTTGGACAGCAAACCAGAATCAGGGGCTGCTGTCTTCACTAAAGCTTGAACCTCTCTAAAGTTGGGATGTTTGGCATCCCCCAACAGCATGAAGAGAGTACATTCACTAGTAGTTACAATAGCACCCATTTCACGGAGTCGCTAGAAGAAAGCAACAGTGAAACTATATCAACAAAATATTTTAGCCAAAGCCTGATTTGAAGTAGTTCCCAAAGTGAACTTGAGTAGTCACTGAATTGGCTAATTATTCCAGTGAGACAAGCACAGACTTGTACCAAGAAAACAAAACAATATGTAACCTTTGTACACCTACACATGTGACATGCACAAAAGAAATAAGAATCATCAGAGTTTTCAATTAGTTAGGGAGTAGATGGTTAGCTGTATGGAGTAGATGGCTGACAAATCAAAAGCTCCTTCCCTTACAAAATATTCAGTTTTGAAATTCAAAGGTACTGAAATACTATTTTATGTATTCTTTTGGAAGTATCATGATGCAAAGCAAAATGCAGGTTGGCACTAGGTAGAGATTGCAAGAGTGCCCAACTAGTAAGAAAATGTAAAAGCATACATGACTTGTATGTTTTAGTGAAACGTGAAAGTGAATTTCAAGCAAGTTGTCTGCCTTAGTCTGAAATTTGTTATTATAGTTGTGACTTGTTTTAATATTTATTGAAAGTTTACTGTTCACAACATACACACATTATTTTATGAAAGAGCATGGTTCAGAAATCAAGGTTGCTGGTTTTTTAATCCAGTGGGCAGCCCTTAACCCTTTAACTCCCATGAGTGACCAAGACAGAATTTCTCCTTACAATATCAATACAATATAAAGCAGACAAGTGATGAGAATAAAGAAAAGTATCAATTAGAAGATTATTAGTTGATCCAATACCAAATTCTCCAAACTAACATCACAAGAACTGTATGGCAGACAGTAAGGAGAATTACTGATGAGATCTTGGGAGTTAAAGGTTAATGAGAAGCCTGAATCAGTATGCAATACTACTTAATGAACTGAGACTAAATTACTATCTGTCAAGACTTAAATATACAGGGTTTCATTTCCTGCACACAACCCCCCCCCCCCCCTTCCCAATAAATCTAATACTTCCATATCTTGTATTACCTCAAGGGCAAACATTCTTTCAACCATAGTGCGTGATGAGACACCATCAGCCAGAACATGAACAGTATAATTCTTTTCAAGCAAATCCATAGTTGTCTGTAGTACGCAGACTTGAGTCTGAAAATAAACATTCACTCTAGTCCTGTGGCTTCAACTCTCATATCAGAATTACTTTGAAAAGAATTGATTACTTTTAAATTGATTCATGATTTTCAGATCCAGCCAAATATTTACACAGAAAAGTAAACTAGTTAGATTAAAAAATTACTTTATTTGCAATCAACCATCAAATCCCAGGATCACTAGCCCAGTGTGATAATTAGTTAAAACATTCAAAAGAATTACACCTTCCCTCTTCCTCTGAATATGCAGTGTTGTGCTCACAACAGTTTCACCTTCTTTAAAAAAGAAGGGATATTCTAAACAACAAATTTGGATACTCTACTATGCACATGTATCCTCTTGATAACTTTCAATTGAGAAAATCAGCAACACTGTTTAACTCCAATCATAAAGAACACCCACAAAGTCCTGCATTACAATACAATGTCATGTAAAGTAAAGGGAGGAGTTGAGTATTTATCATAATCAATAGTACTTACCTCAATACCCATTAATACCACATTCTCAATATTTAGCTGTCTCAGCTGTTCTTCAACTTCAGGTATCACCATGGAAAACTTTGTCTTAGGAAATATGCGCTCTTTGAAAAAACTTGTATCAATTTCCTCTACTGTGTTGCCAAGTCCTTTAGGATACTGGAGAACAAATTCAAACATAACTTTTGTCACCACACTGATATCCTGTTGCCACATGATTTTATTTTAATTCATAAATTTGACTTCATGTACCTGTAATTCATCGCAGGACAGCACATTGACAAATCAATTTCTCAATAAAAAAAAAACACTGAAATGCAAATAAAAAAATTATATTTTGATACCTGTTCTGTAGCAATGATGGGTATTTCCATAATTTTGGCTGCTGCTGCCTGAAAATAACAAAAACAGTAAAACATTTCTACTATGGCCATATTTCACAAGAATTTTAAAACTACCCACAAAATGCTCCTAATGAACTAAATGACTGTCCTTTAGCAGTTTACCAGGGTGTTGTGGCTAACAATAATTTTACAGCTGACCCACACAAACACAGACTAAAGGAACACATCTTTCCAGAAACATTGAACTCTCTAAATCAAAGACAACTACAGTTCATGAGCATACCCTCAACACTGCATTCCACCTACCTTGGAGGGAAGTAAATTTCAGTGATTGCAATGCCTATCACACACAAAGGGTTTAAAGGGTGATTCATGTGACATTTTGTAAGGCAAAAAAAATCAGGGACAATGGAGTAAAAATTCTGGAAGCAAAATTGCCCATAATCAAGAAATGCAGTAACTGGAGAGTTGGATAGTAGCTGACCACTGAGGAAATATAATAAAATGTGCCAACCACAGCTCATAAAAACCAACCAATCATTGTGGAATAAGATGTATAATTAAAGAGGGGTATAATACATTAAACTAATTACCTGACATAGAGGAGCAGAATACAGTTGAAACATCACAATCCACATCGCAAGTGACAAAGCAATGAAACAACTGATAGCACTATATGATCTTATAGAATAGTGAGTAAGAACAATGTCAACCCAGGCATTTTCACTTAGTGGGGTAGGTTGGGGACAGTCTGAAGTACTCAACTCAATAATTATGAAAGTTTGAGCCTAGATATCTAATGGTTGTTTACGATATGCAATGTGCATTAACCAGTAAAGGTAAGGCTTTCTTGTGTCTACTTTCGAGGGGGGTGTGAGGGTCCTATCTCTGGACCTCTTCTTGTGAAAAGCTTATGGCAAGCTTATAAAATTAATTTCAAGCTCTTGCGTTTCAATAAAATTGGGCCACGGCGAACAGTAATGCATATACAAAAAAAGGTAGTTATCAAGTTTTCCTTAAAGTGTATTTGTATGCTGATGGTAAATTATTGTGAAACTTTAGCTTAATTACTTCTCCACCATTACTTCTCCACGGGACTTACCATTCTTTGAGCAACTTTGATGATCTCAGGAAAGTACCTGATAGACGGTCGGAATTTTTCCTGGATATCACACAGGAGAAACGCCGTATTATTCACTGCAAGCCTTCCCAGCTTCGCCGCCATCTTGATCGACTTGACCTGACTAGTGCCAGTCTACTTCTAATTGACCACGGCCAGAGGCTTCGAATTACTTTTCGTAACGCACAATCAGACACCAAACCATGTTCATAAGATGTATTTGCACCTACCTTTTCAAAATATTCTTATAAATAGTTAAGTTCTAGATTGTGTAGTTTTAATAACAACCATTTTATACAAAAAAATGATGAGTGCTCAAAACACCCGGCGTTTTTTCTGAGGCGGGCTAAAGTATTTACAGTCATGAGTCAATCAAAAGTTAACTTATGACCTTCTCGCCTCAAGATACCTATGAGTCTCCTCGCCGTAACACTGTTACTCAGTTCAAAATAACATTTAAGAAGGAATATTTAAATTTAAGTAAGATCGAGTGTTTCCAATAGTGACAATGTTAGTGCAACATTAGATAAATGTATATTGTTGGCGAACGAACGCAGAATGTGATTCTAAACGTCCGACCTGTTAATTGTCTCATAGAGTTATATTTCCGGTTGTCAGAAGGTTTTGTTTTCACGCATTTGGTACACACTGTTCCAATGTTCCATCCAAGAAATTACAAATAAGTCGGTCAAAATTCCTGGAGTTTATCTCTGTTAGAAGGTCAAACAGCTATTAACTAATGTTCATAGATTCATGGGGCAACTGCGATGGCGTCCACTTAGTAATTCGCGATGACTTGTTCCATTCTCGATCAGCCGGGCCCAAAAATACTCAGCATGGATCCGTAAAAAATTTCAATGCCTTCAAGAATAGCAGATGCTTAAATGATTCTTTGTAAAGCAAGATACATCAGAGATGTATAACAACAAAGTAACTTTTAATCCCGCCACGTGTTTCTCCTATTTCCACTTGAACGTGACCCTCAGAATAGTGTTTTTGTTTATGAAAATTCTCTTCTCTTTCTTCTTCACTGTTATCGCTCGTGTAATGATAGAAGCAAAACACAAAAATTCCCAGCAAAACGAAGAATGCAACTGCCACGCACGGAGCAATATAAAGTACGGGATTGTCCATTTTGTTCTTCGAGTCCAACAACAACGTTCGGAGGTTAGATCAGCTGCTGTGGCTGTTTATTGTAACTTTGACACTCTGACCTTCTGTCGTAAACAAAGATCCGCCAAAAACGGCTGCGAAAACCACGAAAAAAGCTCACTTTCGGTCATGTTATTACATGTTATTAAAACAAGGAAGTTGAGAGGGAAGACGTTTTAACTATGTTTTGCGTAATATGAATGGTTGGACATCCGGATTGCCATCACGTAAGGAAAATAAACTACTCCGCTCAATTGTTGTTTTCTTTCTTTTGTTCAGTTAAGGAATCGTGAATTTCATCTTTTTCCAGTTTAGAAATAAGTTTTGTAGTAAAGTTTTGTTTGCCGACTAATTTGTATCCAAGACGGAAAGCAAACCTGGCGGGTGTTTCCTTTTTCTTTCGTTCTTTCTTTTTAAATTATTTATACTTTCTCAATGTCTGCTGTTACTCTTTGCGTTAAAAAGGAAGGAACTCCAAGAAAATAATACTTAAAGAGAGACGAAGGAAGATATGGCGATGGCGCGAAATATTATGGATGATACAAATAAAAATTATATTGATATGCTTTTTTCGCCGAAGGAAATGCTAATTATTTTCCTATAAGTTCTCTTTAAAGCGGATGATCGCAATTAGACTTAAATATATGAATAAGTATATGACATATAAATGTATGAATATTTCGTTCTTCAGCTTTGAGAGAATCGATTTATCTCACTCAATATCAGAGATGACGACAGTATGCCTTGACGGCCAAAAGATTATGATGAGTACAGAAGGGGATGCTTAAATATATGAATAAGTATATGACATATAAATGCATGAATATTTCGTTCTTCAGCTTTGAGAGAATCGATTTATCTCACACGATATCAGAGATGGCGACAGTATGCCTTGACGGCCAAGTGATCATGATTAATACGGAAGGGGATGTTTGAGTAAGTGACACGAGAAGAAGCTTGAAAACTCTGACGTGCATTCGATTGTCGCTTTTTCTCCCTACAACCGGAAATGCATCTTCATTCGCAGGCTAATACATGTAGGCACTGGCATAAGGTTTCATTTTACTAGAAATAAAATAACCAGATTAGCGGAAACGATACATTCAATCAGCTTTTTGACTTGTTGTAGGCATTTTCAGAGATCTGGAAGCGTGCTAATTACCTTGCGCTACAAGACTTTTAATGTGACGAGATTTACTCTTGCTGCCTCTTTGCTACTTAAGAACTTTGAAGTATGTCGTAAAGAAAGCCCAATTTTCTTTTCAACCTTTGCAAGAGTAATTTTGTAAAAGTCAGGCAGGCGGAAAAAATGGTAGGCCGATGCCGAAGGAGTTTTTTCTTTTCTTTTCGAGCAAGGAATATAATCTTGGTGCCGTGGCATGCCATGGAAGCAAAACCATAAACGTGACTGTGAATTTTGGCACCGAAAACCATCAAGTGTTTTTCAGCCAAGATCCATATAAATTTCGAAAACATGTACAACCAATTAATGTCAAAGCTGTAAGGTTTTTTTTCTTCACTTCAATCTAGGGAACGCCTGCAGTCTGGTAAAAGACACAATGAAGCTAAGCTATGTTATCGACCGAAAAAAAATTCTATAGTTTTTGCATTTGTCAATTCGGTCAGCCCCATTTAGAGGATATTATTTCTGGCCGCGAGGACAGTCCCCTTGCATGTTTCACCGACATATTCTGATAAACTTTCAAGGGAACGTGGTTAGACGTTAAATTTTAGTTAATTTTTTTCATGCGGTTTTGCAGTTGTTTTGTGAATTGCTATGTTTGGATCACCTTGAAAATTTAAAAATCTGAACATGGATGGCCATGGAATTTCTCTCATCAATCACACCTCCTTAGGATATAGTCCCAGTCCATCATGCTATATACTTAGGTTTAGCGCCAAACCCCCCGCAAGGAAAGGCTTGTCAGGTTTCCCTCCCAGAGATTAGAGCAAGTTAAAAAAAATTTGAAATAATGAAAAAAACAATAGCCTATGTCATTCAGGACAAGAAGTGGTTAGGCGCCTTTTCAATATTTGAATTGAACTACACTAAATCCTATTATAGACGTCAACACTTAAAGAAGAAAAGGAACGCCCCTGCACGTGTTTTTACATAAGCCATTCACCGAAGACCTTGATTCAATTTGAGTACGTGACCTGGGTCATTTCATCTCATGTTGTGGGTTGCAACGAAAATAGTCAAGTCTTGGCTTGAGTGTGTCTAACTTCCCTTGTATCAAATCACGCTTCACACGAAATCGTGACACAAAAAATGAAGCTGCTTGTTCTCAACATCGTATAGATAATTACTACATATCGAACTAAAAAACACCTATGCCTCTGACAGAAATATAGCGTGACAAGCCTCTGAAAACCAATGGCTGCGAAATTTGAATCACGCGATCTTCAATTGTACGGCTACGGAAGCGATTTGTCGTGAGACTGCTTAAAACCTGCACATAAGAAAAAAAAAACGCCAGGAGTTTACAATGACGATTTAATTACATAAGAAATATTGAAATCTCTCATGCTCTGGATGTAAATTGAAATTTGTTACCAACAATAAAATGCAACATGACTACACGTGCAAGCCTGGTCACGTTGCAGTCCTGTCTAGAGTCCTGAAAAGCAAACAGACGTGCAGCTACGCTGGTGATGAATACAATACGTTTGTAATTTTATCTCTGTGATAAACTATTATTTACAGTCGGTTAGGAACACTTCTTTCACTCTATGTTAAATCGTAGAGGAGATTTGTGAGAAAGATACTCAGTGATTCTCTTGAACATTTGGAAAATCACCGCAGGATTCTCCGTTAAAGTCACGGACTTTAGCAGCACATAAAAACAATGGGTGATATCCCAGACTATACCGTGCCCATCCTTGCAGGATTGTTCATCGTCTTCACTGCTATTGCAGGATTCTGTCTTTACTGGTATCATTTGAAAACGCGAAAAATACAGGAAGAAAACAATGGAAAACACAGGCACGAGGGACAATCGAAATGCACTAAAGTTTCTTCGTTCAAGTTAAATAGTAATCCTTTCATATTTTATATGGGACCTGTTCCATTGGAGTTTTGTACAACATCGTGCACAGATGAAGGGATTGGAAGTTCAAGGAGTTTGCAGTCGCCGTGCCATTTTAGGCAAGAGCAGCCTTGTGTTAAGCCACCTGAGAAAAAACGCGTTTGTACAAGAACCAGTAGCGAAATATCACCCAAGTCATCGTGCCATATGCACGTCATTATGGAAGAAGAAATCGAGGAAGTGGACAAAGGAAAGATAAATGTCTAATTCAGACTACGAAAATACGTTTCGCATATTAGTTGCATGTCCAAGTTAACAGCGAGCAACTTCTAAATCAGTACGATTCTTAGAAAATTGATTCTCAATCACCCTAACAACACAACATCGTGACTACCCTGTGACAAGGGATTAAATTCAAGTTTTTCTTCGATCATACTAGATACTGACGAGTATTGCGGAAAGTGAGTTTACTGTTGCACTCAAGATAAATGTACTTTTACTTATGCTAGAATTTTCAGTAAATTTGTCATTCGCTGTGGCCCACGATTACTCATAAACGCTTGTTAATCCTCGTTTGCGAGGGGCTGTAAGATAGAGCTAATTAGCATATCATATACCACATCAACAACATCACCGACTCCTTGAATTGTGTGACTTTGCAGTTTGTTTTACCATAAATGTTTTGTTCTTTAGTACGATTCTCTGCTTATATGGTACCTTCTCAAACTATATTCTTCACTGAGATTAAAACAGTTTTGATAGAGGTTTTTCCTCAAACGTTTTCCCTTCGTTATTTGAAACTTGCGCTTATACGCGGTTAGCTCAAAGATACGGAACTGTGCTTTAGCTGATCTGTTTACAAGGTTTTATTTTGAGATATAGTCTTCCATAAATAATTCTGTAAAAGAGTTTTAAAATATTAAATTGTCTACAAGAAACTGCAGATATTTTTAGCTCATTCGAATTGTCGTCGTGAACTTTGATAGAATCATGCCCTATACTTGGCCTTGGCTTGTGAAAAATATCGATATATTGGCCTGAATTGGATAACCAGCTAAAAATATACCTCACAATTTGAAGGATGGCTAACTTTGGTGTACACAAATCTTATATCCTGAAGACTGAGAATGCAAGTTTCAAAATATAACAAAGTAAAGTACATCCTTTTGTGCAAGGAGAATTTGTCTTTAGATAAAGCTTCGATCGATGTAATGAACTAAAACTCTTGTATGTAATGATATCCGAGCCCACAGACGTTTCCGGATCCTACACGCGCCAAGTTGGATTTTAAAAACATTTAATACTTGTAAGATTTTCTTTACTAATGCTTTTGTTTCTGTTTTGTTTTTTGTTTTAATCTTCATTCTAATACTTCTTCTTTACTTATCTATTTATTTTTTTATATTATGATAAGCAGCTTGCGTTCGTTTAGAGGCATAGAAACTTCCCCCGCCTATTTCCGTGTTTAGTGTTTTGACTAACAGCTGTAGGTCGTGAACTCAAAAAGTAATTGCACGCATAGTTCTGAATACAAACAAATCGAAGAAAAAAACCAACACTAGGCAATGCTAGCCTTGCATAAGTGTGTGCTGTGTTGTTGTCGTGCAAGGCCAGGTTCGGCACAGACACAATACGAAAGACATGTTTGTGACAAGATTTCTTCCATGAGTTTTAAACTGTTTGAAGGCACAAGCATCGAAAACTGAACTTCAAATGGGAAACTGAAATGGCGCTTTAAGGCAGTTTTTGAAAAATCCTGTTTGTATCATTATTTTTCTGCCAGTTCCCCGATATTCTTTTACGCTTCATATTTACATACAGCAAACTCTCCATCCGATATTTCCTCTTCATTTACTTCTTGAATAACTTGGAGCTGGCAGTGAAAGTTGACCAATCTTGAATCATGGCTCATGCTTCTAAAGGACAACGGTCTGTCATGGAACTTTTCCTCATCATCCTTCTCCATAAAGCCCTCTATTCCCTTCGCTTTTCTTTCCTCCACAACGGATGGGGAAATCGGCGGTGAACTTGAAAACTCGACGTTAACAAAAGCACAATTGCAAAGGTCGCTTGATGGAAGAGATGTAGTGAATGGGTACAAATGATTGAAGAAGTTTGGTGAAAAGCTTCCGATATATTTCTCCTCTATGTCTGTAGATGGTGCTTTAGCTCTGTTTTCTTTCTTGTCAGTTCTAAAGTAGCAACAATAAATATAAATACCTGCCAAGGTGGCTAATAAAAAGAACAACGTCGTTATCAACGGAGCCAAGTATTCAATCTCCATAATGGTTGCCCAAGATTAGGTTAATTGTTTCCGATATCCGAAATCAGGCTTAAATCTTAGACTCAACGATCAATGAAATTGCATCCATTAGATCTTTGTGCGAACGATTCGCAAATACCATTCACAAACGCAAAGATCTAGGGCAACAGCTAACTGCGAAGTTTTTAGATATTAGGCTGATATCGAGAAGATTTATGTGTCACGTTCAACCTGACCCCTGGGTCATGTCGGAGATTCACGTTTATGTAAGACAACTAAGGCATGGTGTGACAATTGAGACGGTGCAATAGGTGTGATGCATGAACATTAGAAGGCTTTTGTACAAAACACAATTTATTGCAGCTACATCTCAAAGCAGTACAAATATCCAACATCCTGCCCCTTTTAAACTACTTTAAAATTTTTGCAGACAAACGGAATTGACATCATGAAATCGTCAATTCAAGTCAGAGTTCCCTTACCTTAGCAACTGTACAAGTGTATCATTTAAGAGGGGCTTTGAATTCGTAAGTGTGATAACTGTTTGAAGACTGTACATGCCTACATGTTACAATTACGAGCGCCCAAGTACACGGGCAAATGCATCTAGTAATAAGAAATGGAAGAGCTTTAGAATGCGTCCAATTTTCAAACATATTTTGTGAGCTAACGACACTGACATGAGATAAAAGCGTTATCCTTTTAAAAAACAACACTTCTATTCATTTGGTATTGATCTTTCAATTATTCCAATACAACGCCAAAACTACTTACAATGCAGTACCTAATTACATTCGAGTTATTCTAAACAGGTCGTAAGTTAGCTGTAGCTTTGATTGCAACACTTTGATGCACCTATACTTATAATTTCCTAAAACAGTTGAGACCTTGCAACCATACCTAAACCTTGTAAAACTACAAAAAAGTTGAATTGCTATCGTAATGTTGTAAATTTTCTAAAATAAAAAAAGAGAAAGGAAGGAATAACGCAAAATAAGAGAAGCTTGTGAAATGAAGTACTTGTAGGTAAAGTACTCATCTGGGAATCACATGCAAAAATTCTGAAAACTGAGCGCTGTACGCTACTTTTTCAGTGAATTCACAGACTTGAGAACAGTAATGACATCATAACAAAGAGAATGGATGCGAGGAGTAAAAGATCATGGAAACCGGAGCTTAAATTAACTCCACCGTTGAAGACCCGGTCTTCCTCCTCCTCTTGGGTCGTGGGTGTTTCGGTCATTGTTGGTGGTGCTGTAGTTGTAGGTGGCGCTGTAGTTGTAGGTGGCGCTGTTGTAGGCAGAATTGCCTCTGTGCAATTTGGCTCTGAATTTGAATAAATGAAACATGACAGAACGGGTGAAAGTGAATAATGAGAGAATTTCAGCAGATGAGAAGCTTGCAAATGATGAAGATACAACACATGTAACAACTGGGTTGGGAAAGAAACCTAACTAAACTATCAAAGTTATTTAGGTTAGAAATATTCAATGCCTATTATTCAGTTTTCTAAATAGGCGCGCAGCTCTCAGTTCAGCACGCGCTTAAATTTCTTTCCTCGTAGAACCGCTCGCTTTGAGCTAGCTACCAGTCCTCGTGCTCGTTTGATCTTTGGAGGAGGAGGCCTTTATTGGCCTTTGAGTTTCACTCATCCACACCAAACGCACATTTGCTCGAAAGGCAATTTTTTTTGGTAAAAATAGCTCTCATTACGTTCTCCATTCCCGACCGTGGCTCCTTTCATTTTGACCAGGGCTCAGACCATTCATTTCAACTTCCTTGGCATAGTTGTCACTAGAACGTTTCTTTCTATTTCAGTTATAGAATACATTTAAACGAGGAGAAGGGGAAAAGAAAATTTGTATAAAACAAATAGAGATTATTCCTCTATCGCTGTTATAGAATAAATTGAAACGAGAAGGACTAGTAATTCATATGAAAACAAATAGAGATTATTCCTCTACTTCAATTAATAAATTGAAACGAGAGGGTGGCGAGGAAGGAAATTTATATGAAAAAAATGGAGATCATTCCACGGAAAGTGCGCACGAACGATTTTTATTCACGAGTTCCGATACATCCAATCCGAGTGAGTTGTTTTTTTTTTTTTTTTTTTTTTTTTAAACAATTTTATTTACAAGACGATCACTTACACTACTTACAGCATTAATTACACTTACATTGTACTTGCTACTAACACTACTGATACTTATACTTACACAAATTATGCATACACTACATTACGATACATGTATTACAATACTATTAACATTAATTTAATTTACGGTTGGCGTGTTTACAAAGTTCTTTTCAATTAAAAGACAATCACAAGTAAACATACAGGTCTCAAAAATGAAGTTAAGTATAAGTCTAACCTAAAAAACAGCAGTATGAAAAATTAAAGTAAAAAAGCCCACGTGCGATAAAATTTCGGAAGTTCATTTTTTGCGGTCGCGATCTCTTTTAGGATTTCAAGTTTTCCCGTGATGAACAGTAGGAAGATTTGAAAATCTAAGATGTCTCCGCAAAGGCTTGTGCAGAAAATGTGATATTTGGCTAACAATAGGCAATAATTTAGGACTTGCCAATGCTTTGTCCTATAATGCCAGCCATAGAGTATATGACTTGTGGATAACGTTATTGTTTCATTTGTTTTTTGGTGCCACCAGTCTTGAAACAGAATCCAGAAGTCGAGTATTAGTGTGCAGTTTATTAATAGTTGATGCAACGTTTGTTTGTTTTTTCCGAGTGAGTTGTTTAATGCATCGCAACTCGTGAATAAAAATCGTTCAAGCACTTTCCATGGTATGATGTTTTTATTTCATACATACTGAGATTTTTTCTCAATGACCGACACATTTCAAAGATTGGAGGCGAACGACCGTGGAAATACCTCGCTAGTCCGATCAGTGTTAATCTCCCTCTGTATGAAATAAATTACATTCTGTGGCCACAGAACGTACACTGAGGCTACAGTGGTGGGGGAACCAAGGCTTCGCTATCAAAAAAAAACCTTTTAAATGACGTCGGCCATCGCGTCAACAACCACGATCAGACCATATCTACTAAAGGCTCCTACGGGAAGAATGAAAAGAAACCACTTTGGCGTACTTGTGGGATGCGGTTGAGGCTACAAAGAAACGATGTATGGTATCAACACTACCATATTGCGCAAGTCTACCACACGTGACGTATAGAGGAGTGGAGCCCAACCATAAATAAATTAAACTATTCTTTTTCGTTGCCCTAACATCAATTGTTAAATTAATTGGAATAAAGCCTTTACCTGGACAAAGTTTACAGGATTTCTTACATTCTTCTTGTAAATAGGGATCTGAACAACTTGCACTGCTCGTAATGCTGCTCTCACATTGTCTTGTTGGATTGTTATCGTGGCAAACTGTAAATAGAGTGTATTGTAAGTACAACACATGCTGTGTCCAGCTCATCTATTAATTTTTTTAAAACACACGTACAAATACGTGATTTCATTTACATTTTAAACAAACAGCACGATTATTTACGCGCGGGCTTATGATTTATAAATGCATTATTAAAAAAGCGCGGTTTAAAAAATAAAAAAAAAGGTAAATAAAAGTTAAAATTGTTATTATTATTATTATTATTATTATTATCATAGTTATAATCATCATCATCACTATCAACGTTAACTGTGTTGAAGAATCTGACAGAAACGTATTATGAAGAGTTTGTCTCCCTTTTATCAAAGTTGGACATTTTTCAATTTGCGCACGTGCTTAGCAGATTACAGATGCCATGCTCAAAGATTAACATGCAAAACACTGTCAGAGTCAATATATTACGAAACTCTCCTTACAATTTACTTTCGACATAACTCAGCCGCAAGATAAGGAGGGGCTTAAGCTTCAAAAGATTTACGAAACCTTTCTCCCATCGCAGAGTCGCTCTGAGCGAGTGCTTGCATGGCTTATTGCTGTGTAACCAGTCACACTCAAACGGACTAATGAAGGCTGAACGATTGACCCAAAGTATTTCCAAGAAAATTAATAAGTTTCAGCCAGATTCTTCTACACCTCATGTCCTTAAAACTTGGCATGAACATTGTTGTATAAGAACTTATCAGGAAGAAGAGCAAGTAAATAAGTACGATCTCCTCAAAAACGCTATCTATTGAGATGCAATAAGGCTCGTAAGAGACATACCTTCCAAGCTTATAGTGATGTTAGTTCCCTCTGCAACGCAAGTTATTTTCCCACCATCGTTTTTGGTGACGTCGACGATCGATAAAGTTGAAAAAAATGAATACTTTCTAGCGACGAATCTTGGGTCTGTGTAAATGACAGTAGAGATAAAAATAGTAACACCGATACTAACAAATCTTACCAATAACAAATGTTAACATTAAATTCAATACTGATACAAATTGCAACATTTGGCCAATTTTTCAATGAGCGTCCAAAGTAATTCGGGATTGCTCCACTTCTCTCTGCGATTAGACCAGAATATTTGCGCTATTTCTTCAACCGATCAGATTCAGCGCTAAAGCCAATCGCGACTTGGTGAGCTTAAGGATGTTACTTTGTTTCTTGGAGTTCTTATTGGTTACTTGGGAAGGAGAGACGTCATCACTGACAGCATTTTGCTTCTTTATTATATTAAAAAAAGAGATTTCATGTTGCCTTGGGTTTAAGTTTAAAAATGCTTTTTACCACTGTATTATTATCCTACTAATAAAATAACCTACTGACAAAAATCACAACAATAATTAACAACTAATAATAACCATATAATATTCATTAAATCTTAATTACCATATAAAAGTACAGTAGGTAAAGGAAAGTAATAGGGGGAAACTGAATTCCCGCATAAAAACTGCTCTCCAAGGCTCATATAAATAACTGTACGTTGTATAAGAAAGAAGAAACTGGACAACAACTAAACAATAAACAAAAAGTAAAATCTGAATAAATCTCATTTCGAGATAACAAAATAAAACTACGTACAAAGATAATTCAGTAATCGAGTTCTAAAGGAATTCAACTGGAAGCTGACATAGCAAATTTAGTTAAAGAGTTCCAGTCATCAACGAAACGGTTAAAAAATGAAAACTTAAAATAGTCCGTCCTGGCTGTTCTAGGCCTTAATTTAATGGTTTGTTCAGTTATATATCACAGAAGACATCAAAATGTGGTAAGGACATCCGTGACACACTCGGTTGCGCCTCGTGTTCAACTTTTTTGTTCATATCACATTTTTACATCATTTGTGATCTATTACAGAAAAGGATAATGGCAACTCCCTTCTCTTACATTCAGGTTCAGTTCAGTCCAGTCCAGAGTTATATAGAGCAGATCAGTCTCTTCCAGCTCAGTCCAGTTCAGTTCAGTCGAGTTTACTCCTGTCCAGAATAGTCGAATCCAATCCAAGCTGGTCCATTCTAGCAAGTCTAATTTAGTTATGTCCAGTCTAATCCAGCTGAGTTCAGTCCAGTCCAGACTACGCTAGCCCAGTCCAGTCCAAACAGGGTTCAGACTAGGCTTGCCAAGTCCAATCAACCCTGATCCAGTCCAGTAAGTTAGTCCAGTCAATCGTTTGCAGCGAGTTTTTAGGGGAGGACAAACAACGCCGAATCAAGTGCAAGACCGTCCCAAAGGTAGACCTTGGTAGAGGGCATTATTATACAAACTTAACATGGCTAAAACATTTTTAAGAATTATATTACACCACGCAACCAAGAGAGAAGAAAAACAATCCGGTATAAGAAGGCATAATAAAAGAGGAAGCAAATAATTGTTGATTCGTCTGACCTTTAATTTCCTGTGAATTTTCTGTTTTCATCCACCTAACGTCCCCAGACTGATTGCAGATTAGAGTTGCGTTACATCCGGTTTGGGTGTGAACCGTAACAAGGAAGCCTTCAAAAGAAGAGTATTAAATTTATCATTACAAGAACTAGTGAAGGTGTATTCAACTGTTTTGTTTGATAGGATAAAAATCATCAGTCGGCTGACTAATGTCAGATTCGTTTTGCGGCTCCAACTCTAATGGTGTTGCCAAGGTGTTTCTTTCCCATTTACTGAAGAACATCTTTAGGAAGCAATACTTTCGTTTATTTATTGGATCAAACTCTAATTATTCAAGTTAAAAACGACTGGAAAGGAGTCAAATCAGATCACAACTGCTGTAAGTGGTTTTGAAATCTCGAGGAAACTCGTCCACGTTACGTACTTCACGTCATCTTGAATTGATGATATATAATGTATTTTTGTTAGGAGGTGATTTATCCTAATCAAAGTCCACTTATGTTTTTTAAAGTACCATATTTCAACTTCATCGCTTCTGTAGGAGCTAATTACTGATTGTTAAGGTGACAATGAGTGAAAGAAGTAAAATATCAGTTTGCTATAAGCATCGGAAGCCGACTAAAAGCCCATCTAGTCTGACGGGTGATTATGAGTTGTTGCGAAATGCACTTTCGTAACGGAGTCCCTTTATTTGATCACCGTTTTAAAAATTATAAAACTCGCCGAAACAGCGGACAAAGTGCGTAAAAAAAAACATTCCTGTAACTAAACTGTTTTTACTTTCCAGAGGACTTTATGGTTCACCTGGCAGGGTGGTGGGAATGCCTTAAAAAAGGCATTCAAAACAATATGGACATTTGCATAGCATTGGACAAAAATTCTAGTTTTAAGTCAGGTATCAGTCGCTTGATTTTAAAGGGGTTACAGAGGCCGGTTTTCTTGTGTCTCCCTAATTCATTGCTTTTCGAAGAAAGGGAAAATTTGTCAAATTAAAAATATCAATATATTAACACTGTACGAGTTACGTGTCCGTTTTCAAATTGTCGCGACAGAACATTGATGTGACGAAGAAGGTACACAGTGATTCAAATATCATTATAAAGCGAACTCAGTACTATTCGTCTATCCCGTAAATCGTTTCTTGTGTAGAGAAATGTTCTTATACCGTTCGTCTAGCACGCTGTTATCATGTGCTTTCATGCACAATACTTTAATATCACTTGAAACATAGCTTTTTCCATCACTGATCGCTGTTGTCAGAATGAAGATCGATTCAAGAGCAAACTACACATAAAGCTTAATCCAATTACAACAAGTGAACTGGAAATATTTACTTACCTATCCCACTTCTTAAAATAACAGCCACGATAGCGAAGAATATATTTGCTCTTGTCATGTTGAGACAACTGTCATGAAGCGCAATGTCTAGCGAATCCTTTGAGTTAATAACTTGTCAAGATGATTTCAGTTTGGTAAATACGCGGTAAAATTTTCATTGATCGACTCAAGAGCAAACTACATATAAAGCTTAGTCCAATTACAACAAGTAAACTAGAAATATTTACTTACCAATCCCACTTTTTAATAAAAAGCAAATGACGGCCATGATAGCGAAGAATATATTTGCTCTTGACATGTTGAGACAATCGGTGACGAAGCGCGATGTCTGGCGAATCCTTTGAGTTAATAACTTGTCAGGATGATTTCAGTTTGATAAATACGCGGTATAATTTTCAGCAGTGATCTCAACTAAAACTTCTTCGCTCAACAGGGAATATAATTTTTTAACAATGAATCATGGATGACATCTTTTGTTAGTTAGCTATTACGTAAATCATACTAGTATCACCTTTGCACTTATTAAAAAGTCATGAGAGCGAATCCGATGGACGCATATCTTAAAATATTAGTAAGTAACCTGCACTTTGCGGTTTAGGCTGACCCGAAGTTTTCATCTATATTCAGTACAGCCTAGGTAGAAGGAAAATTATTTGCCAATCATGAATTAGGATTGTCGTCGGCAGCAGATAAAAATCAAGCAATCACGGCAAGTTTCTGCGGAAAGCGTACTCCGACATCCGTCAGAAGGAGGTCATCTCCGGTAGATTTCCGATTACGAAATCCGAGCTCGCCCGATGTTGTCTTCGTGATGAAGGCCCTATTTAGCATATTAGACCCGCAAAACAGAGTAGAAACGAACACGTGCTTCGTTTTCGCTCATGACTTCGTATTAGTGTCAAGATATTTGCATTTTTTCCCGTTGCTTACCTATATTACAGACTCCAAAAAATTTCTGCGATGCCTCCTTTTCACGGATGGCCGATTACAACTACAACATAGTGACACCTCCACGAAATCTGTCAAAAGGAGGATGTTAAAACACCAGAGGTAATCTCGGGTAGATTTCTGATGACGAAATCCGAGCTCGCCCGATGTTGTCATGAAGGCCCTATATCGCATTTTAGAGCCGCAAAATAGAGTAGAAAGGAACACTTACTTCGTTTTCGCTCATGACTCTGTATTAGCGTTAAGATATTTGCATTTTTTGTCCGTTGCTAACCTATATGACAGATTCCACAAAATACATTTGACGCCTCTTTTTCACGGATGGCCGATCACAACTACAACGTAATGACATCTTCACGAAATCTGTCAAAAGGAGGATTTTAAAACACCGGAAATCTTCTGGATTTCTGATGAAATAAATTTAACGCAGTTACGTTTAGAGTTTAAGCGATATATTGTTATTTCTAATATGGTAATTGATTAAAAAATTTGTACATTACCTCGATTGGACGGAGATTAAGTTTGAATAAAATGTAGCAGGCGATATTACTTTTGTCGATAAGGATAATCCGTGACTTGTCTCACCTATTACATTTTCTCTATCTGCGTTATGCCATGATCATCATTAAAAATTCTACGATAATATTTTTTACAATATTTAGATGAGGATTTTCAATTCTAAACGCAAGAGCGTACTAAGGGAAACATCTACAAGAAACAGTTTCTCATGAATACATTTTAAAAATTCTTTTAGCTGACTTCTACATAGATAAAAATTACTACATAGATATATTTCACTTCGACGATTATCTTAATAAACAATTAACGGGAAGTTCTGAGAATCAGTTTTTTTTTTCAGTTTTGACAGATTTCGTGGAGGTGTTACTATGTTGTAGTTGTAATCGGCCATCCGTGAAAAGGAGGCATCGCAGAAATTTTGTGGAGTCTGTAATAAAGGTAAGCAACGAAAAAAAAAAGCAAATATCTTACGGCTAATACGAAGTCATGAGCGAAAACGAAGCACGTGTTCGTTTCTACTCTGTTTTGCGGGTCTAATATGCTAAATAGGGCCTTCATCACGAGGACAACATCGGGCGAGCTCGGATTTCGTAATCGGAAATCTGCCCGAGATGACCTCCTTCTGACGGATGTCGGAGTACGCTTTCCAGTTTCTGCAAAGCGATACAGCGACAGCGGTCAAACATCGGGCATGCGCAATTGTATCAAGTTGTGGGCGACAGCGCACCGTATTTCTTAGCCATCTCACAAATGAAAGAAAATATGATAACAATTTTTGTAACATCTGAGGGATGCGACGTACATTCCTGTGGATCGTACTTTATGAAATTAAAAATCAGTGAACCGTAATTTTATTGCTTTTAGTGATTCGTAAAGTTGTTTATATTCGATTTTTTCGTGATGCACTATTTCTACTTTTTGATGTGTGTGAAACGTATGCATGACCCATAAAGACTTCTAGCAAACGTTACGGGAAAAAAATTCTTTACTTTTGTCTGTTCTAAAGCTCTCTAACATGTTTGTAAGGACACACACAATAAAACTAAACTTTTCTTCAGTTATAAACTTTGCAAGATAACCAAGTTTGGTTGCATCGCTTAAGAGGACCTACACGATGGTATGAGCTGGGCCCGAAAAAGCCATTCTGTCTAGCGTGTGGCCCCGCCGGATGAGAGGAGAGAGGAAAAATAGCGGGGGTCATATAACAAAAAACGTACTTACTGAACAAGGTTAGTCCAGCATAACTCGCTCTAGTCTACGAGCAGTCTTTCCTTTTCGGCGAAGTCTGTCGCGCGAGTCTTAAAAATCATTGAACGCAGAACTCTGGTAGTGAGACGCACGAAAAGTACCCTTACTTCCAAAGTTCCGAGTTGAGTGTTAAAATCACTTTTCTTTCGCTGTTTTTTTTCGGACTCGCGCGATGGCTTCGTCTAAAAGGAGGTGGTCTAATTTCGCCGGCTCTCGTCACGAAGAAGGAACTTCGTTGTGTTTGGGTTTGTACGTCATAGCTTCAAGAAAATACTTTTGCGTCTCTTCCTCGCAATTAGTTTTTATTTTCATTACATGATGGCAGTTGGCAGTCCTTCGCATTTTTTCTTTTTTTTTTTGATGATGATTTATGCGAGAATTTGATGTTTTGTGACAAGCAATTCCCATTTAATGTGAGTATGGACAGAAGTTATTCCTTGTAACAATAAAATCTTGATCAAAATGAAAATAAATACATCATCGCTCAAGTTCGCCTGTATACAGCTGTTTGCGAGCCAGCTTCGTAAACATTTCAATAAACTTAAAAAGGCCACAGATCGCTGTTTTTCGATCGCAATACCGGCATCACATGTTGAACGAGCTCTCTGGCATTTTCCTCTAAAATACGGTCACGAAGAATTTCCTACTCTTGTTGTATACAACACTCTGTAGAGTCAGGCGTAATCCAACTTTTGTTCAAGATTATAGCCTCAGGGATCAATGAAGCTCGGTTTAGAGTCAACAATTTATTTTCTAGCCCTCCTGGCATATGTTCTTCAAGTCGGTAAGAGACCAGCTTTGTTTTTAGCGTCTCCATGTTCTATATATTTTCTGTGTGAAGAAGCAAGGGCCCGCTCAAATAAAAACACTTATGATCAAACTCAGCATTTGCGAAGAAGTTAATTTCATGAAAAGCAGATAAACAACCTTTACAAAATATACTAACAAAAATAACCTGGAAAAATAAATACAAAGATACGATGAGACAAAGCACTTATTAAATGCTGCGAGAAACATAAGAAACACAAGTTACTCGCACAATCGGGGTTTCAACAGGAAAAAAAAGAACACACACACTGCAACGAGAACATGAAACGCTAGGAAGTTGAAATTTTGACGTTCTTGATAAATTTCTTGCTTAGTTATCAGCATGTCGCGGTCCATTTCAAAGGGCAACGACACAAGTGACATCAGATATCAGTTACCTTTCCTAAAATTCTAAAATCAGCTTTGCTGTAAAGGAGCAAAAACCTTTCTTTATCACAATTATGTAAAAATTTTCACTTTTGTATACAATCACCAGAAAGCAGACAACAAGAAGTACAACCTCTCTCCTTCCTGTCTCACAGAGTTTTACAGGAACTGATCCAAATAGAAATTTTTGTTTTGCAGCTCTTGCTATTCATTGCTTCAAGTGCACATCCCCAACGTCATGGTCGCACTGCGATCTTCTTGTGAACCAAGAAGCCAATCGAGACTGCCCAGCGGAAAAGACCCGATGTATAGCTGTGATGGAAAGGAAAAATCCAAGAGAACGGGTGGAATACAGGAAAGACTGTGCTAACCGTCTTGAAAATCCGTGTCATGAAAAACGTGTAGAGGATTGTAGGTCCACCTTATGTGATGGTGACCTGTGTAACTTTGCTCTCACCCCATCAGCCACCCTCATAGCTTCTGGCTTCCGCTGCTTCCGTTGTATAAGCAAAAAATCTTGGGACGACTGCGTTGAAAAAGCTGAAGAGATCATCTGCGACACAGGCTACAGAAAGTGCTACAAACTGGAGTTTAAGAGGGATGACGGCGTCATTGAATACATAAAAGACTGCACTGTTCCTCTGGCCTGTGGAAACTCGTCAATCAATATGCCTCAAGCCGAACGTCGCAACATTAAGTGCTGTGGCCAACATCTTTGCAACGAGGCGAGTATCAAAAGCTCCCCTGTGGTAATATTTGGTCCTCTTCTCCTTGTCATTGTGGTATTCCTTTTTGATGCCCAAAACAATTTGTGAGTAATCAGCATCCCCTTAAACTTTTAACTCCCAGAAGTGATTTATTTGTAACCTCTCCCTATTATATCCCTACATTATCCAGCCAACAGGTAATGAGAATACTCAGACTTATCAGAAAGTAGTTGTTACCTTGATCTAACACCAAACTCTCAGAACCTATTTACAGTTGCACGTAGAAGGAATAGAAACGCAGGTGTCATAATATGTAATTAACTAGGCAGGAAGGGATAGATAGTTTCCTTCCACAATATTGTACCTTTTGACAATAAAAACGAACGGTAAAACATGACGTTTCGACCAAACTTCGGTCATTTTCAAGGGAATAGTAAGAATGTCACGATGAATATATATAGATATATATGCGTGTAAGAAATTTAAAATTTTTGGAAGTGTAGACGGAAAATATAAGAACATACTTCTTCTCTTTGTATGTTCTTATTGCTTAGGGTTAGTTTTTATACTTATAAATCGCTATTGATAAATATTGTACCTCTCTCTCATATTTTTGGCTATGAAGTCTTTGTCAAATGTTAATTCTCAGTGTAAAGTTTGCAGTTTTGCACTCCTCTGGTGCTGATGAATCAAAACAGCTTCGAGATTGTAAAGACGCTGCTGTAAGCTAATGTTTGAGTAGCCCTCTTGTAGAGACCTTAAAAGTTTAGCACCGCTCAAGGTGTCAGCTTCCCAAGATTCCTTTCGGTAGTTGCCCTGGCTTCCTCAGTGATCCTGACTGAGTGTTTCTCTTGTTCGTCTACACTTTCTCTAAAAAGCTAGTATCAGAGTCGAAACAAATGTCAGCGTCACAGAAGCTGTAATGAATCAATATCATTGCATTCTCTCAGGTGTGGAGTTCGTTCCTTGATTGGTTATTTATAAAAAAGTAATCAAGTTTTATTATCAATTGTTTATATTCGAATTAGTTTAAATAACAACAGTGTGTTACACGACAATCACCTTATCTTTAGGGCGTAAGGAACCTCGGTTTATGTTTTTTTAAGGAAGTTAATCGGCAGTAAGTTATTCATGGAGCTCCTTAAACTAAACTGTAACTTGTAAAAGCAAAAAAAATAAAAGTTGCTAAAGGCCCATGTCTGAAATCTGCACGTCTATGACGCGTTTCAGGTAGTGCAATTAATTTCTCGTTAGGGCATGGGTATTAAAATCTGGATCAACGGATTCAACAGCTGACAGCTCTCAAGTTGAAATTGTTACGAACAATAATAAGACATCTACATCTACATTTCTACATTTATTAAGTTTGTAAAATCTGTACAGACATCACATCAACTATTATTATGAAAAGATATAAAATATATACAATACTCGAATAAAACTAATAAAGAAATTGGGATAGCACTTTTATAAGTGTAAATATAAGATTAAGAAATAAAAGTGCCTGGTGATTTTTGACTAAATAGGCGAGTAACTTAGAATAAAAAACTGCCAGGAAGTTTGACTCAACTATTTCCGCAAGTAGCTTATTCCATAATCTTATGGTCCTTGAGAAAAAGGAATAAAAATGAATGCTCTTTGTCGCCATATCTTGCCCATATTTATAACGATGACCCCCTCGATTTCTAACTTCAGAATGGGGTTGTAAATAGCTATTAACATCAATATCAATTTGTCCACGGCTCATTTTATATAAAAGGTTCAGACGAGTCATACTTTTTCTTAATTCTAAGTTTTCCCAACCTAGATCTTCAAACATTTCAGTAACGCTAGCTGTAGGATAGAACTGAGCCGTTTTTCTCTGAATCCTCCCAAGGGAAGCAATGTCCTTTTGTAGGTATGGGTCCCAAGCGGCACAGGCATATTCAAGCTTCGGACGAACTATGGCTGTATAGGCAGTTGCTTAACGACGCCAGAAACTGTAACAGTAAGGGTACCAATGTTTGGTTTCATGTCGGTACTAACAACTGAGATATAAGAGAGGTCTTCACAAGTATGTACGTTCGAAAAGTGATTGCTCAGGAGTTCCACCTTCAGATTTGACTATCAACTTTAGAATCTGCTACGCCAGGGTCGTCGTTCTTTAATTACTTAATATATGTCTAGAAACGCATGGGATTTTCCTCAATAGCCTCACCCAAGTAGTTTGAAATGTAATTTTCTCTTGCAGACTTCAAGCTCTTGGGTAAGCGTTTTCTGGCAATTATTCGGAAATTATTCTAGTGTGCAGTATTTCCCGATTTCTAAGCCTTGCTGTAAAGCAAAGCCGTTGTTTAGCTCTTGTTTGTCTTCTTGGCGACCGATGGAACCAGGGGACATTATTTCGCAAGCTTTACCCTGTTTACTAGGGATATAATTATAACGAATTAGACTCAATCAAACTGTTTTATTCCACTCTCGTATTCGCTTATGTACAACGGGTGTGTTGCCCTGTTTACTAGGGATAGAATTCTAACGAACTAGACTCAATCAAACTGTTTTATTCCACTCTCGTATTCGCTTATGTACAACGGGTGTGTAAAAAGCTACTCTGCAAAACTTGTAAGAAATCACTCTCTTATACGATATTCTCCACATTGTGATTGGTTGTTGGTAAGTACTGATTTAAAAGGTCATTCAAGGTTGCGTTGATCATGTAAACCGATCAATGTTCCAAAATCACTTAAGGCAGTGCTTTTAGCTTTTGACATAATGTTCATACTCATCATCTGACATGTGTCACGCACGAATCAAAGTCTCCAACAATTATACCTCTCTTTGTGGTATGCGAGTGTCCATTATTCGGTGAATATTATTTCCAAAATGGTCCCACATTTCAACAGTTGTTGTGTCAGAGTTTCCAGTTTCAGCCAATTCATAAGCAAGGCCTCGTAGTTCCTTCTGTCTACGGGTAGCATCCGCTCTTTTCCTGATGTAGATCTTGGGTTTAATGGGCTTTTTCCTTCTAAATGCAAAGTTCACCTCAAATAATAACTTTAACATTATTTTCGATTTCAACGTTATTTGCTAGTATGATGTCAAGGATATTAGCCTTTCTGGTGAGTTCTTTGGTTGGGTAAGCCAATGCTCAACTACGATTTCAAGTAGTCGCTTAGAGTTGGAAGAATGGCTTCGAAGTTCGTCCATTTGAGATCCGGAGCGTTAAAGTCTCCCGCCACAATTACGTTTGTTTGAGTTCAATCTATCACTCAGTTTGAATAAAGATAACTCAAGTTCTTGGAGGCTATCTATGCATATCTTTCAAGTTAGAACGATAGAAGGAGGCAAGGAATAACTATTTTGATTACTTATTTTGAATCTGGCATTGAGTCCAGATAATCTCGCAATTGGCATTTAGGTCGTCTCAATGAGTAACTACGATCACAAGCGGCCCAAGCTCCAGCAGTGAGATGATCATCTTGCGCAATAACAGTCATGGCGGAATTATAAGAGTTTGTATGGGAATATTTACGGCCGCCCTAAGGAAAAAAATAATACGTCAAATTCTCAAAAAAAATACCTCACCTTACTTCTACAGCGTAACGCTTGTTATCTGACCACTTACTTTGACGAAAAGGACCCATTATAGCGAGTTGTCCATTTCGACGTTTTCAACGTTCATAAGAAAAGCCCAAGGCTGAACACTCCATTTCCGAACGCCTGATCCGAGAAGCGAAAAATCCAAGCTCAGAATGACCGGGCGACCACAAAGCCAACGCAGAATCCAAGCACATATACCGTAGTTTCATTTCAATTCACTAAAAACTCAATCTTCCCCGCGCAACCGACACTAAGCCGCAGTTTGCTTCAAAAATTTCCAGTTTAGAAGTTTCTAACAGCCCGCGGCCACATCAACCTTGACACACGACCGTTGAAACCAGCTTGGTAACCCTACCTCCTTTTCGAACTGAGCGAAAAGCATTACGAATAGCTTTGCTGAACATCAGACGCTCTAGCTGAACATTAAATTGCTTAGCATTACACGAAATATTTCGATGGTGTGGCGAATTGTCAAGCTTGCTTGTGGCGTGACGTGAATACTATGTCGCCGAAACCACCAAAAATACAAACCGCAAATTGAACAGCGATATGCTGGGGGGCATGACGTCATCGAATGTGGAGACTGGCGCGAAACCATTACATAGTGTAGTCGCTGTGTGGAAGAGTATTCACTTCGCCTTGCCGTAAAGCAGAGCCAATTCGGTAAGTTTTTCCTCTTTTTTTCCCTGTCGACATTGTATTTATTCGTTGTCGTTCATGATAGCGTTAGTTAAAATAGCAACGATACTGGATTCTACCACGGTTTACCACAGTTTGCACGTGTTGGTGAGCCTTTTTATAGTATTAAGTAGTGCTAAGACGTGCATTAAATGTCGATTGCCGAGCTCTCTTTTCTTTTCTGACTCACGCTTACTTTTCAATGAGAGTTCAACTTCAACGGCTCTTTGAACATTGGAGGAGTACGAGAGAAGTCGGATTTTGTATGTGCCTTAGACGCCATGGTAAGAAAACTGATATCCTTGATCTGTTTTGACATTCTTCAATCAAACATGTAGTGTTTGCCAAAGGAACTTTCTTTCCGAGTTGGTTTTGAGCACATGCATACCTTCCTTGATGAGGCAGGTCTGCCATAAAATTAGTAAGAAAACGTTCAGACATAAAAGAGGGTGGTAAAGGGAAAATGGGGGGGGGAGGACGATGCTTCATAAGGGGTGTTGAAAATATATCTAAGACATGCTTTAAGTTGCTTCCCATCTTCGCCGGTGTCCTTCGGGAAAAATTCGTTCGCGCGCTAGTTTCACTAAAATCCTAGCAAACTATATATCAGAAGAAAGCTTTATAACTGCAGATTACGATAAAAATATAATGTAAGGGACTTTCTTTAATGAAGTGTCAAGAGGCGGTAAGGCGTGAAACGACTGAAGGTTCCTCTATTGAATTCATCGGGTATCGGATGCTGCATCATGAGCAAAATGGCTGCACAGTCTCATTCACAAGGCATCAATCAACAAAAGTGTGTCAGGCTTTTTCGATATTCTGATTGGTTGTGTCGATATCGGCATCTTTAGTTGGAGTAGCTAAAAGTATGCGTACTCCTCCAATGTTCAAAGAGCCGTTGAAGTTGAACTTTCATTGAAAAGTAAGTCAGAGAAAGAAAAGAGAGCTCGACAATCGACATTTAATGCACGTCATAACACTACTTTTAAGTAGTGTTATGACGTATTAAAATACTAGAAACATATTCAGGCCCACCAACGCGTGCAAACTGTGGTAAACTGGGAGGCCGGCAAACCGTGGTAGAATTCAGTCTCGTTGCTATTTTAATTGACGCTTTCATGAACGACAACGAATAAATGCAATATCGGCATGGTAAAAAAGCGGAGAAACTTACCGAATTGGCTCTGCTTTACGGCAAAGCGAAGAGAAGACTATTCAATACAGCGACTACGCCATGTGATAGTTTCGCGGCAGTCTTCACATTCGATGACGTCATGCCCCCAGCAGATCGCTGTTCCGTTTGCGGTTTGTATTTTTGTTGGTTTCGGCGAGATAGCCGCTCGGGAGTTACTACATCACGGGCGACGAGTGGGGGATGAGGAAAAGACCGAAATACGAGTGGCCAGCGGGGAAACAAATTTAGTACTTCATATAGAGACATATCAGTTATAGTTGCTGAAAACAATAGTGTTGTAAAGCCGAAATATCAACAGTATACTTCGCTAAATAAAATGTTAAGCAATTTTTCAAAAGTTTTGATGGCACATATATCTTTTACTGCTGTAATAAACAATAGAAGCATCGAAAAAGGCATCGGTGGCATCCGGAAAGGCACCAAGAAGAATTATATTTACGTTTTGTAACTTGCTGCGTGACGAAAAAAGAAAACCAAAACCGTGGTCTCCAAATGAATTCTCCCACCTTGCCCCAAAAAATTTTCAAATTTTCCGCAACTTCACCTTTTCCTATTCGTAGGTCCGACCAAGCCTTTATGGTCATTGGCTCCCGTATAGCCACTAACTATGGCTTATAAATACAGGTGTTTAGTGTTAAATTGTAAAACTCCCCGAAGAAGTCTACGACAGTTAAACGAAACGCGTCGGAGAATAAAGAAATTTTACAACTACCGTTCGTAGAGAGCTGCTCACCAGTTTAGTTTTAAAGATTTTTTTTTAAAAATTTGGTGCGATAGCTGTGGTCAGTTTTTCCATGCAGATTGTCTGGATGTGCCTTTCGCAGAGACGTGGGGGGATAGAGGCACCAACACAACATTTCACCTGCGTTCGCTTCGAAAATTAAGTTTTCATCCCGAGTTCATTTGTTAAATAAAATAGGAAAAAAAACAATTCGCACGGAAAACAGAATTATTTTAACGCCTGGATCTTCTGAAAAAAGGTCTCCTAAACGAGTGGCTCTGATTATAAATATTTAAGCATGGTAAACACATTAGCCTTAACTTGGCTGTTTCTCGAAGCTCAGTGTTTTCTTACATGCCTTTTTCACGCGAAATGAGGCGATTGAATATATAATAAACACTAAAAGAACTACAGCTGATGGAAATTTAAAATTTCTTATCTAAAGGCTGTGGAAACAAACTTATTAATGACTCTAAAATATAGAAATCTAGAACGAAATTTTTTTAGAGTTGCTTAGCTTTTCATTTTTCCGGAATCGAAAGTCGAGATTGCAAAATTCAAATGAAAAGCAAACTGACTGTGATTTACGCCTTAAACAAGTCAAGATACTTTTTTCCGTTATGCAACAAGTTACATATCGTAAATATCATTCTTCTTGATGCCTCTCCCAGTGTCACCGATGCCTTTCCCGATGCCTCCGTTGATTAATATAGCAATAAAAATATTGCTTCAGTCAAAGCGTTTAGAAAATTGCTAAACTACAGTACGATTGTTTTTTGCAAGTTACAAAACGTAAATATAATTCTTCTTGGTGCCTTTCCGAATGCCACCGATGCTTTTCCCCATACCTCCATTGTTTAATACAGCAGTAAAAGATATATGTGACATCAGCACTTTTGAAAAATTGCTTCACATTTTATTTAGCGAGGTATACTGTTAACATTTTGGCTTTACAACTCTATTGTTTTCTGCAACTACAACTGATATGTCTCCATATGAAGTATTAAATTTGTTTCCCCGCTGACCACTCGTATTTCGGTCATTTCTTCATCCCCCGCTCGTCGCCCGTGATGTAGTTAGCCTTGGCGGCCGTCATCACCAAAAATACGAGGATGTCAAATAGATCAGCAAATACAAAGATGGTTTAAGGATCAGCTGCAGGATAGCATGGCTAATAAAGGAATGGCATGGCTTTCACGTCACGCCACGACGATGCGCCACAACATCGAAATATTTCGAGTAATACTAAGCAATTTAATGTTCAGATAGAGCGTCTGATGTTCTGCAAAGCTATTCGACCTAACGCTACACTATTTGTGTCTACGCTGTACCATTCTACATTACGCTGAGCCATTTCACGCAACGCTACACCATTTGTGTGTACGCTGTACCATTCGACATTATGCTAAGCCATTTCACGCAACGCTACACTGTTTGTATGTACTCTGTACCATTCGACATTACGCTAAGCCATTTCACGCAACGCTACACTGTTTGTATTAACGCTGTACCATTCTACATTACGCTGAGCCATTTCACGCAACGCTACACCATATGCGTGTACGCCGTAACATTCTCCATTACGCTGAGCCATTTCACGCAGCGCTACACCATGTGTGTACGCTGTATCATTCGACATTACGCTGAGCCATTTCACGCAACGCTACACCGTTTGTGCGTACGCTGTGCTACTCGACGTTACCTTGAGCCATTTGACGCGTGACGTTTGAGTACTGTATTGCAAATGAATGCTAAGCTCTTCGCAATTGAGCTAGTCCATTTCACAATCTCATGTTCCAACTCGACATGGGCAACTAGACCGTTTATCATTTGGCTAAACGATCCATGTTTAGGGTGTTCTGTTTCACGAAGGAAAACTAAACCGTCTATAATTTGGCCATGCCATTCCTTTATTAGCTATTCTATCCTGCAGCTGATCTTTAGACCAGCTTTGTATTTGCTGGTCTATTTGACATCCATGTATTTTTGGTGGTGACGGCCGCCCATGTGCGCACACCGCCTGCCTGTTAATAACATGTGCGTTTAGCAGCTATTCGAGATCAGTGGAGGTAAGTAATGAATGAGTTGCCAATACTCGGATCCTTGCGTTTGCGCAAAGGGTTCTGGAATAGCTACGAGGCGAACATTGTAACTCGCTACAAAGGAATGTATGGTGAAAGGTTCTATCAACGTCCAAAAAGCGATTTTTGCGAGAGATTATGGCTTTTTCGCCGCAGTTTTATTATACACAGATAAAGATATGTTAATACGAGGGAAGTGTAAGTTCTTGTTGGAATTATCACGAAATATGTCATAAAAAATACCGAAAACCCTCTCTCCTTGCGCAAGGTCTGTTGTGAAATCGTCATCGCCTAATGTCTCGAAATATTACAAAGTTAGCCAGGGATCGCTAGGAAATAACTTATTTAAGTCTTTTCAGTTGTATTTATATATGTACTGCCTCTTTTCATGTTTTTAAGGTATTTAATGAACAAATTACGACGTTTGAAAATATACCTCCTTTAAGGAGAGAAGTCGTTGTCTACGAAAATGGAAATTATTTTTACCGAGCTGTTGCTCTCTGAAAGGACGAAATAAGCGATGAAAACATGAGGTTTTCCCTCGTTCAAGTGATAGTTTGTTTGAGAAAAATCCAAAGGTCTCTGAGCTGTAACTTTTCTTCTCGAACTCCTCGAAGGATCTTGTCAGGAAAAGCAAGATCATGGGAATTCTGGCAGAAATTGTGGATATATCATCGGTTGTGCCGGCATCGCTCCTTAAGGGACCAATTTGTATCAGTCATCGTCACAGAAGAAAGGGTTCAGTTTTGCGCCGAGAACTAACGCTGATTCGTTCGCATTCATCACAACAGAGAAGCAGTGTAGGTGATTCGGCACTCTAATGTACCGCAATATTTAAAAAAAGGTGCTAAAAATAAGTTTTGCGAGTTGATTGATCGGTTAGTTCTTTTTGTGTAATCTTCGGGAGTAGTGATTAGAAGAATATAGATTGTGTTCGAATACTTTTGTGTCTTCAGTGTCTCTAGGAATACTGGAAACAAGTGACAGGGCAACTACGAAAATTCCTCACAGTACTTTGCATTTTTTTGATGATGATTTATGCGAGAATTTGATGTTTTGTGACAAGCAATTCCCAATTAATGTGAGTATGGACGGAAGTTATTCCTTGTAACAATAAAAACTTTATTAAAATGAAAATAAGCACATCGACACTGAAGTTCGCCTGTATACAGCTGTTTGCGAGCCAGCTTCATAAACATTTCAATAAAATTACAAAGGCCACAGATCGCTTTTTTTTCGATTGAAATACCGGCATCACATGTCGATCGAATGACACGAGCTCCCTGAAATTGTCTCCTAGAATACGGTTACGAAGAATTTCCTACTCTTGTTGTATACAACACTCTGTAGAGCCAGGTGTAATCCAACGTTTGTTTAAGATCATAAGTTCAGGGATCAATGAAGCTCGGTGTAGAGTCAATAATTTATTTTCTAGTCCTCCTGGCATATGTTCTTCAAGTGGGTAAGTGAACAGCTTTAATTTTAGCGTCTCCATGTTCTATATATTTTCTATGTGAAGAAGTAAGAGCCCGCTCAAATAAAAACACTTATGATCAAACTCAGCATGTGTGGAGAAGTTAATTTCCCGAAAAGCAGATAAACGACCTTTACAAAATATACTAACAAAAATAACCCGGAAAAATAAATACAAAGACACGACAAGACAAAGCACTTATTAAATGCTGCGAGAAATATAAGAAACACAAGTTACTCGCACAATCGGGGTTTAAACAGGACAAAAAAGAAAGTTCATTTTGCAAGGAGGGCATGGGACACTGGGAAGTTGAAATTTTGACGTTCTTGATAAATTTCTTGCTTAGTTATCAGCATGTCGTCCATTTCAAAGGGCAACGACACAAGTGACATTTGATATCACTTACCTTTCCTAAAATTCTAAAATCAGCTTTGCTGTAAAAGAGCAAAAACCTTTCTTTATCACAACTTATGTAAAAATTTTCGCTTTCGTGTACAATCACCAGAAAGCAGACAGCAAGAAGTACAGCCTCTCTCCTTCCTGTCTCACAGAGTTTTACAGGAACTGATCTAAATAGAAATTTTTGTTCTGTAGCTCTTGCTATTCATTGCTTCAAGTGCAAATCAGAAACGTCATGGTCGGAATGCGATCTTCGTGTGAATCAAAAAGCCAATCGAGACTGCCCAGCGGAAAAGATCCGATGTATAGCTGTGAAGGAAAGGAAGAATCCAAGAGAACGGGAGGAATACAGGAAAGACTGCGCTGGCCGTCTTGAAAATCCGTGTCATGAAAAACGTGTAGAGGATTGTAGGTCCACCTTATGTGATACTGACCTATGTAACTTTGCTCTCACCCCATCAGCCACCCTCATTGCTTCTGGCTTCCGCTGCTTCCGTTGTATAAGCCAGAAATCTTGGGACGACTGCGTTGAAAAAGCTCAAGAGATCATCTGCGAAACAGGCTACAGAAAGTGCTACAAACTAGAGTTTAAGAAGGAAAACGGCGTCACTGAATACATAAAAGACTGCACTGTCCCTCTGGCCTGTGGAAACTCGTCAATCAATATGCCTCAAGCCGAACGTCGCAACATTCAGTGCTGTGGCCAACATCTTTGCAACGGGGCAAGTATCAAGAGCTCCCCTGTGGCAATATTTGGTCTTCTTCTCCTTGTCATTGTGGTATTCCTTTTTGATGTCCAAAACGATTTGTTAGTAATCAGGATCCCCTTAACCCTTTAACTCCCAGAAGTGATTTATTTGTAACTTCTCCCTACAATATACGCACATTATCCAGCCAACAGATAATGAGAACAGTCAGACTTACCAGAAAGAAGTTGTTATCTTGATTCAACACCAAACTCTCAGAACTTATTTTCAAGGATATGTGTACCAGTTAGAGGGAAGAATTAACAATCAGATCTTGGGAGTTAAAGGGTTAAAGTCCTAGATAGAAGCAGTAGAGATGTAGATGTCATAATGTGAAATCAACTAAACAGGAAGGGATAGACAGTTCCCTTCCACAGTATTGTGCCTCTCCCTAATATTTATGGCTATGAAGGCTTTGTCAAATGTGTAATTCTCAATATAAAGTTAACCAGTTTGCACTCCTGTGGTGCCTAAGAATAAAAACAGCTTCGGGAATTGTGAAGACGCTGCTGTAAGCTGACACTTGGTCAGCTCTCTCTTAGAGACCTCAAAAGTTTAGCACCGCTCAAGGTGTCAGCTTCCCAAGATTCCTTCCCAGTGTTCGACTGAATGTTTCTCTTGTCCGCCTATACTTTCTTTAAAAAGCTAATATCGGAGTGGAAACAAATGTCAGCGTCAAAGAAGCTGCAATGAATCAATATCATTGCAGTCCCTCAGGTGTGGAGTTCGTTTCTTGATTGGATATTTCTCAAAAAGGAAACAAGTTTTATTATCAATTGTTTAATTTGAATAACAACAGTGTGTTACGTGACAGTCACAATGTCTTTTGGGCGTGATGAACCTCGGTTTATTTTTTTTAAGGAGGTTAATCGGCAGTAAGTTGTTCACGGGGCTTCTTAAACTAAGCTGCAGATTTTAAAAGCAAAAAAAAAAGTTAGTAAAGGCCCATTTCTGAAATCTTCATGTCTTTGACGCATTTCAGGTAGTGCAAGTAATTTCTTATTTAAAATCTGGATTCAACAGCTGACAGCTCCCAACTCATCTTCTCAGCGCGTTGCTCTAAATTTACTAAAAACATTGTCTGTGCTCAGGCTCCATGACATGTTGGTTAGGGTGCACACTTTAAAACCAAGTATTGTTAATCATTTAATCTCAGGAATCTGATAAAAACAGATCAATTTAGCAATTCCACTTTGGAGAAATTAACTCGTTTTTATCATATGACCCATTTTGCTCCGCGTGCACTTTCATTGCAAAACATCATACAGAAAAATCCTCGTATAGAGGTACGTGCACGTTAGCGCAAGAAGGGCCGAAAAACGCCACTCAGCCCAACGTGTAGCCCCGCACGCTGTCTAAATTAGATCGGTCCGAAAGGGAAGATATTTAACTCTTGGTTGTGAAGTACGAACTTGGCTGCGCTTAGGTCCGTACGTCATGATCTCGAGCCACTAATTTGCGTTTAGCCTTGTCAATCAGTCAAAAAGTAGATTAAAATGTCCCTGTTATATAAATAAACATGTTATATATAAATAGGCCAGATGTGAAATATTCTTTTATTTTAAAAGAATATTTATTTTATAAGGCGTTCTTCTTACCTCCTATCATATTTCTCTTGAAAATGACACTGAAAAAAATGCCCTTTCATACTCAGTCTCACTAATAAAATAAGAAATGCCTGGAAAGTGAAAGTGGAATGTGAAATGACAAATCGTTTGGGCGCTCATGAAGGGTTTGGTTGGGAGTCAATAGTTCTTTCCACCGTCCCGATGATGGTTAACGCAGCTACAATTTGAATGCAGGGAAATTCTCAAATAACGTGGTTGAGAACAGAAAATATTCCTTTCATCGATAACACATGCTCGAAATGAAAATTTACAAACCGACGCTCGACTTCTCTTGCAAACAGCTGTTTGAGAGCTAAGATGATCAACTGACTTGATAATTTGAATTGGTCCCTGTAAAGTGATTCTAGAATATTAGCCATTTGTCAGAGCTGAAGTAGGACTACCGCTCGAAATGTCAGCTTCAGAATCTCTTTACGGTGGCCATTTCACTTAATCAAGTCAGTTGATGAAACCAATTTGTCTTGAACTACCCCCGAACCAACTTCGTAAACATTACAAAGGCCACAGACTGCCATTTTAGATCGATGTACCGGCACCACATGTCGAATGAATGACGTAAACCCCCCTTCGTCTTCTAAATTACTGGTACGCTGCATGTTTTACTCTTGTTGTATACAACACTCTGCTCATTCAAGTGTCATTCAACTTTTGTTTATGATCCTAACCTCTGGGATCAATGAAGCCCGATTTACAGTCAATAATTTATTTTCTAGTCCTCCTGGCATACGTTCTTCGAGTCGGTAAGTTTACAGTTTTATTTTTAGCGTCTCCATGTTCTCTATTTATTGTTGCCACGCTTCTAATTTTCGAAAGCGATGCTTTACAAGCCAAATACTTCGAGTCATTTTCGACGACCTCTCACCATCAGTTCAATGAAATACAAAATAGAAAAGAAGAATCCATGAAGGAACAGGTATAGATGAAATTGGATTCAAATGCCAAACGTGGAAAATTCAGGTTAACTATTTCTCGACGCAAACGCTTCTTCGTGTTTCAACAAAAAAGATTAAAGCAAATCGACAAATAAGTTTGGAGAAACGGTAATCATAGCGATGATCTATGTCAAGATCTCTTAGTCGCGGAAATTTTCATCATTGTCCTGGTCAGTTGCATGACGACCTAACTCAGTAACTTTAATAGAATTTTGAATTAAAATATCACAAAAGCCAGATGAGCATCTGATTCTGGTTCATTGAGCGAACTATTTTCGGTGGTACAAGGAAAGTCGTCCGGTGTATTTATATTTGTATGTTCCTCCACTCCAGTATGTTAATATATATGTGCAATAATTAGTATGTAGTAAATAAGTTATCTACCGATGAGTTATCTATGTATTTAGAATGGAATGGAAAGGGGCATATCTAATGAGGAAAATAATGTTGTGCCCCTTAAAGATCCTGATGATAGGAAATACTCGCTCAAGGAAATGTAAGAGAGGAGAAAGAGTAATATCGAAATATATAAAGAATAATAGATGGGCGCGCGTAGATATGCGCTGCGCTCACTCGTGAGCTATCGAGTTAAACACTCGAAGAGAAATTCCATATCTACAAGCAACCATGTATTATTTTGTTTATCATATAAACACAATAGCCCTTTAATGGGAAGACAAGCCGACTTCATCAATGAATGAAAATAAATGAATCGACAATCCTCGAATAACAATCGTAAAGTGCATTGGCGCTGACTCTTAAGATGGAAAAGGGCGTTGAATCCCTATTACAAAAACAACAATGGTCGTAATTTTCAATTTATAAAATTCTCATTTATGGACTTTGTCCTTACCGACAGAAGAAGTCTTTCAGGTAAACGGCCAAATCGGCCAGAGGCAAATCTTCCAGTTGTCGATTTTCATTCTCAGCCGTCAGAAATGCTAACACCAAAGCCACTGAATACGCAACTTTCGGTTTTCCTTTTACTATATTGATTTTCTACCCTTTCTAGGAAAGTTTGAACATCGTTGCCTGTCAGCGATACGGATTTTTTTAGTGTCTTAGCCGCCATAATTCGAGAAAGCTCCGACAAACAACTTGTATTGAGAATCGTGAAGGTTTTGCCGTTCATTCATCAACCTGACCGAGTGGCGCCAAAGGCGAGTGACGTGTAACAACACACGTGAAAAAATTCGATATTTTTTCGCCAGTGTTGTTATGGCTTTTCTCAGGGCCGGAAATCCCTGTATAACACCGCAGTTTATGTGATAAATATATATACATACAGTCAGTGTTGAGCTATAAATAGTAATTTAAAAGTGCCTTGAGCTTTTTGAACAATTATTTAGTTGAATTTTCTCAAATTGCTTGAGGAATACTTTTCCAAAAGTTTCTACCGGTACTTGATGGACAAAATCTCATGTGATATGACGGTATTGCCAGTTGATTTAAGGATTGCAGGTGTTATAATCACGTAGCTCAGATACTAAAGAAATATTTAGGCTGAAAAACTTGTCGTTATTAAGATATTCATGAAACAGCAAGCATGTTTGAAGTTTAACAATATCGGGAAGTTTCACTAAACCTAGAGATGCGCATTTAAAGGCATATCATTAATATACGAACAAATTTGCTCTACAATTTAATAACTCAAGATAGAGGAGCACAATAATTATAAAACCCGTATCATTGTACACAGTACAACCATATTTAAGATCAGGATAGATAAGGGAATAAGAAATACTCGCTGATTCGTAATGCTTCAACTTTGTCAAAAGGTTAAGATTTTTGCTAATTTTGCCACAGAAATAATCAATGTGGTCATGCAAAGTAAGATGATGTGTGTGCTAATGAAAAGATCGCAACTGCTGCCAATTACATGTCACCAAATATTACATGTATGAAAGTTTCGCACTTATATTTTCGGTTTAAATTCGAAAAAAGATTTAATTTGAAACCTTTTATCTCCCTGTTTATCCCCCGACATACAACTGTCTCACAATTGTGATTACCAAAGACTAACAGAAAAGCTAATTGGTAACATTTAGTCTGGTACCCGCCGACCTTCGACGGCCAGGCGGTTGTACATTCAGTTACACGGTAGGATCTGGGCACGGGATTATGGGGCATCTTGATAACGCACTTGAACGTGAGCTTTGATGAACAGCTAGACAATGTCCAAGGACAATAATACGAGCACTTTTCGCGCCAAGTAGAGGCTACTGTTTTTATCATCCCTCAAATATTTCTGTAGAACGCGGACCAAGTGCTTACGAACAGCTTCCTTTTTATTGTGTTAGGTGTTCACTTAATGAACAAGAAGATAAGTTCCTTCCTCTATAACCGAACAAGAAAAACGCTCTCTCATTTTGAATTAAAACTTAGAAGAGGACTTTCATCTTACTAAGGGTAAATTCTGAAAAATTGGGGGATATCACTAACAGAATGTCACCGCATACTTCGCGGGCTTAGCTTATTCGGTCACGTGATGCATTTATACCAATCGCGCCGGAGCAAAAATATTTGATTGATATAATGCAAATTATTCTCAATCCAGTCTACTACCAGCTGTAAGCAGACCCCAAGAAGTTCCATTTTTGATGCTAGTTATTAGTGAGTTGAAGTAAGTCCCACTTCAGCAGCCAACGACACAAGTTTACAATAAAATAACTATACTCTCCTAAAATTCTAATATCAGCTCCTCAGAAGAAAAGCAGAGTATTTCTTTATCACAATTCACTTTCGTGAACAAACGCCTGAGAGCTGACGATAGAAAGTACAGCCTCTCTCCTTCATGTCTCACAGAGTTGTACAGGAACTGATCTAGGTGGAAATTTTTGTTTTGCAGTTCTTGCTCTTAGATGCTTTAAGTGCAAATCCGACATTTCATGGATGGATTGCGATCTCGATGAGGACAAATCAATGGAAGAATGCCCAGTGGAGAAAATCCGATGTGCTTCTACGATGGTGAGGCCGAATCCAAGAGAAAAATTAAACTATGAGAAAGACTGTGCTGACCGTCTTCACAATCCGTGCCATGAAAAACGCGTTGAGGATTGTAGATCCACCTTCTGTGATAGTGACCTGTGTAACTTTGCTCTCACCCCATCAGCCACCCTCATTGCTTCTGGCTTCCGCTGCTTCCGTTGTAACAGCACGAAATCTTGGAACGACTGCGTTGACAAAGCTGAAGAGATCTTCTGCAACACAGGCTACAGAAAGTGTTTCAAATGGGAGTTTAAGCGGGAGGACGGCGTCACTGAATATTTAAAAGGCTGCACTGTCCCCCAAACCAACTTGTCCGTCAGTAACACGCTTGAAACCGATCGTCGTGATATGCACTTGT